AGTTGCACATCTACACCATGGGTACTCGTGCTTATGCCCAGCATATTGTTGATATCATTGACCCCACCCGCAAACTGTTCGGAGACCGAATTCTTAGTCGTGACGAGAGCGGAAGTTTGACGGTCAAGGACTTGCAACGGCTGTTCCCAGTGGACACAAAGATGGTGGTAATTATTGACGATCGTGGTGATATCTGGCGGTGGAGTCCCAATCTTATTAAAGTCTCGCCTTATGACTTCTTCGTCGGAATTGGTGACATCAATTCAAGTTTCCTTCCGAAGAAGGAAGATATTGGAGCGAATAAGCCTCAGACCGAAGCAAAGGCACCAGAAAAGACCAAGGAACATCATGTCAACGGTAAAACGCAAGAGGGAACTGAGGTCTCAGCATTAGAGCAGCTGGTGACTATGGGCGGAGACAGCCCACGACTCCTCCAGGAACAGGCTGATGCACAAGAAGAAACAATATTGCATCAAGTGGAGGATCGGCCCTTATTGCAGAAGCAAAAGGAATTGGAGGCAGAGGATCAAACCGGTGGAACCGGTAATGCGTCAGCAAGTGTCGAAGAAACCCAGGAACCCGCGAAACATCGTCATCACCTACTTGAGGATCACGATCAAGAACTCTTCCAGCTGCAAAACCGACTCGAACAAGTACATCTCCAATTCTATGATGAGTATGACAAGAGGCGGACTCTCGCTCTTGGAGGTCGGGTGGCAGCTCTAAGGGGCGAGAAGGTTCACTCGAGAGATAAAGATGTGGATCTCAAATTGGTTCCCGATGTCAAGGATATCATGCCACAGATCAAAAGGCGTATCCTTGGTGGGGTAGTTTTGGTATTTTCAGGTGTTCTTCCTCTGGGCATAGACTTCCAAAATGCAGATATCTCTCTGTGGGCAAAGAGCTTTGGTGTGACGATCTCGTCACGGGTAAATGCCCGCACGACTCATCTGGTGGCTGGGCGCAATCGCACTGCCAAGGTGAGAGAAGCCACTCGCTATCCCAACATCAAGATTGTGACGACACAATGGCTTGTCGACTCGTTGGTACAATGGAGACATGTGGACGAAGAACCCTACCTTCTCCCGCTTCACCCAGACGACCGAGGCGAACCCCTGACTCCAAGTGAACTTGAACTTGAAGCCTCCATGCTTTCGTCCACAGACGAGGATATGACAGGGTCCCAATGGACACAAGAAGATGATGCCGAAGACATTTTCAAGTCATCTGGTCTGGATGAGACATCGCCGGTCGGGTATGATGCCGACGAGCAAGCCGCTGTGCACGATGAACTGAAGGACTTCCTGGGCAGCGACGACGAAAGTGAAAGTGACACTGAGTCCTTACTAGACGAACCATCCACAGGAGGCAAAAAACGTAAACGCAACGAAGAAACCGAAAGTGGTACTGACGAAGAAGAGTCTGGAGATGACGATGGGGACGACAATGACAAAGAAGGCTCTCGGCTCTCCCAACGAATCAAACGCTCCTACGAGCGCAACACCAAGCTGCGAGAAATCACCTCGGCTCCTGCCTCTGGCAGTGACCAGGTTTCTCCAGATCTTCCCAAAACACCAGTTGTGGAAGGAGTGTCTGAAGCCGAAACAGCAGGAACCAGCGGACCAAAGGCCGACTATCCTGACCCAGATGATGACGACGACGAGCTAGAACGGGAGATGCTTGCTGCATTTGAGGGTGGAGGTTATGACCCCCAAGCAGAAGCAGATACTGCAGCTGAGAAGGGATAAAGCACTTTATGTGCTTTCGTTTCAGATTCTCTTTGTGTGCGGTTGCAATGCGCTCTTGGCACAGCGACGGCGTTAATTAGGTCCATTTGATTCTTTGTCACATCTAGGGCCTTGTGTCTTGGATTTTCTTGTAGTTCTCAGGAATTTGTGTGTTTATCTGAGAATCGCTATTTGTACAATTCAATTCGATATACTATCCATGAAGTACTCGTCTGCTAGTATCTCTGCTTCGGATGAAATAACAGATAAGTATAAATACAGGATCAAATCTCGTAAATATCAACGCTACATCGCTTTCAACGCCATAGATGCAAACAAAAAGTGGTATCACAACAAAACATCAATCATAAACATCCCGATTCACCTGCCACGACATAATCATCATCCAAAGATAGAAAATAGTATTCACAAGTTCAAGCGCGAAGGCAGTCTTCCAACAATTGCCTATCAAAGTCAGTAACCAGTAAATAGAAGAGACGGAGATCAAATCAAAACTCACAAATAGTACTTTGCGTCAACCAAGCCAAAGTATTAATATTATTCCCCCAAGACTTGTTGTCCTCCACATAGATCTTGCAATTATCATTCACGTTCCCGACAACACCATACAGCTGCAGCGAAGTCTCAATCAGACCCGTCAGCCACAGCACGAGGAGAATAAAGCTGCCGATAATGATAATCCCCGGTAAGAGGAAGTGCCGCGATGCAAGGACCAGAATGAGGAATATGAAGCACACGCCCAGAGCGCTGCAGACAACCATGTAAGGGAAGAGCCTGGTTATCGTTAGTATATCACAATCCTATCTTGTATACACATTTGCCATGAGAATGTGGGGGTTATGCCAATGCACCCTAACCCACATCATAGACATAGATGTAATTATAGCCACTTACCATGGTGTCCCAAGATGCATTTGTGTTTGCACGGCCATAAACCACCCGAAGATTCCTAGACACGTCGCTGAGCATGATAACACAACCATGATCCAGATGTTGAGTTGGAGTTCGGGCCAGTGGTAGCGACGGCGCACTTGACGCTTGCGGACTGCCATTGGATTGCTTGTAGGATGTACTCGAGGGTCGGAGATTTGTGTTGGACTGTGCTGGATTGTGCTGGATTGTGTTTGATTGCGATGGGTGATAGCGCTTGCGGGTGTGGTGTGGAGCTCGCTTTATACTGTTGTATACCCAACGGAGACTTGGCGGCCCTATCTTGTGGTGGGTTTGGGATCGAATTGGGATGGGACCAAATCGTGAGTCAAATCTGAAGGGATTGGTAGAATCCTATGCTTCGTTGGGACAGCGCATTGGGCGCACTTGAGCGCTGGAGGCCCTGGGAGAAGTCGGTGCGACGTGGATATTTACAATTGCGCAAAAATATCCTAAATTGCAAATGCCAATACTTCGTACGGAGAAAAGAAAGAAAAAAGGTAAGGGAAAAAGCACAAAAAAAAACAAAAGGCCGGGGGAGGGGAGTTCTGGAAATTGAGGTGGCAGGGGATTTAGTGTCTCTCAATCTGACTGCGCATTGATTTGATCGACTTTGGACTGAAACACTCCATGTCTCTTTTAATATTCTCTATCCCTTAGCTCCTTAACTTTATAGAAGAGTATCACCCAATGCACTGCGTACTAGCGAACATCCCGCTCGAATGGTCTCCGATGCGCCCCCAGACTCCAGACTAGGGTTCACCTCGACCAAGTCCATCGCAATCAGATTTCCCGTCTCATGCACAGCTTCACAGATGAAATCTCCTTCACGCAGTGTTAGCCCACCACGGACGGGGGTGCCAGTACTAGGTGCCCACTGAGGATCCAGCGCATCGACATCGAACGACAAGTGGATGGGAGTGTCGTTTCCGATGTGAGCGAGAGCCATTTCGACAACCCGACCGATACCATGACTATAGGAGAAATTAGCATGAGCACCACCACACTTAGTGAAATCGGAAAGAGAAACACATACCGGTCAATATCATGCATACTGAATGCCTTGATACCATTCTCCCGCAAGATCTTCTTCTCCCCACGATCGACATCGCGCAACCCGATATAGACCAGTTTCTGCGTGCTCACAATATGCTCATCTTGCATCCAGCCAAAGATATCTTTCTTCTCCTCCCGGGCCAGCCGGGTCAGGAACGCCATAGGCATACCGTGGATGTTTCCACTGCCACTTGTTTCGGGGATATTGATATCGGCATGCGCGTCGACCCAGATGACGGCCATTTCGCGACCCAGTCGCTCGCGGATTGCCTTGGCTGTGCCGGAGACGGTGCCGATAGCGATAGAGTGATCGCCGCCGAGGGTGAGGACGAACTTTCCGTCCTTGGCATAGTTGTAGATTTGGGAGCTGAGCTTTTCGGTCACGGCGCTGACGGCTCGTGGCTTCTTCATGCCTCGGTGGTCGGGGTCCTCGGCGGGGATATCGTTCTCGTAGTAGTGGACTGTGTTGTCGTGATGGACTTCGTAGTCAAGATCTTCGCTGAGTTGAGTTAGAAGCCCTGACTCGATGAGGGCCATTGGGGCCGCTTCGACGCCTTTCTTACACTATTAGGGGTGTTAGTGTGATTCGTGATCTATAGCTTTCAGCTCCACAGGGATGTCTTACCTGGCCGCCATTGAAACCAACGGCAACAACACCGAGCTGGTTAGGGTGTGAAAGGAACCTTGAAGTAATGGTTGAAGGCTGCGTCATTGTGTGTGATGCAAGGAATTGTCCTGGGTCTTTTTGAAAGGAAGAGAGAGAGAGAGAGAGAGCTGTTCAGGTGTCGAGCTATCTAAGATCAAGATAAGATAAACACAAAAGGTCAAGATGATGTTCTAAGAGAAATACAGGATAACGCGTCCTTTTAAATATCTCATAATTGTCTCAAACTATCTTTCCCATGGCCCCGAGTTCAACCGGGGCGGTGCTTTCATTCCTTGCGCAATGCCCGCGAAGTCGCTAAAAACTGCTTTTAGCGATCAAAGTGACTCCGCCGGATCTCCATCACTTCCGTTAAGTACAGGTTGAGGAGAGCTCCCCCTTTAGGGCCATTCGGTGTCCCACCAAGATTTGACCTTGACCTGTCACAGTGGAGGACAGACCGGCAATTTCTGTAATTCATTTCCGGGCTTTGATCCAGCATGAGGTGGTATCGGAGGTCCGGGAGAGGTCATGGAAAATCATCGAATGGCAATCTTGGCCACAATCGTGAAAAGAGGGTATCATTGATGCCGTAGAATACATTTTAGACTATACTATACAAGCTATCCCAGAATTAACTCGCGGAGAATCTCCTCTGCTTTAGGCGCCTCTACTCGACCCTTTTCACCAGTCCGCATCATTTGTCCCACGAACCAGCCCAATTTACCGAGCTGATTCTTGCTTCGGATCTGCTCAACCATCTGCGGGTTCAAGGCAATGACCGACTCTGCTAACGCTATGTATTCCTCCCGCGACAACGGCCGCAGTAGAAGATTCTCCTCCTCTAGTAGTTGCGGCACTGGTCGATGGTCCCCGTCAAAAATGGTGGCCAGCACCTGTTTGGCTGTGGGGCCAGTGATGAGTTTTCGCTGCAGATGGTCGAGGAGATGGGCCAAGGATCGGGCTGGGACGATCTCCGGGTCCCATGGCCGGTCTGCTTTGGCTAAAAGACCACCTAGTTCGTGCAGAACCCAGTTGCTTGCCACTCGTGCGAGACTGGAACGTGTTTTGTCGTCTTGGTCTACTTGTAGAGTGCGAAGGATATCCACCACATCGTGGTAATACTCGAGGCGGGCTCCGTTGTCCAGCTCGATGAGTGGTTTGGCATCTTCGATTGGGAGACTAAACTCGGATCCGACGAGCAGTGTGAGAAGTGCATCTGGGGCTGTTGGAATAGAGTCCCTCAGACTAGAGAGCAGGTCCTCTCCAATGACCAGCGGTGGAATATCAGGGTCAGGCATGTAGCGATAGTCGACTGAGCCCTCTTTCCCACGAAGTCTGCGAGTTTCAGTACTGCCGATGGTCCATCCACGTGTCTCTCCTTCGATGACACCGCCGCTCTCGAGCACCTCGATTTGACGGTTCTTCTCGGCAATGATGGCATCCTCTACCGCCTTGAAACTGCTGAGGTTCTTGATTTCGGTGCGCTGACCTAGTCCACTGATACCGTCGTACTGATGTTGCCCGGGTCCTTCGCCTCGGCGTCGGACCGAGACGTTGACGTCTGCACGAAGACCGCCCATCTCCATTCCCGTAGTCACAGCACCACACGACTGCACAATGGCTTGTAGTTTCCGAACGCATGCCGCGGCCGTTGCTGGAGTGTGGATTTGCGGCATAGTGATGATTTCGATAAGAGGATGGGACACACGGTTAAAATCGAGAAGTTGTGTCGAGGGCGGATATTCCTGGGATTTTGCGGTATCCTGCTCCAACTGGAGTTGTTTGATGTCAATACGGACCCGTTCACCGTCTTCCGGGGCGATTCCATCGTAATCGAATAGATCAACATAGCCATTTCGGGCAAATGGTTCTAAAGCTGGTAAGTATAGTTCACGTTTGAGGAGGAACAAGGGCTTACCATAATATTGTGTGATTTGATACCCCGCCGGTTGATCCTGGTAGAAGTAATGTTTTCGATCAAAGCGGCTGACTGGTTGAACCTCACAATTCAGCGCAATGGCAGCGCGGAGAGCTGGTAGCAGTGTTGCAATTTGGAATTCCTGTCTCAGATCAGTCCTGGCCCTAGTTCACAGTGTTTTGCACATCATAACACTAACCGGTTGGCTACCCGGAAACGCCAGATCGAATAAGGCAACGTTGGAATTGGGAGTATCGCTTGTCGACGTTGCTGCCCCTATTTACAGTATGAGAAGATGACTCGTAGATTCCGAGGTAAAAGCGTACTAACGAGAAAATAGTTTGGTCTCTGTATCCAATTGCGCGTGGATCTCCACGCCCACCGTCAATTCCCATTCTTCCTTGGAAGCTTCCGCCGTTTCCTTGCGTTGTCTTTTGTGTGACCGAAGCGCTTTAGCTTCCTGCTTGAGTTGTTTGCGAAGAGGAACGCGATCTGCGGAGGCCGGCGGTTGGAGATAGCGGTTTGGTGCGGAGGAGAATGGGGCTTTGGGTAATGCAAGGGACGACCGAGTCAAGCGTCGAGCGCAAAGAGAGCGGAGTGTACCGCTGCCAATCCATGACCGAAGCATAGAGAGATTGGACTCGCGTGAGAGTGTTGAATCTTGAAAGACGTGAATTTGCGGGAGCTCGGGGGACTTGGCGATCTGCAGATCATTGGACTTCAGTCTCGAGGGACCTCAAGGGACTACATATCAAACAGCATAATTTCATCGAACACAATATTTAGAAAATACGGATGGTTTGTATCAAGTTCAAAGGTTCTTTATTTGTGCCCTAGTCATTAATTCATTAATCATTGAAACTGTTCCTCGAGGTCCTCATTTGTAGTTGTGGTTGACCGCATTGCACTTCGCTTTATCCCTTTCATTCACACGAGCACTGTATTCAGTGAACATTCGCTCTACTTCTTTCAACTGCTCCTCCTCTTGTCCCTTCCACTCATTTGATTGGATTCGATCTGGTGTCGAGCAGAAATCCGTATCCACCCACCCTCCCAAGTACAGTAGCCAGCCACCGGCCGATTTTCTGATAGGAAACAGCCTATTCGGCTTGACTTTATACTCGACACCTTGGGCGTACAATAACCGGATATAGTCAACCAATTCGCGCTTCATCTGAAGTAATGAATCGAGATCGAGGACCGGCTCCTTCACACGCTGCCAAAGTGGTCTCCAGAAGACCTTCGGCGAGCTGACCACGAGAACACCAGACTTGAAATCGGCCCTGATGATACGAGGGTGACCGATTGGGGAGGTAATCCGAGAGATAATGGATAGGACAGAGTATTCACGGCGTAGCGCGGCAAAACTATCGGGGTCGAACTAGAAGAACATCATCAGGATTGACTAATTGAGATAGATCATAATGCGACAGGTGACCAACCTCGCAAACCATCCAATTTTCGTATCTTGTGCCTAGACTTGAAGATTGCTTAACAGACCGTCCGCGAGACGTCTGGACGACCGTCCATTTTCTCGCGTCAAGAGATCGCCGCGATGTGAAGTCATGGGGCAGGCGATCCGGTCGTGGACATTGCTGTGGTTTGGGCATCTTGGACGGCTGCCGATCTGCAGTGAGTGTTGTTTGCATCGCATTTACAATGAAGTGTCGGGCGATAAACGAGGGATGGTGAGGGCAGGGGCTTGGGTTGTGATTGATTACGGGACGCTGTGTTTTTCTGATACATCGGTACATTTCTTCGAACCTGAATCCCATCCCCAATCACAGAGAATGAGCGCGGTACAGTACTTTTCAAAGTCGGTTATGCTTCCTACCACTTGATTGCCGGACAATAAATCTACAATCTATTCACTCACTGTCTCTCACTGTTGGGTCTCTGGTTCACCGCAATTTGGAAACTATCAGTTTCCACCTTTAGATTTGAGATCGATCTACACTTCACAATTGGCGTAGCCTGACACTGGCTCACTATGGTCAAATATCACATCTACACTCAATTGGTGACTGCAGCTGACCCCCAGTCTATTATCGTCAACTATGAACAGGATCTACGAAGAAAGTACGGATCAGCCAATGGTTGACCTCGTCCAAGAGGATAATGTCCAAAGTTGTGCTGAATAGATGAGGGAAAATCGATCTTGATCGCTCACTCTCCTTGCTAGGCATGGGTTAAAAATCCAAGGGTAATTATCTCACGTGTACAGAGATATCGAGAGCTTGACTGTCTCTTCTAAATATGGTAGCTTCCTCTCGTGACACGCCCTCTCTACTTGAACTGAAAAGGATATCCAATACATCATCTACCTTGGGCCTGGAGTTCGAGAAAATCGATAATCAGACGGAAAATAGTTCGAGTAGAGGGCCGCATACGAATCGTCTTTTTAGCAATATCTTGTTACCATTCCAGTCCTATAAATAGGTCGAGGGGACATATCTATGCCCGGTCTCTCTCTGCTCGTGATTAGAGGGACCAACGACATGACTACTAAGCCAAGCTAGCAGTTTTACAACAGTGTAAGCATGTTCTTCCCAATTTTATGATAAAGCCATGTCGTCAAATACTATTAGAGATATCAGAATACTAGGCTAAGCCCCCAATGATCCTAATCACTAGGGCTGCACATCAATATACATACCTCCATACTATTTAGGTAGTACATCGCCTGCGCGACCCTGGTCTGGGGGCCAGATGGGCTTCATTTATGTCCTTGTAGGTCCGAAGTAGTAACTGGTAATAATCACTGGAAGCAACGGGGCAAGGATAAGGGGCCTGCTTGCCTGGTTGATTGTCTTATTGGAAGCTCGCGATTAGTATAATCGTGCGGGCATCGGATAGCAGGTTTACATTAGGTTTTTTTTGTATGACAACTGCAGATAAAAATGCATAAACACATAGTCATGACCTTGAGGGTTTTTTTTTCTCAATCTAGAGAAACTATGAGAAATATAGATCGTGAAATAAAATAGGCTGGCGACGCCTTATAAAGGCGGATCAGGTACGGAAGCCTCCAAACATGATATAGCTGCAATATGTAGTGTGTAGCCCACGAGGATGCATACAATGTATACTGTATGGAATATGTATGACATCGAAGTATTGGAAAGTGTTCTAAACCCAGTGCTAATCAATGTCTAAAATTACATTGTATGAATCTTCTCTATATATATAGAGTATCGAATGATCCTATCATCCTCCCATCTTGTATTTCAACCCTACTTTATTGTACTCCTTACACCCAACTACACTCAACTATACTCAAATGATACTCGCAGATACTCCCAATCAATACATTCTTGACCTTTATGCATGAAATATGGTAGATAAGTGGCGTCAGACAGAGCGCTCACAGTGCTGCATCACATTCCCCCGCTTCGCTAGACCGCCATAGACCGCCAGATGCAAGGATCAACCAGCGCATAACTGCATGTACATATTTCTCACTTCAGACACACATGCATACTGGTATATGATAATTATGACGAGGCCTGATTTGTCCCACTTGGCCGGTTCAGAATGTTCATGGTAATTCACCATTTTCCTATTTATCGAGTTCTTCCAAGTGTAGGAGGCGCCCTATGAAGGGTACAGGGAACCTCCTTGCACCACCATCATTGGTCGATCTAAATAAAGCCGGCGCTTCTAATTTGCTTCAGATTGTCCCGAACTACCTTGTGTGACGAATTGCACGTCTCTATTTCGACAGGCATAACACGTTGGGCTCGTTTTCACCAGCTGACGACCTATTTCCAACTTTGGGTCTTTCGATTGGGGGCTGACATCTTCCTCTATAATGACACATCTGACAGTCTAAGGGTTTCATATTCCCTTCATGAAGAATGTCCAAAGGAATTCGCGGGGAAATTGGAAATATACTATCTTTCGCTTTGGTCCCTGGATTCCGCACCTTTGACAGTCGATCTGAGACCTGGAATTCCATCCCTGGGCTATGCCTCGGGTCCCTATACTCCTAATTCCACCGCACGATTTCATGTTTCACGTTTTGTTTTCCTTCCTTCTGGGCATGTCCTGATTTGACATTTGATTTGAAGAGGTATGAACCGGGTGTTGACTCCGAACCTCTCCGATCATGCCGTTCCAAACTAGAAAGCCAAAAAAGGATGGACGAAAGAGGACATACTCGTTGGTTTCCAACGCTACAAGCACACAGGCTGGTCCTGTCGTGATCCCTAAGACTGTCGAAAACAGTGTACCTTCACAGGCCAATGGCTCAGCCCTAAATGCGCCTGCCGCCCCAGAGCAGAAACCCGCAGAGCCGAAGAAGGCGCCTAATGTGTTTGAATTCTTAGAAGAGGATGACGAATCGTCTTCAGACTCATCATCGTCATCCTCATCCTCATCGGAGTCGGACTCCGACGAGGAGCCAGAGCCTCCGCGCCCTATACAAACCACCACCACGATCCAGTCTTCCAAGCCACGAGCAAATACTGAGCCGCACGGAGCGTTGGTCTCAGGAGGAAACACAGCCCCGAAGAAAGTTGCTCAATCATCTCCAGTGGTATCCAAAAGTCCACGTGAACTACGAAAGCCCGCATCAACCCCCACACCTTCTACAGGCAATCAGTTGGTAACCCGGAAGAGACAAACCACCACAAAGCCGAGCCCCATCTCGACTGCAAGCATCTCTCCAGAAAAAGGCCAACTAGAATTGTCCCAGCCACACACCTACCATGGCCCACCAAGAGAAAATAGTGCTGTCCATAGACCGCCACTACCACCCTCTCCGCCAAGAAGTCCAGAAGATAGTATTCACCGCACCACGCCGACAAGGAGACGAGACTCCAATGCAACACTGGAGCCACGTGGGTACGGCCTTCTAGCTTCGCACTTAACCAATTCCGCCTCACAAGAGAGCGGAAGCTTCCCTCCGCTATACCGACGCTTCGAGACAATCAACCACCGCGTTCTGCTCCACCTCCAAGACGAGATCTCTCAGATGGAAGAAGACCTCCACGCGCTAGACGAGTATGATGAAATGTATCGAGTCAGCGCAGCCGACCAGGAAGGCACAAAGCCTCTACCGGCCTCACGACGCCGGGACGCCCAATCCCAAGCATACTCATCCTTGCATTATCGTCGCATGGATCTGATGAGTACTTTGATCCAGAAGACTGAACAATACAGTAAGCCCATTCCTTGCTCTTTCCATATCGCTACCCACAAAAAAACCCAGCTGACCAGCAACCCCAGATAACGCCCTCAGCGCCTACAGCAAAGTCCTAAAGACGCTCCCGCGCGCCTCGGAACAGGATATCACGGGCTATCGCAACTGGATGAGAGAGAACAAGCCCGTCGCTGGGGTCGAGACACGGTTTCTTACCCACAACGCGGATTTAGTCTCCCTCACTCCGCGACTAGCTGCTTCTGCCGCCGCAGCACCCGTCTACATCGCCATTATCATCGCATCTGGTGCGCTCCTACTGCCATTATTGGCGTTCAGCCTGATTGCGGAGTTTTCCGGTCGCCTTGTCGTTGTGACAGTCGTTGGCGGCGCCGCGGCCGCTATCGCTGCGAATTATTCGGCTGGTATAGATACCCTGGTCGACTCGAGGGATGGATGGCGCTGTGCTACGATGTATGATTTCTTCGATTCTGTGTGACTGCATTTGAGACTGACTCTTCTTGATAGATACTTCGGTTTCATGACTTTGGCAGCCATGTTCATTCCATAGCTTCGATCTTCTATTCCCTCAACTTGCATACTGCATCAAGCCTTACGACTTACGAATTCCCTTTGTTTTTCTTTTGTTTTGATGGCGATGAGCCCTCTATGTCTTGTGTCAAGGGAAGGTTGGAGATGGTGCTCACTACTGGGCAAGAAGAAAGAGACGGCGTTCATTTTTCGGGCGATTGCTTCAATAATTGGATAGGGCAGATAGACGACTATCTAGGGCCTGGCATATTTGGAATGGACTATGGGATGAGCATTGGGCAGGATATACAGTGGACTGGGAAATAATATAGCAGGATGGGTGCTTTTTGTATCAGGGATCTTATTGAGCAATGTATTATTTATGAGGAATGATTTTAGGAACGCTTTGCATGCTCTTCTCAATACCTCGATGGTCGAATCACTACATCGGAAAGCAGATGTACTTATAATGCAGCATATCGATTAAATTGCACCGGAAGCGAAAAACAAGTAATTCTCTAAGCAAGACTTAGCTGTATCGCGATGGCAGCCTTACACCTGGGCCGACCTGTCTTGAAAAAAAACCATCCACGCCAATCGCTTAGTCCATAATACAACACCAAATAAAGAAGAATCATACAAACCAGGGATCAAGAGGTTCATTAACAACACAGTTGGGTAGAAAAAAAAATCGGAGACGCGGATCACATCCAGAGCTCATAATTCGAAACGAAATAGAGAGAAGAAAATGCAGAAGTCAATAAAGCGGAAAGCCGCTTGTGGAGGAATACAGCGTTGAAGTTTTGTCTCTCTTGAGGAACAAGACGCATTGTTGCATCTGAACACAAGTCCACATGCTTAGGTTTGTGCAAATATTAGACCTATGTCGAAAGGGGCGTGCCATTTTGCTTGCTCCCTGGTGTCATGCTACCTTCTTGGGATGCACGGGCATCTGGCCCTTGAGGCTGAGGTGTTGAAGGACTATGGCCTGTCTGTCGAGCTGCCAGTTGTGCCTTATTCCTGTCCATCAGCGCAGCTTGTTCGGCCGCACTACGAGAGTATGTGGCACTAGCGGCGGAGTTTGAGTAGCCAACCTGTGAAGGAGTTTGGCCTGGGTACTGAGCTCGCTGATTCGAGGTTGCAGTCGCATAGGGCGTACGCCCCTGTGGTGTGGCGTTAAACGAACCTGGCTGTCTGGGCTGTGGTGTGTAAGGCTGCGGAGACACTTGGGCATATCCATTGGAAGCAGGGCGCTGGTATTGGGGAGCCTGATTCCCCTGGCTGTATTGCGGGTTGATTTGCGCGTATTGAGGAGCGTTGGCTGGACGTTGACTGGGTGTGCTTGGTGGACGACCCGCGCCATAAGCATGGGTGTATGTAGTTGGCGCTGAGGGTTGCCGTGCGTGCTGCGGCGTGACCTGGAATCCTGCTTGAGGCTGAACTCGAGCGTTGGAAGCAAAAGCACGTTGATTGTAAGCACCGTGAGAGCCTTGATAATTACTAGGCCGTGAGGTAGCGGGCGTTGAAGTTCGATTTGCGACATTGGCTGCTGCGAGCAATGCTGCGGCCCTTTCTTGTGACAAAGTAAAGTCATCCTTCTCCATGGTGCCGCTATAGTCAGGAATTTCAATCAAAACCTTTTGGCTGATATTCAGTTCGGCGAGGCGATGGCCGTCCAATTTGGCGACAGCATAAGGTGGCAAGTTGTTGACGATTGTAGCAAGGCTTGACTTGAGGGTTTCATAAACAAGGGTCTCTGCCTCAGAGGGTGTGGTCACGTCGCCCAAATCAAGGCCGAGTGTTTCATTCAACTCAGGCACTTGCTGACCGGGTGGTTGAAGTTCAGAAGGAAGCTTGAGACTTCGAAGTCGCTGGTAGGAACTGAGAGTGTCAAGCAAGTCGGAAACTTCCTCGAGCATTTGTTTGATCTCCTTTGATTCTGGGTCGACTTCATTGCTCGGGTCGCTTTCCGTGATGTCTCCAGCAAAGTCCTGGGCATTGAATGACTCAACCATTTCGTCCAAAGTGCTCTCATCAAGTTCGCCTATGTTGCCAGGCTGGGCGGTTTGAGTGTCGTTTTGTTTAACGTCTCCTTCCCATGAGATCGACAGCAAGGTGTTCACGCGGTCTGCACCCCGTTGTCCCCACCAAACCATATCCTTTGAATCGAGTTGTACAATGGCACCAGAGCTGTCGTATGAAGGGGCAAATGACGAGAAGACACCCTGGAAAGTAGAAGAATCGGGGCCAGTCCAAAGGGCAGGATCGCCATGCCGATGAGCATTGTCCGAATCTGCGTGCTTTGCTACACGGTCCCAGTGGGAAGGTGATGATGTGACCCCACCATATTGAAGCCATTGGGTTGAAGGGAGGGGTGCTAGGCAATAGTTGCTGCGCTCTCCCAAAAATGTCCTGACATCGAAAGTAGCGTCGAAGCGATCCGTCCATGTGGTCGAATTAGCCCGGTGAGATCGCTTGCGCGGAGGTTCTAGCTTTGCTAATGTTTCACGTGGAGCGAATACCTCCCCGAATGTTCGCTTTGATTGAGATCCAGCATCAAGGTTGTAAGGGATGACTTTGGTGGCTGTGATGCCATTAGGCAGGGCGAGCTCGCGCAGCTCTTCTTGCACCTCGACAAACTTCTCAGGTCCTGATTCGGACTGCAATGGTACCTTGACAGATTTTTGAAGACTCGAGAATAGCTGCTTGGGATTTGATGGATTTCCGAAGAGTGTTAGGGCGGGCTTATCCTCTCGCTGGCAGACATTGATGGCGTGAAGCTCTGCTGTATCATCGGTATCATCTTCCATTGTCTCTGTTTTGACCTCGGGTTGGTTGACGAAGGATTGGCCAATCAAACTGTTCATATGTTTTTTGAATGCTGCGATCCGGTTGACCACTTCATTCAAAGGTGCCCCATCTTCTTTCGTGCCATTGGATTGGGTTTGATTTCGTTCAATTACAGCAGTTGATGCTCTTTCGATGTCGGAGAGAAACTCTTGCAATGTGTTATATTTGCCCGAATTGACGCGTGTTTGTATATTGGAGGTTTCTGGATCGCCAGAGACCTTTGCGCGCTTCGTTCGAGGTTTAGCGGTTGTATTTGGGAAAGGACAGGAGAGGAGTTGGAGTTCAGTGTCATGCCTGCGGCTTGTTAGCATAAAACTAAGAACCAAATACTTTCATCAAAGCTTACTTCAGTAGGAGCTCAATCAGGCTGCGAAGAGTTTCATGGAGATTTGCTCGATCGCGCGAAGCGGTAGCACTTGAATCAGTACTTGGTTTGTCGTCCTGAGTGGAGCGCTTCCGTTTTCCAGAGGTTGCATTAGTAGCAGGGTCCGGAAGGGGTTCGCCATTAGTGGCAGACATGGGGGTTGTGTCTCCAGCTTCGTCGGCGCTCATGGTTGCAAAAGTCGCGCCGAGGTCAAGGTCGATGCTTGCTTTGACGCGGTCCCCTCCAATGCAAATGGATGGGGGGTTCCACAAATCAAAAGGTTGACAGTAAAAACTGAGAAGATGCGATCGTGGAAATAATTATTTGCTGGCGATTTGGTGTTGAGGTTGATACTTGGCCCGGAAAGCAATAGTCCAAGTCACCTCGATGGTAGGGCGTGAAAGCGAACCCTCAAGGACGATGGGGATCGCGAAGAGCGAGGGGGAAGATAAAACTTTCACGTCACCACAATCAGAGAGGTGAATATGAAGTGGATAAAATTGTCAATAGAGACCAAGGAATTAGGACATTGATCAATGCACTAAGCAACCCTCGAACAAATAGGATAAGTGGTCTCTTTTTTCTTGTCTGGAGGGAACGTTCACTGAGATGCGCTTTTCGGAATGGCGCGCCTTCTGACGATCCATCACGTGACCTGTTTTCTGCCGCGCGATTGTTGTATTTTTCGGACTCGACTTGACTTCCTCTCATCTTCGGAGACAAGTATATCTTTGAGCCTATTGAATGGGTCTGTGGCGTCCAGGCACTTTCACCCATGACTAAGTTCATGGATGTCATCAGTTTTCAAGCATGCCCGAAGCCTTTCGGGAGTATCGCGGCTAAGAGCAGACCTGCTCAATAGTCATTTATACAAGGTATCTTTTTATTATTATCGGACCCTTTCCCTCATTGGACCTCACGCTAAATGATTCGATATCTTCTAGGCAATATCTCATCATGTTCCCAAGTTTTCCGTACATTATTCGCGCAATTCCCTGCATGGCCTAGGTCCACGCAGTTTCCGTTCCTTCCAGTCCACCGCGTCCCTTCATGTGCCCGAGTCACCTGCAGTCAGCACTCAACCTTCACAACTCGATGATTACTTCACCAGCAAGCGGTCAGATTCCGCACTCGACGAACAATGCGCAACAGTCCTTCAAGACTGGGCGAATAGCTCACACGGAGAGAAAAGGCTTGAGAAAACTCCCAGTATTAGAGTAAAACCGAAGCCCGCCGAATATCTCTCCAAAGCTTTGCGAAACACTGGTCATGCCCTTGGATATAATGGCCAAGCGGCCGTGTTTGACCGGGCCGGCTCCAAATACACAATCAAAACACAGAATGAGTCGAGGACAGTTGGTCGACCAAAAAAGCCGTCACTGCCGGTTATTCTTGGGGAGTACATAAGAGAGGTGGACCCATTGCTTTCCTCTGTGTCGGATAAGCGTTCGGAGAAGGATTTGGATATTGTTCTCCAGAAAGTATTCAGAAAAACAAGTCAGGACTACTTATCATCGCGTGGCTACGATGCCGCCGATGTGGCTGCTTGGGCCTGGATCATGAAAAGTCAGAATCCCCACGAGGCGATGGTACGGGTGTTCTTGCTCGAAACCGACAGAGCCAAATCTGGCGCCACTACTCCAAGCATTCCACCTTTTATCCCACTCTATATTTTGAGACAGCAGAACCTCGACCCTCACACGTTCCGTTTGCTCTTGATCTACTCTTTACATCTTATGAGCGGACATAGCTTCCACATCGCTGAAACACCCGTTGAGGTTTCCGAACATGAACCTGAGCTATCACCCCAGGACTTCCGCCCTCAAATCGATTCTGGCACCTGCATGATTTTGGTAGTTCGCCTTATCCGTCATGCACGGCGTGTGTGGCCACAATCACTTCTTACTATTGCACGTGCATTCGCTCGCTTCCTCTCAGCCCCAAGGGCAGATGACGCCGAGAGGTCAGTCTTGGCGACTCAACGTGACGATCGCGTCAAAACCGTCAAATTTAATGATTGTCTCTGGCTACTTTCCATACCAGCCAACATTGCTCCTTACCGCTCAACATCTATCCAACAGCAAGCGCAGTTTGAGCTCCTTCGAGCGATGGCCACCCACAAGCCCGTCCTTCCTGTCACAAGGCAAGGATATCGAGCAGTCGTTGCAGTCCAGCTGGCCCATAAGAAAACTTTTGAAGAGCGCCAGTCTGCTGAACTAAAAGCTCCATCCTGGCCTCCATGGAAGGAAGAAAAACTTGGAATTGATTCCCAGCGTGGGAATGAAGGGATGTTTAGTCGTGCAATGCAGGTACTTTCGCAAATGAAAGATGCTGGCTATTCTCATCGTCTTTGGGAGGACATATCCTCCATTTTGGCGGGCTGGGACACAGATCGCAGTCCGACGGTACAAACGAGGGCTATGATGCGTCGTCCGCAAGCTTTACCCGACAGACATGGATCCCAGTCGAATCACCATGAAATGTGGGTCGCTCGCATTCGCGCCACGAGAACTGTCCGTGAGGCCTGGGCGTGTTTTCTTTCTTATCAAGACCATGGCTTGCCACCAAAGGGTGCCGTCTACGCTGCCATGGCTGAAAAGTTGATATACCGGCGAAATGCCATTGAAAGGGAATTCGACCAAATGAGTCATGCTCTGCCAGGTGATGGCCGTGAAGTTCACCCCGAACCGGCGTCTGCTCGTGATATAATATATGTGCCCACCGAACCACCTACCGTGGATGAGTTCCTTGATCAGATGCGCGCACAGGGGCTTCGGCCATCCGGGAGATTCCTCGGCCTACTACTTCAGTCGGCTACTTCCCTGCGTTCGGGGCTACATTATCTACAATGTAGTAGCCTGACTGACAGTCAAATTGAGGCACTCTCTATTGTGCGGGCGAAGCCTCGCAAATACCACACCTTGGATCTTGAAGCTTTTCATGAATTGCCAGACTTGGTATTTGCTTCGTTCATCAAGTTTCTGTGCGCACATTCGGATATTGCCAGTCTGGATGTCGGCAATCGAAATATTCTCACAGCGGATCGTTTTCCAGCCTTGATAGCCGCCGACTGCTCGACCGGTGCTAAAGTGGACCTTGTCGCATATTCCGAGGGACACCCAGGAAACCAGCATCACCCACGGGCTTTATGGCACGCGATTCAATTGACCAAATTGCGACGTGCTCCTTACACCCCGGCCTGGACCCACATTTTATCTGCCCTGACCCGTGAGCGCCTCACCGGGTATTATGGCTCAAGGAGCCGAAGTCTTCAGCGCATACTGGCATGGCACCAGGCCCTCAGGGCACTTGGTTGGATGCGGCAGCGCAATGTCGAACTAGGCGAGGAAGGATTCCGCATTTTATGTGTGACGTTCACAAAAGCCATTGATGCCGCCCTCAAACATCCTGGAACTGCCGAACAAAGCTTGACGCTAATCCATAGAGCTCGAATTCGTCGTCTCAAAGCCAAAAACGAAGGCGATGACGATGTTGATGGTTTGATGCAGCACGCATTGCAGGTTTTGAAGCATCAGTTTGATCATTTGGTTCTCCCAGCTTCCAAAACCTCGGAGCTTGCGGAGCGAAGTGTCTTTGCAACAAAAATTGCTTCCGACACGCAACTCAGTGTTCCCTCGATGCTGCAAATACCATCACCTGCTACACTGCATGCCTTTGTTCGGGCTCTAGGGTCGGTAGGAGATGACGAAGGGTTGTTACATCTGCTGCACTGGATGAGTCGATCAGCTGATCTACTGAAAGAAGCTGCAGAAGAACATGCAAATGGAGACAAAATGATGCGTCGAACCCTTGTGGCGATCAGGGTGTTTTTGGAACGACAGCAACGGATTGATACGCGGGTACCATCGGACCTGATTGTGGAGGCATACGACCTTATCAGCCGGACAGGCTGGGACTGGCCGAGTGATGCGGAGGTTACAGAATACTGTCAGTGATGTATATAATATTGTAGTTTTAGAGGACTTTGGTCAATGTACATGATACCCCATATATCTCGCTCATGTAGCTTTCGGTAATCGTCGGCCATCATAGCTTTCCCCACACCCGAATACCAAAAGGAACTCCCACCCGAGAACTTTTCCGCGCATTCATCTTGCTCTATTTTAATATCTCGGTCGAGTATAATCCCACTCGATCTTTGAATTGTCTGCACAATGGCAACTATCATGTCGTCGCGCATCGTCCGCCTCTCCGCACCCCTCGCCCATCTCCGGGCGACCGCCGTGCCTACCCGGGTTTTCATCTCTCGGTACAGCACCAGCACAGAAGACGACATCATCAAGACCCAACAGGTTCCGGCCCCAGGTTCAGGACATGTGCGCGTGCTACAGTTGAATCGACCCAAAGCTCGCAATGCGATCTCGACCCAATTACTCGATGCGCTCTCCAAGCATGTTGATGCCATCGCCGCCGAAGGAGGCAACGGGCCAACCCGGGCCTTGGTTATAGCGAGTAACGCGGATGCAGCATTCTGTGCAGGCGCAGACCTGAAAGAACGCGCTAATATGAGCATGGCCGAGTGAGAAATGACCCTAGTCCCGACGCCTGACGCCCGACGCCCAGTGCCCGGGACTTGAACCCACGCGAACATATGCAGCTAACTCAACACGACTATACAGAACCGAAGACTTCCTTTTCAAACTCCGCTCCACTTTCAAAGCCCTCGCCTCCCTCCAAATCCCCACCATCTCTGGCGTCTCGTCTATGGCCCTCGGCGGTGGCCTCGAGCTCGCGCTGTGCACGACCCTGCGCGTCTTCGCCTCATCCAGCGTAGTTGCCCTCCCTGAAACACGTCTCGCCATTATCCCCGGTGCTGGCGGCACATACCGACTGCCTTTGGTTATTGGGGTGAACCGCGCCCGGGACATGATCCTCACCGGCCGCCGGGTGACCGGACCCGAGGCTTACTTTATCGGGCTCTGTGATCGTCTTGTTGAGGTGCTGCCTGAAGAGGAGGCACAAGAGGGTGTTGCGCGCGAACGCGTCCTGCGGGAGAGTATCAAGCTCGCCCTGGATATCTGTGAAGGTGGCCCGATTGCTATCAAGATGGCGATGCAGGCTGTTGAAGCTCATGCTCTGGGCGAGCGAGCGGAGAATGCGGCCTACGAAGGAGTAGTTGAGACTGATGACCGGTATGAGGCGCTGCGCGCCTTTGTTGAGAAGCGGAAGCCGGCGTTCCGTGGGAGGTAAGTGTAGAGGTGATCTAGGTACACTATATCAAAATGACATGCCTTATAATTCTATGACCTTTGACGTGCATATTCTTCTTATTGGCTAGAAGCAAACCCGGATCTTCAACAGAGTACTACTACTTCAAGGTAGAGTGGTATTTCGTACCCCGACATCATGTGGGCATTGCCTTTTTCGGTCATGTGGGCTACAATCGAGGTAAAAGGGTTTCTTATAAGACAAGTCAGTGACTGTAAATAGTAAATAGTGTGATACATTTGGACCAAGTCGCTAGTTCCGTTGGATCTGATCTTTGTTGTTTCCTTGGGTGTTTTATACTTCTGCCTGCACATAGTCTAGTTTTGTCTGAACATGCAAAGATGAAGTATTCAGATGACCATAGACCATGTCAATGAGATTACAAGCAGAAACATCGGTCTTAAAATTTTGCCTAGCCCAGATTAGCCATGTTTCATTACCCATGGTCTAGTACATGACTCACTGGTTACCGGGGTAGGGCAAGGCAGCATACCCCGAACAAGGCATACTCAATGATGCAAGCTACATGGATCTCATCTATGAATAATGTTAAGTGGAGGTCTGACCTCGGGAGTGGCACGGTACCTGGCAAGTTACCCGATCTGACAGGGCTGTGCAATCGGGGTGAAAGTAGGTGGTCAACTCTCGAATAGAATCAGAGAATGGTATGTGGCCCCCGGGATCCAAAACCGATGCAGAAACGCCCATCAAATGAGTCCGGCTGACCTGGGTCAGTCACCCTAGTTACCAGTCACCCTTACCCTGTTACCCCCATAGTCACCTGCATCATATATTTATAAAAGCGAATTCCCTCGAATACTTCTTCTCTCCTCCATGTATGGCAATAGCATTTTGAAGCTTTTGTCCCATTCATTGCTATGTCAAAGCCCCGTATCGTTGATCCAAAGGCCATCAAGGCCTTTGGCTTGACGCAGATCTATACCCCGCGCGATGATCCAACGATCGATATCGTCTTTGTTCACGGTCTGAACGGACATCCTCATGACTCCTGGACCAGCAAAACCACCGGTTGCTTCTGGCCGACGGACCTTCTCCCGGACGTGCTTGCCTCCCAGCGTCCTCGCATTCTGACTTATGGCTACAATGCCAATGTCACTGCTTTCACAGATGGAGCTTCGCGTGATTCCGTCGTCAGCCATGCTGAGACTCTTGCGTCCAGTCTCGCTGCGAATCGAAATGTAGGTAGACATCCCAAAGTGGCTTTGGGTAGCTCGTTTGATATCTTCCCTGGCACAGAGCTTTAAGGACTGACCTGAATTTTCATAGTTGCGAGACTGCTCCAACCGTCCGATCATATTCATTTGTCACTCACTGGGAGGCCTGATTGTGAAGCGGGCCCTCATATACTCCCGTAGTCTCTCAAGTGAGAAGACCGAGCATCTACGCTCAGTCTATGTTTCCACATTTGGTATTCTCTTCCTCGGCACACCTCACAATGGATCTGATATTGCAAAATGGGGTTTGTTGCTGCACAACATCTGCAATGCTGTGCTCCCGAAGAAGTTCATGGAGGCCTCTCCGCAACTTGTCAAAGCTCTGCGAACCAACAATGAAACCTTGCAGCACATCAACAGTCTCTTTGTTGATATCATGGGCCGATTCCACATCTACTTTTTCCATGAAACACAATCCACCGATATGCATGGTACCCGCGAGGTGATCGTAGACGAGCACTCAGCTGCACCGTACATGGAGGGTGTTGAGCGCGCGGGTATCGAAGCTGACCACAGCCATATGTGCAAGTTTGATGATGACAACGCGGCGGGCTACGAGGTTGTGGCGGAGGCAATTCTTCGGTACTCACGTCAGGCCCCTGCTGTGATTACGGATCGCTGGGTGGAAGAGAAGAACGCCCGTACTCAGGAAAAGAAGGCCAAGGCCAGGGAGATTTATGACGGTGAGCCTTGCACAAAAATCGAAACCTGACTTGTTGTCCTTTCGGGTACTAACTAATACAGCCAGAATAGATGATCCCCCAAATCGAAGCATGCCTGAATTGAACGGAAATGGTAGGGCACCATACCTTCTCCCTGCACCGGAAGAGTCTGTCACGTTGAGGGACTATGAGATTGAGGAGCCTCCTGTTCGATGACGCTTTTCAGCGAGCGATGTTTGCTTTTTTTTTTTGTCCTTGATCCTATTCTGCTTTTATCGAGCTCGGTTTGCTCACGTTCACTCTATGCTTGCCTATGATCCGCTTGGCCATTCGCTACCAAGCCACAGGCCTAATACCTTTGCAAATCTATTCTATTATTTTTTATACAATTCAAAGTGTGCTCGTCCTTCTTGTACTTACTTTATTGGTCTTGTCCCCAGGGTGGCTCCATCTCATGTCCTCAAACTAGCTGACCTTCACTTTTCTCAATATGGAAATCATGGTATTTTTTCGAGTCATACTGGCTGACTTCATCATAGACCAAACCATATTACCTCCACCGCGTGGCCCTGCAACAGAAGGTCGCAACTCTCCGGTATCTGATCTGGGAAACAGTGGAACCCTGCAACTTTCCCATTATTCCAACAAGGATTCGTCCCTATTCGTCGCACCTCCGGGATTTCACCCTAATGCTACCTTCTTTGGAATGGAGAAAGAACTTGAAGTATTGCATAATCGGCTGTTCAAAGCCAAGGCCCGCCCCGAAAAGACAATGGCCGTGCTGATATCCGGCGTTCCAGGCTCCGGCAAGACACATCTAGCACGGCAGTACGTGTTCACTCATCGTGATTGCTATCCAGGTGGCATATTTTGGATTGACGCCAAGTCCCGTGAATCGACCTATAAGTGCTTTTGGGAGATTGCACAAAAAGCCACACTGGTTGAACAGAAGTTGACCGTGAGCTCTGAATATTACGAGACTGAGAAGTACGTGAATGCAGTCCGCCTCTGGCTCCAGACACGGAGAGACTGGCTCCTCGTCTTCGATGGTGTTACTTTCGACCGCGACGATGATATCAATAAGTTCAGGGAGGTCTTGCCTTGGAGCAAGCAGTGCAGTATCATATACACCTCGGTCGACACAACGCTGCGCAAAAAGCAGCGATTGTACGAGCCTTATTGTCTGATGATCTCGCGATTACAAGTGGAAGACGCTTGCAAACTTTTGTTCAAAGATCTTGGGATTACACGAGCGACACCTGAGCAGATCTCCAAGGCTACTCGGATAGTTGAGCATTACGAATGTCTACCGTTGGCAATCCATGCAATTGGGCATCGTCTTAATGCAACAGGTAAACCGATTGAAAAGTATCATGTCAAATCTCAAGTGACGGACAAAAAGCTCGCGGAGCCCTTTTTGAGCATCATGAATGATTTGTTTCGATTGCAACAAAAGCAGGCGCTGCACTTAATTAATCTTCTCTCGTTTCTTGGCCACCAGGTGCCAGTGGGCCTTCTGAGCCTCGGTCGAGCGGCGATGGCCGCTGAGAACCTGGAGATCCAGACCAGCGCCCAAGCTGGAGAAGACCCCGATCTCGATACCACACTTGGTACTCTCATTCACTATGGATTGGTTGAACGAATTTCAGACGCCGACCTCTTTCAGCAAAGATCATCCATGCATCGCTTTGAGGGCGATCAGACGAGCTCAGATGTGAAGACTGTTCCAGAACTCTCAGATTCCCTGACAGAGAGTAGTCAAGAAGGCTTTTTTTCCGTCTACAGCCGCGAATCGGTGGTTGATGTAGTCAAGATTCACAGCGTTGTGCAGGGGTTCTGTCGCGATGAGCTCCGAATCAAGGATGAGGAAAACAAAGGCACTATGAGCAAAAGCGATCCTGGTTTCTTTGATACTTGGTTGATTGTTGCCGCTCGCTTTTTGATCACATCGTATGAAGGCGCTATGGAGCGGATGGCTCATTATGAAGACTGTGGCCTTGTCCGGGACTACCGAGAGTACGAAACTCACGCTTCACGACTGCTTGAGCTCTTCCCAAAGAAAGCAATGATTGATCTTCATCCACTAATAGTTCGTGAGACACGAGAGAATCTGCGGCAATTGATGAAGTTCATAAGCAAAGAAATAGCGAATATGTCTCCAAGCTCCTCACAACACTCTATCCGGAACCAAAAATCGGTTTTCGACAGGTCAAGCAGCTCATCGTCATCATTCCGAGATTCGTCAGCCGACGAAGGTCCATCACGTCGGTCTACCTTTAACTGGAGTGATCTCGGCTCACCTCGAGCGGAATCCCCCGAGGAGATCTCAATGCCACCTCCCCGATTCAGATTGGAGCTTTTCCCACCACACATATTCAGACAGGACGGGTATGAATCTGAGGAAGGTTATGAGACGGATGGGGAAGCAACGGAGGCAATTAGAATCTCTCCGGCCATGTCACAAATGAGCCAGGCCACGGAGAAACCGACCAAAACACCTCCTTCTTCGAGTCCTCCATCTACCACTGGTCTATCGGAGTGGCAAGTGGTCAATCGACACTCTAAGCCATGGCCATATAAAGGGAATCAAACAAAGAGGTGGAATAGGAACACTCGTCGCTTCAGAGATACCAAGATTGACACCCCACTGGTCGAACTGTCCTCAGTTCAAGGAAAAGGATCATCAAGCCGCACATCCGCTGCCAAAACGACGAGTTCTTTGATGCTCGCCTCGGAGGCCGAGCAGGCGCTCGCTGCAGTGCGCCGGTCTAGTAGCTCTCAAGCGTCCATTGATGCTCCGCAACCCAAGGTCGTCTCTCCACCAGCAGATAAAGAGAATATGCCAACGTATGCTAGTGTGGCCACCCGGCGAATGTTGGAGGTAGACCCTACTGTCAAACGCCGCCCTTCATCCATTCCAGTCTTGCAGGCTTCGGATGCAGCAAGCGGTTTGCATGCGAATGGTGATCTGCAGGGGAAACCGTCCACAGAATCGCTCGACAGTGAAGCGGACTACACTTTTACGTCTCCACTATCTCATGATGTGTCTGGAGAATTGATGACCGAGCCTCTGAGCCAATCAACCTACAGTGAGCCCGAGTTTCATATGCCAAACTATCATCAAAGAGCAAGCCTGCACACCGCGCCTGGATCTCGGGTTCCTTCTCGGCGTGCTTCAGTGGCACATCTAGAGGTCCCACGAAATCTATCTGCAAGTGTGCCATCCCTCCTTCCCTACCCACCACCGCTCCTCTACGATGAGAACATCGGCGTCGCTTTTTCAAGTCGCAGAAGATCCTCTCAATTAGCATCCAGCTCAATGACTGCCGCCGACGACCCTGGGCTTTCTTCTATTGCTCATCCATCTGCAATCATGCCCGGCACATTGCCGTTACCCAATCCCAACATACACCCAATGGGATCACTTCCAGAGCGCTCCGACCCCGAGCCAATGTCGCGTAACTCTTCTGGGTACTCAAATCAATCATGGGTCACGGAGCCCGTCCGGTATCCACCGCGGTTCTCACCACTTCCAAGTTATCAACAGGCCGCCGAGATGTTTCCAAGCCCACCAGCGAGCATGCAGTACCAACAACAGATGCTCGCCGGTGCCGGTAGCTGGACAACCGAATTACCCCTGGTGGGCAGTTCTCTCCAGCCAGATCCCAACTACCCCAGTCCACCCTTGTCGTCTCACGGACAGCTCAGCTCCATGGATGAAAGACTGAAGTATCCCGACCCGGGCTGGAACCCGGATATCGAGCCAGCGCGGTATTTGCATTTTGGCAGGCATCGAGTCGATGTACGAGATGCGCGACACCGACTCCATGGATCGACTCGTCTGCTGCCCCCACACCCCCAGCAGTATCGTCTCTATCACCCCAATCTGTCGGGTCCTTTAATTCAACATGACGGTCAGGTCTATGCGTCTGCACCGCGCGTGGGGGTATATGGGAATGGGACTCGAACGCGCAGTGGGAGCTCCCCTGCGCGCCCTAACTATGCTGGTCTGGGTATGCGGTTTTAATGACGGTTTCGGACTTTTGTACTGGTGTTTTGTGTTGGTTTGTACTGTTTCCATTATTATTATTATTATTCCTGTTTCTCTTTTGCATTTGCATACAAGGTTGTTATTTCGGTGCGTTCACTGTCCTTTTATACTTGCTCATGTCGCATTTGTGGTTGATTTTGCATAGGGGGTTCTTCCATGAGGCTTGGTTGATACCCAAAAGCATGGTGTTAATTGGGGTTGAGAGTCAGTTGACTGAAACTATAGCATCTAGAGGAGCTTCAACAGAAGAGTTGATGTCTTATCTTCAACGCTTTGAATAAAATCCCATTTAAGATTATATCATTCATTAGCCATGACGTGTAGTTTCTTTCTGCTCTTGTTTGAAGAAACCACGCATAGTCAAAGACGTATCAAGCCCAAACCTGTAGAATCGAGCCAGCAAGATATTTGATTATTCAAACTCCTTCCCCTGGCCCACGAACATTGTTCTCGTATGTCTGACCCGGTGATCCCCAGAAAAAGCTCGCTCTTTTACCATCCTTCTCCTTTCCACGTCGGAGCTCCTTCTCCCGCGCACGAACCCTTTGACTGTGGCTTTGGCTCTCCCGCTTTTTTGCTTTTTGTTCTGCTTTGGTCGAATCCTTTCCCGAGAACAAGTTTGTTAACCAAGTCATGGTCGCGTAGATAGATTCTGAAAATGCTGCGGTCCCCTGCCTGAGGTGGTAATACAGTATCAGCTTGGAGCTCAACTGCCTCGGCAGTTAGAATCACTGACAACGTACTTTGAACCGGCGCGAGATAACCGACACGCTCAGTGGTGACGAGATATTAAGGGGGCGTGGTTGATTTGTCTCGGAGTCTAGTTGACATGAATCTCGTAGGTTATAAACCGAGAAAGTCCTTTGTTTCGTAACCGATTTGGCCCCCAGATGAATTGCTGTTGACCCACATCAGATGCCCCACGAATGCAGTGAACTAGCCTGGTAGGTAACCCGAAATGGACACAATGTATACGGGAATGCACATAGTCCTGCAGAAGCCGCCGGACTCCACTCACACGACAGTACGTATCCTGATCTCTACTTGCATCTCCAGAACCGTGAACTTGAAGCCACGCCAACAGATACCGGACGAAGATGGAAATCTAGAAGCTCATTATGTCTGGACACGCCAGCAAATTTCTCTAACTTGAATCTCCTACAGAGGGATACAATACCACGAAAGAAATGACTGGAACATAGAACGAAAGTTATGGTTGTGATAGGGGAACGACATGACTTGCCGTGTTCTGTGCCGAACGGGAGCGAACCCTTGGCCGATGGTGGACACCGCCAGCTTCACGGACGACCTTGAAGCCATGAGTGAATGGTACTACCCAGCAAAGATATAACAAGCACTTTGGTCTTCCGTAGAGCGAAAAAAGTGGAATGATCAGTAGGAGATCCATCTTGTATTTGAAAGGTGGCTCCTAAGCTTCATCACCATGCTAACAATTTGGTCTTGACTCGCCGATAGTGAATGAAATTGAGGGAAAAAAACAGAAACAAAGTACAGGTCTTGAATGAAAAAGGAAAAGAGAATAAATACACATAGGTACTCAGCAAACAAACCAGAAATAGCGACCTTCATCCATAAAACGTCCCCGGAGATGGCTGGAATCCTCTCTTGGCTCGAGCACGCGACTTACGTCCCCTTAATGGCTTGAACCCCCGGAGGATTGCTTCCCTAAAAAACTGGTGCCATTTGGAGGCAATTGGACTTGAGCAACAGAGTTCTGCCTTTTCCGACTCAATTGTTTAGTCGTAGGGCTGGCTTTGCCTCGAACTTCATCCCTCAGCTCTTGATTTGCAGCGAGATATAACTTCTGCGAGCTCATGAGTGGAACGACAGAAGCCAAAACGACAGTCTCACTCTCCAAACAATACAATCCAGGGAAAATAACAAGGAAGGGATCATCTGGACGTGCGGCCCCGATTGGATCTTCACCACCCACCGGAAACTGGAATAAAGGATCCTCCTCGTGGACCCAACCGGTAAAATCAAATTCTGTCTCATATTTTCTCGTAGAAGTCTGGATCGGACGCCAGAATTCAATTGCCCTGTTAACAACGTTCGTTATCCTCTCTCTGAGCTCCTCATACTGGGGAGTCGGGAGAAACTCGTAGAGATAGTGGCACACATTGCGAACAAGAGAACTGGCCCTAGACCGAAGTTCAGCTTCCTGCCCATCACGGTCAATCGAAAGTAGAACGGATCGATAAAATTGCTCTCTTTTGTTGTCGCTTCTCGCGAGCTTATTGAGGCTCAGCCTAAGATGGCCGGTTTCGGATGGAAAGTGACTCGGTTGAAAGATTTCCTTGTCAATTTGCCTGGATAGAATGGCGAGCATCACGGCTAGACGCATTCCTTTCGCGGCTTCGGAATTCGAAGCACATAGGGGGACAGGCTGTCCTTGGAGGGCTCCATCTCGGATAAAAGTATCAGTATCTTGTCTGAGCTTCCTCCAGGGTTCATTGTTCTTCCAGGAAAGTTAGCTTCGGTTTTAGTCTAGCACATCCCAGGGTATAACTAGGAAGAAACTCACTCTGAGATGCCCTTCGTCCAGATCCTGTCGTAGGACGGTCCAGATCTCGCTCGTGGCAAAGTTCCAGAGGCCTGAAAAGCCATCTATTCTGAGCCCTAGAGTCAACACGCCGCAATTCTTTGCTTGGGGACAGTACTCACATTGACTCCTCGTCGATTTCGTGCTGTTTCAGGATGAAGGAGTCGATCTTTTCAAGCCTATTACGGGTCTCAAGCAATTTTCCATCAAGCGACTTCTTGTCTTGTTCAAGGTGCTTACTTTTCGCTTCTTCATCGGCAAGGCGGCTAGCGAGAGTTGCATCGCTTTTCTTCAATTCGTTGATCGATGCATCTTTTTCTTTAAGCATTATCTGAAACGAATCAATTTTCAGATTGTGTTGTGCGATCATTGACTTTGTGCTTTTTTCATCCTGAGATCTTGCCGATAACTGCGTTTGTAGCTGGCAATGAAGATCTTGATATCTCCGAGAGATCTCAGCCAAAGAATTATCCCTATCCTTGACTTCCTTGAGGAGGGCAACCACTTTTTTTCTGCAATCTCCTTCTGGGTGGCGAGGTTCTGATTCACTGCAGAAAATTTACCGATCACAAGCGATTCCTTCTCTTGGTGGGCTTTGATGTCCTTCTGCAAATTGGCCAGCTTTTCATCTCGAGTCCGAATTTGGCCCTCTAGGTCTTTGACCTTACTGTAAGTCGCGGATGCTTTCTGGATTTCGGGAGCCGAAAAAAGGACCTCAATGACTTTGTTCTTGAATGCATCTTCAGGTTCCACCGTGGTGGTGATCGACCCTCGAGGCGTGACAGTCTCAGTCGTTGTTGAAGACATGAAGAGAATAATGAATAAGACAGCGGAGTTGATTGAAATGAGTGAGATTCACCCGATGAGAACTGCCTTTATATATCTAATTTCTCCCATAAAAGCACCTACGTCTGCACAGAAACCATTGATGGTCGTAGACGAACGGCGAATTCACCTTTGCGCGCGCGAAAACAAGCCTCAATTCTGTAGAAGCTTGGAACTCCCCGGACGCTGAATTGTCTTGCATATGCAAGACACCGGGTTTCGAGCAACGTGTTTGGGAGCGAAAGGCTACCCACTTCCACTCTACGGTAGAATACAGGGGTTCAATGCCACTACGAGTCATGAACATTTCCTTGCATCCAATCGAAACCTCATTGTTAAGGAATACATTGCAGCAGAGTCGCCTCGCCAGGGCGATCGGTAATCCCTAAATAGGGCGGGGAAGACCTACGCTATTCGCAGCCAGGATTGTGAGGCAACTTGGCGTACAATAGATCAGTGTGACATGTAGGTAATATACGAGCCATTTTCCTGTCGCTTATGGCGGGTATACCTATTAAGTCCCTGGATCCGTGGCTAATACTACGAGCGACTATTGGGGCGATACGTAACCCTCTCATTCAATACTGCCTTACCGTATATTTCCTTGTCGCCTTCTTGGAGCATACATGGACACTTATTCCAGCTTTCCTTTTACTTCTATAGACGTAACATACAAAATGAAGTATCAAATGAAGTATAAAAAGATTGATTGATAGTATATATCAGAATTCATAGAAATGGGGAGATATACTGGCCTGGAACAAAATAATCAATTCTTATTATACCGTTCGTGAGGGATACTCACAGGTATAGTACAATTTAATACAGTTCAATTCAAAAACTCGATATGCTTTAATTGAATGCGGTTCAATTTGATAACGACATACAGAATTGGTTCTTGTTCGGAGTAAAGTGAGAGTGGACCTAAATACTTCCCGGCAATATTCAAGAAGAGAGCTATGTATCGCTAGTCCCAATAGTTGCTCGTACTGATACATCACTAGTTGCATGGGGCGAAGAATGAAGCGTATGAACGCTCTGTGTGTTCCGCCCCAGCACGGTCGCCTCACGTCCAGACCAATGGGAGTTGAATGAAATCAATGAATATGGGATTGCTACTGTAAATCCCAAGCCCTCTTTGTCTTCATATAAAATTCGTTATGGGATTTGTGCTGTGTACAGTAAGAACAAATGTGGAGGGTTTGATCCCGAAGAAAAGTATTGTGTATCCGCTGGGCTACTCGAAATTACCCAAGTCGGCCGAGATCAATTTCTCCCGATGGGGACGCGGTACAATTACCAAGAGACATGGGTGGTTGTGCTGGAATCAGCGGGTGATACCAGCGAAGAGCAGGGCTGAAAGTAATCAAGATTGCGAGCATCACGTATAGTATCGCGTGTCACGGCATTGAATAATGATACTGGTATGTGTTTGGCTTTGACATCAATGAAGTATCTCGCCGAGAGAGTTGAGCTCGGAGGGGCCAAGAATATTTGTACTTTGCTTTCCCAGACTGTCATAATTAGAAAGTCTCTCGTTCAGGGTACGCTCTGTATGCATCAAGCCTTTGGACTCTTTCCGGAAATATCTAAGCCAAAAACTAAGGTCAGTAGAGTGAGCACAAAAGGGGCATGGCTCGATTGTTTTATGGGTGATGCAAGTTTTGTTGGGAGGTAAAGCCGGACAACCGATTCCGGTCTTTTATCACCGTGTAGTCTCGTATACTAACATACATGGGGCCAACCTTACATCTTTTGCACTCCCAGTCATAGACGTGAAGGCTACGCTGGTGTCAAAAGACCTATGGATATGGAATGTCCTGAGTTACATCGGTGGAATGTGCTTCTCGCCTTCCCTCCGGGGCACGGGAAACATTCCTGACTTCCAACGTACCACTACCTCTAATCCAAATAGCAAGAACGGTTTAGGAAGCTCCCGCTATTTATGGCTAATGTGTATCATGCGTAACCGGCAACGCGACCCTAAAGCCGGCTCTGAACACCCGACACTTATCATTGGTGATATACGTTTGCGTAAAAGCTAGATTCGACCCTTATAACGCCTGTAGGATAAGAGTGAGAGAGACTCTGGGCATCTGAGAGCATTCAACAGGCTGCAAAATGTTGCAAAGTGATCCGGATGAGAGGTTGGTATATTTGGCTTGCCAGCATATCTTTCGTGGCCCTAACTCCCATGTGAGAAAATTAAAGACAGTCAAAGGGTTAATCAAACAAAACGAAGTTACCCTCACCGATATTCTACGAGAATATAATATCAATCGCACTAGCAAAGTTGCCAAAAAGCTTCTAGCTGAGGAGGTTTTCGATTCGACCTTGCAGGCTAAGATTCGATTTCCGGAGTTATTCGATGTGTCGCCTGCCCAGAGTGCTGAGAGGGAGACCTCAGAAGCGGAGGCTGCGAGAGAGGAGGCCAATACTGTGAGGGGTATCTCTGACAGCCAGCCTTCAACAGAAATGGCAATCGTCTCACACGCCCAAGTTGAAAGCGAGCGGACATTCGGTGGTAATCAATTGATTCCCGCGAGTTGCCCAGAGCAAGAAACTAGCACAACTCTCGCCATTCCATCACTATATCCGGTCTACATTAATTACCGGTGTCAGCATTTATTCTTGACGGCTATACAAGAACTGCTCGAAGAGAGTTGCTTCGAGTTTGGTCAGCTGCATTTTCCACATCTTCTAACGACGAAGGGATGGGACTGTCCCGAGGCGGCTGAAATTACCGAATGGACCAAGATACTGTCCCACAAGTCCACTCCGCCATTGAATAATCTCACCCCCGTTGACGAGTTCATTGGCTTACTCCGAGAACTCCGTCATTCTGCTGTGCACCGGCTTCGAAAAACCGCAGCTGGTGTTGAACGACTTGCTGAGAACGCACAGCTTTTTTTGGAAGCCTTGGAAGATTCAACTCGATCAGAGAAGGTCGAGAGTCTTCGGAGAGAGCTACGAACCGTGATTGAAGAGCTTCAGCGCAACAAAGATCTCCTGGAAAAAAGATTAGCAGCGCAACTCAAGGAGATACAAAAGAGGCGGAGTGAATTGGATGTTTGGGAGAAGAATGCGCGGGAAGGAATGACGAGAGAGGACTTACAATGTTCAAGGGATATCAGTGAACTTCTCGAAAGCGTTGTTCGGCGAGTCAAGTCAAAGGATCCAAAGGCAGCCGAGAATGAGCCAAGTGTGCCGGATGTATATTCGGATTCGTTGGAGTCTTTGGACTCGGAAGAAGAATTTCTGGATGCTGTTTGACGACACCGCAGCTTTAAGGCCTGTTTGAGAATTATGTATTCAGCGTTTTCGTTGTTTATCCCTGAAGTAAGGTCTAGTAGGGGTCCAATGATAGCCAGAATTGATAGATTAATTACATGCTTTTTCTCTTCTACTTCACCATCTCTGTACCAGTTAGTATACCCACCCCGAGCATCAATCACGTCCTTCGTACGCTAAGGCATAATTTCAATTAACTACCCTGCCCTCTCTTTAGTAATAGCATCATAAGCCCCTAATGATATACAGCGTATATTATCATATTCCTATTATACTGAGGGTAAATACGCTGAATCGAGTCCTTTATTAGAGTGGCGTATCTGGCAAGCAGACGCCAGCTCAGCAGCCATCAGGCTTATTAAGATATAGACAGGGATAAGGCTTGGTACCCCGCCGGCTCGAACATTACGGAAGTTGAGTTAGACAGCCACGAACTTGATACTTTGTCAAGAGCCCTTGTCGAGCTTATTGATTTATGGCTATGGACTCTTCAAGCCTCCAAGTCTCCGATGAGTTAGCCCACATCGTCTGGGCATCACACATCCTGTCGTTCTTCAACTCTAACACTATTACCGCACCGGAAGAGCCTCTACAATCCGACCAGGAAATAAATGATGACGACGCAGCGGACTTTGACAATGACCTGAACCGGGACTTGGAAAGCATAGATGCTGGGCTTCTAACAGCTAGCAGCGAGGCGCTCGGTCGGAAATTCCTCGATTGCGTCTGTGAACTTCTAGCGCACGCCAAAGGGGGAAGTTTCGTCACAGCTGCTGCGCTCCGGGAAAAAGAAGATGAAGTTGAAGTTGATATTGCTCAAAACAATGGTCTTGACGCGGAGGACCGAACTTATTTAGATTTATTGGAGCTGTTTCTTGCCTTGCAAGCTGATGGTAAGGCCAACCTCTCTGAATAAAGCTCGCTCTAACCATGACGTTCAGGTATCTCGCCTCAAGTCCTCGCCGAATCCTCCCACGATTTTTTAGAACGGACTATTGCTTACAGTGCAGAAAGAGTAGACAGCCAGGCTGAAGCCGTGGTTAAGCTTTTGAAAGAGTCGCCATACCGGTCTTCACAGCAATGGCAATCAGGAGAACATACTGCAAACACATGTTTCCTTAGCTGCTGCCCCGCTGCACAAGAGCCAGTCTCCACCAAAACGCAGGCCCTCCTTCTGGAGTTCTTGAATTTTGATTTGTGGCGCTCAGCGTCGTCGACCGCACAGGATCGAGATAACCAAAGGCGTAGGATAGTGGAGCTGGCAGCTACCACCACTCAACCACCACAGACCGCACGGGCTGCACGGGAGGCACTCGAGAGAATGGTTCCTTCTGTTGATCCACGTAAGATCATTCAAATGTGGCGTGTTCTAGCGAGGCCAATCACCAGTCTCCAAATTCTCTCCCAGATAGCGCGGCTACTTCCTAATTTCCGGGCTGTTTCCTTCATTTTATTATCACCGCCCTCCTCTTTCAAGCTCCAGAATCGCCAAATTCCGAGCATTTCGCAAGCTTGGAAGCACTTAGGTCTGTCTTCCAGTTCAGAAGGGCGTATCCTGCCTGCCCAGATTTGTAAAAACCATGTGTTTAAAAAGAAATGCCGCCGCAACCTCTTCATACATTGTGAGATTCAGCTTTTGACACGCTATGAGGCACAACCGTCGCTGCGCCCGACACTGGATTATTTTGGTTGTAGCAAAAAAACTTGTTACCTTTGCGAGTCATTTCTGGCCCTGTCGTCGTTAAATTTCCGCACTCGTGGCCGACACGGAAAGTGCCATCCTCAATGGGCCGTCCACTCGAACGATACCGAAAGCATAAGACACAGGCTAAAAAGCTTGTGCGAAATGATAAAACAGAAGATAAAAGCGAGACTCCAGCCACATCAATCCCCTCCGCCAGTTACCATCGATCAATCTTCTGCTGTATCTGTCCTAAAGACTTTGGATTTGCTTGAAATCACGCGGCAGAAGAAGAATAGAGAGATTGCTGATAAGAAAGGTCAGGAGCTACGTGAGCAGATGCAGATCCTGTAAGACTATCGTAGACCAAGCACAAGAGCGGTTTCCTAACAGTCATGCAGCCTAAATCCCAGATCCGTCGGCCCGCCGGAAGTTTGGTACTGGGACTTAAGGACGCTCTGTGTGATGTGCCAAGCTTCATGTGCGAGAAGATGTACCCGATGTCGAGCCATATGGTATTGTTCCAAACGGTGTCAAAGGCTCGACTGGCCAGCTCACAGACTTTTGTGTTCTCAATACCTCAAATTTCTAGATACTCGCCTTTCAAAGGATCACAGACTCGGCATCTGGTTCCCTAAGGACACAAACCAACCAGAACTCATCTGGGCCCCTATATTCTCCCCAGAATCGGGCTTCCACTATCCCAACTTTGACCGATACATTGGCCCAGAATATCCTATGCTCTGGACTATCCCATTCGCGGCAAACACAAGAAGGGGGGTAGAGCTCGACCACTTTCTCACGATATATTATTGCGACTGGGATCAACTCACCAATAAATCTGTCCGTACCGCTGTGGAGGTTTGTCAAGGCATGACAGTCCCCCACGACGTTGAAGGCCATTATGTGGTGATGAGCGGCCAGCGTGGATCGTATACGGGTACTCCCAACCATACGTTCTCGGACATGAGTCTTGCCGACTTCCGACATGCGCTTGACTGGTTTAGCACATATTTTGACACAACCCTTCGTGAGACACCTAGCGGTAGTTCCGTGCTTGCTGTCAAGATCAGCCATCCCATGGAGGAAACCTTACATGGTCGGGAGCTTTTCACATCCGTGGATGTTTCTTGCAATTTTCCAAGTACTAGCGACGTGTCTCCCATATCACAAGTTTTGGGCCTTCCTTTGAGGGTATGCCAGCTTGATTATGATGATTTAGAGCGAGCCACCAATTTGGTCGACGGAGTCATCGAGAAGAGCTGGACGAACCGCTTCGCCCGAGTACTGATGACAGATATTGATCTGGAATCTGACAATTGGGGTAAAACCCGACGTGGCTTGGATCTTGACGGGAGTGTCTTGCTTCTACGGGAGGATCAGGCGGATTTGAATCTCACGTTGGCGAAACGCTTAATTTGTTACTGCCTTGATGTGCTGAAGCCTCTTTTCGAAAGGGCAATCTTGGGGGAGATATCTCGTCAAGACGTCCTGGATGAGATAACATCTGAAAAATTTAGCGTCTGGAAACCGACTGATGCTTCTACGGACGTTGGGGTTGAGCCAAGGCCGGCACGTGGATTTGTTAGGAGGATAGGGTCAATAAGACGAGAGTATGAAAAGTAGCATTCCCATGTGCTTAATGTGGTGGATACGATACTACAATAAAAACGAGAATCTTGCATGTTCATGTGTTTCTTATGCGATCATGTTTGGGTCTTACGTTCTACCCTAGATCTGGTTGCTTGGGGGGCCGTTCTTCGTGTATCTAAGGGGTTTTCTTCACATCTGATTGGGGAAGGGCTTACTGGGCCCTGCTCTTTCAGCCATCGGCCTAGACTAAAAACCCGAAGCCCGCTACGAGCTTTAAGAATAGGCCTGAAATCCGACCCTTTTAAGGGTCGAGTCGGGTCAGGTTTCGGGTTTTTTCCAAAAGCCTGAACTGTTCACCGTTCAACCGCAATACACCCCATCATCTTCTTCATCAATCCTTTCCCGGGACATTCTCATCTCGTCAAGATCGCATGTCGTCAACCAAAGATCCCATAGCAGCAACGAACAACCTTTCATCCATCTCGGAAAGATGTCATATTGATCAATTTCAGGCCACGCTTCGAGGACCTTCACAGACTGAACTGTCTTGTATCTTTCGTTATCGGTGTCTTGCTCTCAGGCCTCCGTCAAAGTGTCCAGCAGCATCTGTAGGCATTCTCCATCAATGAGATACTTGACGACAGCGGAGAAGCGGGCGTCAGAGTGGAGGGAATAAGTGGTGCGATGGATGACATATCCCCAGGTCCGAGGAGCTTTTATTCTGTCATACAGCTCATTTGTGGGTGCAGATAGAGGAGCCAAAGAAGCCAAACCATGTTGTGAAAGTTTGAAAGGGAAGGATGGAAAGTCCCAAAAGATTCCCAAGGAGAAGAAGAGACGGAGAGCTATCGACTTCGAGCGGTCGGTCTAATCATTAGTATGTAGATCTTAAATTGAAGCGTATCAAATTGAAGCATAAATTGAAGTTCATGAACTAATAGTATATCGAATTGAAAGTTACTGAATCAATCTTAGCATATCAAATTAAAGTATACAACATAAATTGAAGTAACCATCTTCCTATCCCCTATTCGGGTTCTGTTCCACAGGACGCAATTTTTCACACACAATTTCTCGGTTTTAGGTATCTTTTGTATGAGTATACTATACAAAAAGTACCTGGAAGGAAGTATTAACAATATTCTGAAAACTTGGCCTCTCTTTACCGTCGAAATGGTAGAAGGGAAGATAAAAGCTCTAGTAAATAATATTAGTCTAGTTTAATTGATCTAGTACTAAGATCAGTCTACAATATATATACTAGAAAATTAAGGAGTCGAATGCTCTCATGACCGTGGAATGATCTATCGGATTGTTTTCGTCGGGAATAGATGTACTATAGGAAGCACTAGATCGTCAAGTGGTGTACTACCTCGGGCATTGAACTAAACAGGTCAGTACCTTTCGTTCTGACGCATTCCTGAATACAAAGCCCAGAGAGCGGGGTTTAGCGGACTCTTGGCCTTTGGACGTACTAGTCGCGCTAGTGTAGATTCCAACGTCTGATTAAGTCCGCTAAATCCGACTTAAGTGTTCAAGATATCCATACTCTCGAACAATACAATTGATCAACATGGAGTTAAATCTTAATCCCATCTGTGGAAACACATTTAAAGAGTGCGAACCTTCCGTGTGTAACCCGCCCTTCCGTTCATGAACACTTTCTCTCTGAACATACACATCTTCCAGCCTCCACACAATGTCTATTCCCACCCGAACCCTTGGTCGTAACGGCCCTAAGGTATCTGCTGTTGGCCTGGGCCTGATGAGCATCGGTGGAGCATACGGTGCAGCAGGTTCCCTCGATGAAAAGGTCGCTTTCCTGGAACATGCGCATGCGACTGGACAGCGGTTCTGGGATACGGCCGATTTGTATGCAGATAGCGAAGATATCGTTGGCGAATGGTTCAAGCGCTCTGGAAAGCGTGAGGATATTTTCCTTGCTACCAAGTTCGCGGTCCAGCGGGACCCCGACGGGGGCATGAGTATCCGCTCTGATCCCGAATATGCCAAACAAGCTTGCGCAAAAAGTCTTGAAAGACTTGGTGTTGATACCATTGACTTGTATTACTGTCACCGAGCGGATGGAGTCACGCCTATTGAGAAGACTGTCGAAGCGATGGTGGAATTGAAGAAGTAGGATGATGCTACCCCCCTCCCTTCTCCAATATGCTTATATAGACATATCGCTAATGCGTTGGTTCCATAGCCAAGGGAAGATCCGATACCTCGGCCTCTCTGAAGTTTCAGCAGCAACCCTCCGTCGCGCCCATGCCGTCCACCCGATTACCGCGTATCAAGTGGAGTACAGCGCCTTTGCACTGGATATCGAGTCCCCCACTGTCGACCTCTTGAATACCTGCCGTGAGCTGGGTATTGCAGTTGTGGCGTATAGCCCCGTCGGCCGCGGGGTATTGACCGGAGAAATCCAGTCCTCTGCTGATATCCCCGAAGGTGACTTCCGTCGCATGGTCCCCAAGTTTTCTGAGGAGAACTTCCCCAAGATCTTGGAGCTAGTGAGCGGGCTAAAAGCTGTGGCTCAAGCGCATGCGAAAACTCCTGCACAGGTTGCTATTGCATGGCTCCTTGCCCAGGGATCGGATATCTTTCCCATTCCAGGAACCAGGTCCCCCAAGAGGGTTGATGAAAACACTGCGTCTGCTCTGCTGGAACTGACCGAAAAGGAGGTTCAGGATATCCGGGACTTGGTAGAGCGAACGGAAATTGTTGGAGCTCGGTATCCTGCTAGGTAAGCTACTTTTTGTCGTCAATGAGTGGGGCTCACTACTGACTGTTACCACAGGATGATGGCCAATATCTTTGCCGATACACCGCCGCTGTAGACGGATCGCAGTTGCTTGATATTGAATAGGATCTTTAGGACTGACAGTCAGTTCGATTATTGTGCCAGTTCTTCATACAACCGGATTCAAGTATGATAGTCTTTGATCATCGCTGATATCGAAGTAATTTCATGATCACCATGTCCAAAGACCAAGCGTTGTCGCATTCTTCCTTTAGAGAGGGATTCCGTTCAGAGTACTCCAAGTCGTTTATTATGGAGATCAAATTGTCTTCTTAATGAGATTCGTTTCTATCGATGATACGAAGCTGATATCTGGCACATCGAAGGCAAAGCTCATCCAAAACTATTAAAAAAATCCCCCAAGCACTTGTAAGCTCTATTCAACCATTAGTTACAACGGAAACACTTCAGTGGGAGGTTGAAGCACAGTCGTCGCTCGACGAATCAGCACAGCTGGCTCGTAGCGGAGGATTTCCAGTTGATGCATAAAATCAAACGCAGAAGGTTCCGGGAAAGAGATAGATCCAGACCCAACCCAGATTTCATTTGGTTTGATTTCCATGACTGCGGGAACCAGCTCTTTCACCGATGGCGGCTGACCGTCCAGCGGCGAGGGAATGACGCGAAGATTTAACACCTTGACAGCCTGGTCCTCCGTGGGAAGGATGCTCGATGGAGTGAAATTGAATTTGATGATCTTCTGCCCAAGCGGCTTCTCGACATAGCCCTCTATTATGTTTGATCCAGTCTCCATGTTGAAGAAAGGATATCCGAAACGCTTGGGGTAGCCGTATTGCTCACGGCCGACGAAGGTGCCGGATTCGTTGTTTAGAAGCACAAGGAGGAAAAAGCTAGAGACTTTGCCTTTGTAGGTCACGTCGACGGAGTGAATGTACTCTTTGTATGGGCCCAAGGTGCTCATGCCATAGTCGACTAGCATGGCAGAAACCAATGGTTCATCTTCTAGCTCGAGGACATCGGGAACCAGATGGCTGATACTTGCAGGTGTGACTCGGTAGGAGATCTTAAGGAAAGTTACATCGCTGTAATGATAGGGCATCGGCGCGTACGGGGGAGCAAATTGGGGGATGGCATCAGCTTTGACGGGGAGAGTTCCGAAAGGCATTTCCAGGGATCAACGCGGGCAAAAAGAGAGAAACAAGACTGAAAGTTTCGTGAAAGTACCTTGAAATTTTCAAATAAGTTCGACTATCAAGTCCTTTTATACTTTCTTTCTAGGATATGTTGTTGCATTTACATGTCTACACTAGCATCGGCTGTTACGATCCACAACGCCTGGGAATTTTGAAACGCCGCAAATTGCGATAATAGATCCAGAGAGCTCCCATCTGGAATTTGAGAATAATATCATCTGGCACACTTCGGGTGAAGGATCAGCACGTTGTACTCCCCCAAGCAAAAGTTCTGTCCATGTAGATCCCGCCGATCAGAATCAGCCCGCGCTAGTTTTCAAATACTTCTTTTTTCAAGATGAGCGAGTACAATAAATTGATCACTTGTGAATTCCTCATTCTGACGAGATATGGCATATGACTTCAAATACTTGTGAATTAACATTTACTACTATATCAAGTCTGCTGTTGATTGAAATCATGGGAAATATGTAAATTCATATAGTATCAAGTATATAGTGAGTGTATCAAAGAGCGTAATTGAAAATTAGCCGATTTGTAGCCTTCCAAGGTTGGAAAATCCCCAGGTTCTTACCAAGCGAAGGTATGAAGAGGTAGGTCGGAACCTAAGCGATGGGAACCAAGGTTACGGTGTGGGGGATGCGGGTAATAGATCCACCCTAAACTCTATTGCTGACACGATTACGGGCTTGAGAGCTTCTAGGGAACCCCTTGGGATCTTACATACCTAAAGGTTGCCTCGGAACGTCATAGATATGCACAACCGGGGCTATCAGGACCCCGGAGCTTCTCGGTGGGCGGATAGACATCTGACTCCTGAACATCACATGAGAGTGTAAATCTGACTTAGGTGCCGTATATATAATCTTGAAAGGCCCGGCTAGGTGAAGGAATTCTACTGACTTCTCAAAATGTCTCACATTATATGTATCAGCTGCAGCCATTAAAGTATGGCACCAACCTATTAATCTTGCTCTCTTCTGCGATATATGCACCCCCCAAATGCCGACCAGACATGTCTCATTTGAAAGAACTCTTTTCATCGGCTGCTCTAGTGACCGCGACAGGCCCCTTCTCCGCGTAAGCGGGGTCAACAGCGTCAATGTAACCGTCACTTCCAGCACTTCCAGCAACATCCTCATCTTCCACAAAGTCCTTGGGCTCCATCCATCCAGACGCCTTCTTCATATCAGGCGGGGGAAAGCCAGACAAGACAAGTAATAAACGCCGAATCCGATGATAAGGCCGGTGGGGTAAGCGATATAGTAGAATCGCTTGATACCTAGAGGGGCCTTGACGCCCATTTGGAAAAGGAAACCATAGAAGTTCGGCGCAATAGCAATAATGTAGGCCAAGAAGGCGCGCGGGTTGAATCCGTGGAAGTATCGATATGGACTTGGTTTTGAGACGTAGAGGGCTGGAATGTTGAGTAGACCGCGGCGGATCAGGTAGTAGTCGCAGATGAGAATGCCGGTAATTGCGGATAGGAAGATTTGGTAGGAGGAGAGGAATGTGATGAAAATTGAGGCTGATGAGAGGAGATACCAGGGACAAATGGCGTAGGAGAGGACTGGTGGGTTTGGTTGTTAGTTTTTGGGTTAAGGTAAGTGGGATTGTGCGAGCTTTCTCTCTCTTACCGGCACAGATGAAAAATCCTCGTTTGACTGAAATGTATCTTGGTAATAAAGCTGCGATATCGTTACCCGCACTAATTTTTGTTAATGTTTGGCGTAAAAATGTGCGAGAAGGAGGTTCTTACGGGATAGAGTTCTCGAAGATGGCAGAGAAAACAGTCGAATAAACGAATGCCAGAGCAATGAAGGCACAAGCTGTGCGATTGCCAGAGGTGTACCGCTCCCCTTCCATCAATTTATCCAAGAAGTTCAGCGGGTTCCAGATGAGCTAGAGAATTCTGTCAGTTTAAGCTCTCAAACGGGTCATTTGTTACAACAAACCTCTCCAAAGATCTCCTTGCTAGCCGATGCGATAAGGTTGCCTATAATAGCAACTAAGAAATTCGACAGAGGGAAGCTGATAAACTGGCCGATGAGGACGTCATTAGGCTTTGTAGCATATCGCTGGAGATCGGACGCGTTGGAAATGAAAGTTCCACAGCTTGCGAGTCCCAAGAAGAAGAATTTGAAAATTAGGTAGCTTTTCTCTGTCCCCTGGATCTTCGAGGGTGCATTGATTGACTTCAGAGAGCCACCGGCGAGAGATACAGTCCATCCCAACATAGCAAAGGCTGCACCAAAGTATACAGCAACTTTGGCATAGACCAGCGACTTCATCTTTGGTACAGGCACCACCAAAAATGCGCAATTGATAAACCTGCCGAGACTGGTCAGCAATAGATCAAGTATCGAGATACGAGTCATAGTACCAATAGACGAAGAAACACATCATTTGTGCTGAAGTCAAAGCCGACTTAGATCCCATCTTATCTGGAATTCTTTCAATAGAAGGGAATATAGCATGGAGAAAGACACTAGAGAGGAGTGTCAATAGCCACACCTCCGGTGCTTTCCTCGCTGAGGAAAACGTGATAAGATGTAAACTCACTATAAACATTGCCCTCCCTGAACGGAATTGACTCCATTCCATACAATTGACATAGCCGCACGATTAAACGTCGGCCACAGTGCTCCCCAGTGCCCAAAGCTGGCACGACAAAGTACAGGGAACGGAATGCGGTACATAGCACCACCACGCCCGTTCACAGCCATCAAGGCACCGGCAAGAATCTGGCCACCGAAAGAGCACCCGATGGCTTCCCACATGGTCAGTCCCATAGACATGCCCGTGGAAGCTGTGTACAAATTGCTCACGTTCGCAGTGGCAGAGAACCAGAACATCATGTAGGTGATTTGGGACCATGTTCGATCTTTTACTGGTGTTGGTCGGATCGAGTCATTGTCAAGCATGTCCACCGGACGAAGAATCCCATCTCGCTCTGTTCTTTTCACGGTTAGAAGCTCATCGAGCCGTGATAGTTTGGACATTGTGGATTTGGTGGGGTCGAATGTGGAGAAAAAGAGGAAGAAGGTAGAGATGGTGGAATTCGAGTGCTGATCTTTTAGTGGCGAAGTCGGAACTTTAATAGGGAGAAGTACGCGCAGAAAATATGATTTCTAGGGTTATTGAGTCCTTTCAAGTTCATAGGCCTGATAAGCCATGAACTCCAGTCTACAAAAACACTATGCAGCGTCGACGATATCTCCGAGAATCCCCAGTGTCAATGTAACAGGTCTATCTTGGCTTATCATCTCAAGCATGTGGGCGTAGATAGCCCGGCGATTGCCATTCGATGCTTGTCCGACGGTTCCCGGTGGACTTGACGAGACAATCCCGCCAAATTGATTGCGGGGGAAGAACGATGGATAAATTCACGAGCATCCTCGACTTGGTATTGGTCATATTGCATAGCCATGACTCTGGAATATACTCAAGTCGAACTCCTGACGCTAAACGGACCAGAATACCGCCGGGTGTCCACTGCTCCTCCGCGCCCACCAACCGATGATGAGATTCCAATCATAGATCTCGCCTTTATCGACCGGGATCTAGAAGCGAGAAAGATCATCGCCTCGAAAGTCAGAGCAGCGGCCGAGAACACGGGCTTCTTCTATATCAAAAACCACGGGATACCAGAAGACCTCATTCAGAGAGCTCTATCCCAGGCAAAAGCGTTCTTTGACCAACCAATCGAAAAGAAACAATTAGCCTCGAGCAACACACAAAAGAACCCAGATGGATGGCAGGGACTGGGAAGCAGTCAAATCAACAAAACCGAAACAAGGGGTAAATACTCCCCTTTCACCGCGGGGCACATGTATCATACCTAGGTATTACCGATGGCTGACAAAGAACATCCTCAGATCGAAAAGAGACATTCTCTCTGCGCTACAACCTCAGTAACGATCCAACTGTCTCCGATCCGGACACACTAACCACCGGTGATGGCTTTTCATGGGACACAACAAGCCATCTCCCTGGGTTCCAGGAAACAACAATTGAATTTTTCCAAAGCCGTCTCACGCTCGCGCGCAAGATTATCCGTATCTTCGCTCTTGCTCTAGGCATGCCGGAAGATTACTTTGACGAGGTCATCACAAACCCCGGTGCAGATGGGCTGTACACACACTACCCCGCTGCACCAGTCGAGACACTCGGAAACAACGAGGATGTCGATGTCGGCATCGGATCACATACCGATATCCAGTGCGTCACTATTTTGTGGCAGGATATGTCCGGCGGCTTGCAGGTTCTGTCTGGCAGTGATGAGTGGCTCGATGCTCGGCCTATCCCTGGCACGATGGTGGTTAATATTGGCGATTTACTGCAACGTCTGTCGAATAATAGGTTCAAGTCCACGGTGCATAGAGTTTATAATCGTCAACCTACCTCGCGGTACTCGATGCCTTTCTTCCTGGGTTTCAATCCGGATTCGGTTTGTGAGGTTGTGCCTTCGTGTATTGATGAGAGCCATCCGGCGCTTTATGGGCCTGTATCTAGCGGAAAGGTAAGTCCTATCCATGCCATGCCCCCATCTGTACTTGCTCGATATTGGATGTACCTGACTTGCACGTCTAGTGGCACCGGAACCGACTTGAACTCGCTCACGGAAAGCCAATTTCTGATTGAAGATGAGAATAACTCAGAGAGATATGTATTCCAGTTTAATTTATCCTCAAATATTACACGCGACTTGTATATATTTCAAAATTGTTGCATAGAGCCATTCATCCCGTCCCAATCAGACGCGGGCATCGAGTCAATAAACCGAAATGGAGCCCAGTCTGCGACCGACCCGGGGTATGAATAAAATGTGTCATCGGGAACTACCGCCACCTTCGAATCCAAAAAGTCCTTTGCCTTCTTCTGCACGACATTCGTGGCCCAGCTAAACACCCCTTCAATGCTTCTGGGAATCCTAGCCTGCGTCCGAACATCTTCCATCAACGTATATGTTGCGTGCACATCCGATATACTCGAGCAATACTCTGCTAGGGTGACGCCCGCATATGCGGTAAGCAGGTAGTCGTATGTTGGTCTAACAAACGCAGTTTCCGCAGTACAGAGGACAAGAATCTCTCTCAGTACCAGCTGAGCATGACGAATGACCGTTTGGGTCAGTTCGTTTATACGCTCGTTGCGCATCAGCGAGTCCGGAGACATGACCTGATTTTGCTTCGCTAATTCCCATCGAGACAATATGAGAGATACACAAGAGTGTGCCCACCTCAATACGTTGTTGCCTTCTGTATTCGGAAGTCAGGTTAGAAAGAGCCTCGAAGATTCAGTTAACATGCTCACCTCCAAGATATTTCCGTCCCCATCTGTTGACCATCTCCCAGGCTTCTGGCACTGAGCTGACGGTGTGATAGATTGCTTCGTATAAATGAATATAGAGCTTGAGCTCTGCTGCAATGATTTGATCGAATGTTTCGAACCCGGGGTACTTGACAATCTCCGTCCACGGATGAAGACGCTCACATGGAACTACGGATGGCCGACCGGTGCCAATTGCATATCTTGAGCTCTAGTCAGATTCAATGTCCACCTATCACTGTAAGTTTGAAGAGTACGTACTTCAGATGCACCAGCGACGCCTGGATCCACATCCTGCACATGTTCCGACTTGTCTCATCGTACAAACCCACGAGGGACACAAGCTCAGATAGAGGAAAACTGAGCATGCAGTGGGTGATAGTCGTACTGCTCATCAGCCAGCTATCAATATATCTCCCACCTGGCACGAGAGGCCCAAAACTCCACGCACTGAAGATAAGCATGCCGTGTATGGTGGAGATATCGATTGGTGTATCCAGAGTCTTCCTGCCCAAGTGGGTTTTGACCAATGTATGAAGGGTTACGTGCAAGTTTGTGCGGTTCAGACCAGCCGTTGCTCGGATACCTGCTAGAAGACACATGGCGAAGAGCAGAGGATGATTCTCCTTGAGATCCGTCAGCGTTTCATGCGGAAATGGGTACCAGGATGCTATTTGCTCGAAGCCATGCTGGAAAACACTGGCGAAATTATCCGAGTCCAAGCCCATCTCGGTCATATTTCCCCGAAGCGAATCGTTTTCCCCGGTCGTTACGGGCTCGGTGATTAGACTTCCGACGTGGCGGACCACTGTGATTGGTGCTGGCTGGATGTCGGTGGTTGCCGATATATCTGTCGCTGATGGCACGTGCATAGTGGCTTGACTATTGATATCTTTTCTCGGGTTTAGGCTACTGCTCGTCCCACGCGGCTCATTCGCTGGATCTCTTGTCAAGGACCGGTCATTGCTGAGCAGGTGAGATTTTAGTAATTCTTTCATCTCAGAGAGTGAGGCTTCGATAGCATCAAGCCTGGTACGTATCAGTCAGTAAACAGAGGCTCAGTCTATACAAACAGAATTCTAAATACCTGGTTGCACAATTGCATCCAAAAGGCTGATCGGGAATCCTCTCTGGTCTACCAATAGACCCCGAATCCGGACTAGTGATAGCAGAAGTAGATGGAAGAGAGCATTCAAGCCTATTTAGTGTCCGATTAGTCCCTAAAATTCTTCAATAAATGATAAGGCTCAATTAGGCCACCTACCTTAGAGAGATGCACCGAGCACATTGCCTCGAACCCGGAAGAACCTCGCATCGTGTTTTCAAGCGCCGACACGGCTGGCAGGACAGAATTCTTCTTTTGCTCGGCATTTCATCAAGTGGGATCTCCCATGGGATCACAAGATATTACGAAGTTAACCTGAAATTCGATGTTCTCCGCGGCTTATCTGGGGTCAACAGGACGCTAAGACGTCTTGGGTTTAGTTGCCCAGGTCCCGAGGTCCAGTGGCAGTTTAGGGTTATCAGGTTATCATCCGATAAGAGTTGACATTCGATGGCTTAATGAAATGAGTTGCATATGATGGAATAGTAGAGTGAGTCATTGAATTCGTTTAATAGATACATGTCGCTAAGCGGTAGGTTTGCATTTGAGGAGCTCAGCGCCCTAACAAACCGGGATGAAGAGATGGCCCAAAAGAATCATGCTCCTCCAGGGCCAAGATCCTTCCCCTTGACACTCTTCCACTCTACACCCAAAGCGCCGATCATACTGATAGATGCCACAGCCGCACCGACAATGAAGGTCTGGGTGAGTGCGTCATTGTAAGCATGAAGGACTCCGGGCAGGTCAGCCTTGTCCACAACACTGTGGAGGCTAGTGGCGCCCGTCTGGAGAATCACACCTGGATCCAGGTGGGGCATGTATCTAGCGAGATACTCAACAAGCTTGTTTCTGAAAACATTGTTTCCAATGGAAACAAAAAGGGCACCGCCAAGCGTCTGAGCGAAGACGATGATGGCTGTGCCGGTGGGTACATCAGCAAGATCAAGGACAACCTGGACAGCGATCATAGATTGCTGCATACCAGCACCGACACCGACACCGGCGAGAATCTGATAACCAATCCAAACAGCTTTGGATGTATCCGGATGGAACATGCTCATCAGACCGTAGCCAATGGCGAGAAGGACTGTACCGAAAATCATAAAGGGTGTGTAGTAACCGACGAGGGTGATGATGATTCCCGATATGATGGAAGTAAGAACAACGGAAATCAGCATAGGCAGGTTCATAATCCCTGAGCTGACGGGACTGGCATTTTTCACGGCTTGGAACCAGATGGGTAAGAAGTAGACAGAGGAGAGGAAGGCAGAACCTATGCAAAAGCTGTAAAGGGCAGCGAAGCAAATAGTGCGGCGGAAGAAGATACGCGGTGGCACTGTAGCATTATCTTGCTCTCTGTACTGGACGAATAGAAAGAGCAAAATGAGGACGGCGAAGAGGCAAAATAGCACAATGATGCGCCAGCTGTTCCAGGCATAGATGGTGCCACCCCATTGTAGAGCTAGCAACAAGCAGATGATGGCAGGTAGGAAAAGAGATGTACCCACGGGGTCAAACTTCTTAATGCGCTCGATCCATGTCGATTCCTTGACATGGCGATTGGGGGCAGGGGAAAAGATTGCAATCACCAGAACAGTGACAGCTCCGATTGGGAGGTTAATGTAAAAGCACCACCGCCATGTCGCCTTGTCTGTGAAAACCCCACCGAGAAGAGGCCCAGCCACAGACGAGATACCGAACATCCCACCGATAAGGCCATTGTACAATGGGCGCTTCTCTAAGGCCACCGAGTGAGCGATCATGATGAGGGAGCCCGAGAAAATGCCCGCAGATCCAATTCCAGCGACAGCACGGCCCATGATAAGCGTCAGACTGCTGTTAGCCACACCGCAGATCAGACTACCCAGCTCGAATACGCCAATGGCAGCAAGATATGTCCATTTAACATTGAAGAAAGTGTAGAACTTTCCGAAGAGCAGCTGAAGTGAAGCTGTGGTGAGAAGGTATGCTGAAACAGAAACAAAATAAAAATATCAAGATCAGTTCACCCCAATCCTCTAGGTTGCCTTTGACGTACCACTTCCGTACCATCCGACATCATCAAGGCTTTGGAACTGGCTCGTGATTTTTGGAATCGCCGTGGCAATGATGCTGTTATCTATATGACAAGAGAATATCCGTTAGTCTGGCCCTGCAATCAACTCTCGGCAAGAAATAGATGTAGACCCACCAAGTGCCACTAGAAACACACCCAGGCATAACGCTAGTGTGATCAAAGCCAGTTTGGGACCCGTTTGATGCCCGGTTCCCTCACTTGTAGTGGGCTCAACTGATAGATGCTCGGTGTTGAGCTCAGCCGCTACAGGTTGGAGTCCCTTTTCTTGCTCGGGGGAAACATGGGAAGTCAAAGTCTTCTCTTCCTGCTCAGAAAGATCGATGTGACTGGATTTGGCTGTGAACTCCATTTTTAGCGACTGGATAGACCGAAGCGTTCTTCAGTAGAGGGCGATCGGGTGAGAGCTGAGGGGGGGAGAGAGAAAAGCAAACAGCCTCAGTATCAAGCGTTAAAAGAGAGAGATGGAAAGAGAGGAAGACAGAAAACCTTAAAAGGATTGCTGACTTGAACCCCAAAAACGACTAGGTGGTTTTCCCCCGATGGGAACTCTGGTGCCTTCTAAGGTTGTATCTGATTTATGTAGAGATATAACATTCGAGGTACTTCATGTAACATATTCTTCAAATCTATGTACACATAAAATCTAGTCTCCCTTTTCTTTTTCTTTACATTTATAAAACCTCTCTGACAAATCAAATGGAATGAGGAAATGAGATATCGTGTCTTGCTTGAGGCGCCGTGGCCCGTATTCATTGGTCAAGAGCCTGGTTCTGGCACTGTTCCTCTCTCGTCAGCTGATAGATCTCTCTGGAGGGGATAGTTCCAAGTTTATGACACTCACCATTTGATAATATACGCCCCTTTGGCCCAGAAGCTCAATGTGACTACCCTTTTCCAGCACGTTGCCACCTTCTCCCAGTACAAATATAACATCGGCGTTTTGACTGGTGGTCAGCCGATGTGCAACTGCAATCATGGTCCTCTCCCTAGCTGCACGTTCAAGGGATACTTGAACCAATCGCTCGCTCTCGGGGTCGAGAGAGCTGGTAGCTTCGTCGAGAAGAAGAACTCCGGGATTACGAATTAAAGCCCTAGCAATCGCGAGGCGCTGCTTTTGGCCTCCAGAAAGAGTGATGCCACGCGACCCGATATTGTTACCATAGCCCTCGGGAAGAGATATGATGAAGTCATGGATTGACGCTTCCTGGCAAGCAGCGTGAACTTGCTCGTCTGTGACGCTGGCTTCGCCCATACCAAGGAGAATGTTGTCCTGAATTGTGCCTGTCGAGAGTGAGTGTGAATTCCTGCAAATTATACCAAGGGTAATACAGACCTTGGAACAAAGTAGGCTCTTGCGCCACAAGAGACAAATGCATCCCCCACGCATACATGTTGATATCCGAAATATCCGTCCCGTTGAACAGTATTTGGCCCTTTTCCGGCTCAAAGAATCTCTCGATCAGAGATATGATACTGGTCTTTCCACTTCCAGATGCGCCTACTAGAGCAGCAAACTGCCCCTTTCCAATTTGCATGTTCAGCCCGTCCAAGATGGGCACCTTTCGACCAGGGTACTTCAGGCTAAGGTCCCAAATCTCGATTGTAACACCACCGTCTTGTATTGGGAAGCCGTGCTTTTCGGGAAGGCTAACAATGCTAGAACCCTCGCTTGTAGGATACGTTCTGATGCAATATTCGCCTGGGCAGCGTTAGGACCGAAAGTCCAAATCTTTCCGATCCCCTCGGCAGCATTCATGATTGCCATTTGACACACAAAAAACACCATAGTGCCAAATTCCCCATGAGTGAAAAGGCGGCCACCATACTAAAATATCAATGCCTGACATCCTAGGCTGGTACTTTCAGAGAATCCGAGGATGATGCTCACCCAGCGAGCTTTCCTGTAAGCAGAAGTCACATACCATTGGCACAAGGTCTCAAAGCGATCAGATATGGAGTCCTCGAGGGTTAAGGAAGTCACCGTACGAAAAGCTCCAATGGCCTCCGAGGCAAATTGAGAACTTTCAGCAAAAACCGTACCATTCATCTCCTCGAATTGAAGCTCGTATCGAAATCGGATATAGCTAGAGAACACCCCAATCGGGCCCGCGCCAGCCAAAGAAACCAGTGCCAGCTTCCAGCTATACACCAGAGCCATCGTCAGGTTTCCGACAATGTTAAATGTAGAGATTCCGACCTGAGCGAGATCGACACCCATCATGTTTTCGATTTTGTGCGGGTCATCTCTGACGCGAGCGATAAGTGTGCCGTGAGAGAGACCGTCTTCGCTGAAATATGCTGCTCGTTGGTGTATGAGAGATCGGAAATACTCTTTTTGGTATTTAGATCGGATCAAAGATGCGACGTAACCCACGAATAATTCCAAAGATTCTCAGTTCAAAGCTGAAGAATCTGTTTTTAAAGGTCTCAACTCAACCCACCTAACCTTGGAATCAAGATTGTCTTAGCAAAATATCAAACTACGGCTTTCCCCTGCCGATCAAAATGGAGGATATGGTACCGGAGGATAAGCTCCGCGCCTGCGCCAATTGCGCGCGGGCGAAGACCAAGTGCATCCGGCCGGACAATGACACTGGCACCTGTCAAAGGCTCGTGTTTCCCTTGGTATTCTACATTATCAGGCAAATCTTACTAATGTTCATCAGATGTACCAAGAACAAGCTGAAATGCTCTAAACGGCATTCAATGTCGAAAAACCGATGAGGCAAGGCAACGTAAGTGTTTTCTACTTGCGGAAGCCATGTACGCAGCTCATTTACACGTTTCCAGTCATTCCAAGGTACTGGAGCAGAAGTTGGATAATATAATGGCACTTCTCACCCGAGATGGAGAGAAGCCACCTGGCAAAGATCGGGTTACCGAGCGTGTTCCATTTCCCAGCCAGGCCCCTGCTTCAGTAACACACCCTCCAACCCCAGATCACCCGCAGGCTCAGACATTATATCGGACACTTTCGACCAGCTCTTCACCTCGCCCGATCTGTATTTTTCCCGGGTTTGAGATTTCCCTCTCCGACGCGGACCAAATTCTTCAAGAATACAGAACCACCATGCTTCCCGAATTTCCTTTTGTTCCAGTGTCACCAGGGAGCTTTTCTGACATGGCCAACGAGAGGCCTTTCCTTGCGAAGGTAATTATCTATGTCTGTAGGCCGCCACCTGGGTCCTTGGTGGAGTTCGAAAACTGGTTCCGCCAACACGTTTCTCATGAGGCTGTCGTTCTTGTGAACAAAAGCTTGGAGCTTGTCCAGGCGATTCTGGTCTTTCTAGCTTGGTATGATGCAACAATCTTTCTCTCGCTTGTTTAGAGTGGTCGCAGAGGTTACAAACTGATATTTCTGTTTCTCAAGGAATGATATATTTTTTTTATGCCGCATCTAAAGATACTTCCCTGTTGCAATTGGCGATTGGGCTCGTCGAAGATCTGGGTCTAACGAGGCCACATCATGCAGAGAACCTAGCCTTCGAATCTATCGTTGAAGATGCAGCTCATCAGCGCAACGATCTAAATCCCCCGCCCAAACAAACCAGGGCTGACAATTGAACTTTGGTGGGCGTTTTTTACACAATATCTACGTGAGTTTTCGGTCCTGTCTCTTGAATGATTACTGCGATACTCATATGACCGCCACTATAGACTCAGTAGCCTGCTTGGCAAACGATACAGACTCGACTTTACGCCACACTTTGATGAGTGCTGCCGGCAACTGCTACATGATCAAGAATACTCGACCGACACACTTTTGGTGCATCTCGTCGGAATTTGTAAGATTTCTACCAGGGTAGATACCCTATTTCGACAGATGGTCGACAGTTCGCACACTTGCCAGTCCAGCGGATTATACTCCATGGCGGTGGCTTCAATCACGAAGGACCTCGCTACGTTCATGCAACAATTACCAAACAATCTGAAGTGGAATTGTAAGTCTACAATATCATGAATCAATGCACTGTCATATCTCACGCCATGAAGACCTGTTGAAGATGCACCTGCTGCTATCCACATTCGATTGCTCGAACCCTTCAAGCCGAATGACAGAGACGAGACGCCTCAAGCCACCCATTTGCGATGCCAAAAACTTTTGGATTGCTTACAAAGTACACAGGCTCTTTTTGATATATTCCGCTCAGTACCAGTCGAATCATATGAGTTGCTTACATTCATACCTGTTCTCCATGTCGCTCTCGCTATCATCAAAGCCGGCCGCTTGCTATCCTTTGAGGACCCAGCCTGGGACGTGAATACGGCACGGAGTACATATGATTTTCCAGGCATTCTTCATCAACTTACCAACTCATTCGAGGACGCTAGCAGACGCGGTGGCCCGAGAAGCAAAATCATAGTACACGGTCGACCAATCCTTTCTGAGTATGCGGCGTCCTATCGGGGCATCGAAAGTTTGTATTCCGCAACGGTGAAAAAAAGCGCAATTCCCGCAAGCACAATTTTCCCGGAAATAGTCAATGGGTCTGGCGGAGATTTCTTTTTGGATTTCTGGAACCCTTTGGCTGAGTTGACGAATGGGCTTTTCCCTTGAGGATTGGATACTTCTTCTCTAGTGTCTTCTCTAGTGTATCGTGGGAAAGACGAAAGACATGAAATTCTAGTTCGGGAAAATTTCTTCTAAGCCTAAGAACACAACCAAAGCAAAATACCTCAGAACTGGAATCTTCGGACAGCCTTGAAACGAGAAAAGCCGCCAAGCTGCAAAATGAAACAGGCTGGAAAGGATTTATTGAAACACTTCTCATCGCGGTCGGTTGGAAGCTGGTTAAGATGCGCGTTTATCTCGGTGATGTGAGCATAAAATTCGAGGTAGCGAGGCCAATCACGATCACTGGCATGGGCATAGAAAGAGAGGTCATATATAGAGACTTCCAAAACTCGCTCTTAAACGAGGTCAAAAGCGGGCGAGCAGAAGGGTGAAGAGAAGGGCGAGAAGTCAGAACAGCAACTCCGTCGGCCAAGCCGTCACCCTCCTCGGCATCATCAACGCTTTCGAAGGATGCCTCTTCCGACTGGCGCGGCATGGGGGGCAACGTCTCAGGAACTAGAGGTCATTCATGAAAGTAGAGTGTGTCATTTTGATCGTACAAGATCCCAATTAAGATCCTGGCCCATAGAAGTATGTTGCTATATTGTAAATCTTTACCTAGGCACCGAGGAGACCCGTGCAATAGGTGTTCCCAGATCAAAGCGGGCCGATCCTTTGAAAAGGAATTTGAAGCATGGAGTCTTCGTCTTAACGCCTATAATTGACCTCTGGTGATATCCGAGATACAAGCTGATTTTAGTTTTTGATTGGTATAATGTCGGTGTCTTCCCGACCCTCAGAAGGGGATGAGGATCATAGTTCCTTGTTTGGGATCGCTAACACTGAATTTGTGTGTTAAGTGGCATTAGAATGATAAAATCAGTCGTTCTTGATATTTTATATATTTTTCAGTCGTTGGTTTTTCCAAACGGTGTTCTTCCCTGGTATTTGGAGCTCAGCTCTATACTTAATTGTCCACATCCAAGTCAGCCAGAACACTCCAAAAATGACATATTCAAAACCGGATTTAGAATATAAACCTGACTTATCCAAATAGAATAACTTGATTGGGGAAAGAAATCCTGGACTGACAGTCAATCGACGTAAGTGCGCTACATACTCATGACGTCAAGCCCAACCAGCTGCAAACAAGGACCAAGCAAGATCGACATTTTAGAGCTATTTAAACAATTTAATCTGCATGAATCTGGGGAAATCAACTAAACATAATTCAATCGCATTTCAATTCCTACACTATCGGAATCTTCTACCATCTACCACTATTCTACTACACATCAATCATGTTCACCAAGTCCGCAGCACGATTCGCTCCTCTCCTGAGAACCCGGGTGGCGACACAGACCGCTCCTAGCTTCCAGGCAATTCGTTCCATCTCAGCTACTGCCCCATGCAATAAGGGACCTATCGATGCGACAAAGGACACACTGAAGAAGGCCGATCGGACCGTTGCCGATGCAGCAGTCAAGGGCATTAATACGGGTGGTATGTGTTCAATGTGATCTCATAGATCAAAGATATACAAAGCTTTGATTCAATGTGCAGAGGCGGATGCTAACGTGACTGTACCAATAGAGAAAGCCGCTGAGAAGATCAAGGAGGTTGTTGGCTCCGGGGCCAAGCAAGCAAAGGAAAAGGGAGGAGAGGTGAAGGGCGAGGCCGCCGAGTATGCAGGAAAGGGCAAGGGCAAGGCATCAGAAGTATTGGGCGAAGCTAAGGGTGAGGCAGCGGAATATGCAGGCAAGGGCAAGGGCAAGGCCGAAGAAGCCAAAAGCAAGGCCGAAGATGCACTGAACAAAGCCAATGAGAAGACGAAGTACTAGGTGATGTGCCAGGCTGAGAGATCGAACTCCACAACGATGAAAGGCTAGGATCTTGTCTGCCCGCAAAGATTGCGTTAAGCTTGTATCTCTTGTTATCCCAATTGTAATATTATTATCATGTTCCATTCATCAAGTTTGTTGTAGTCTATAGCGCTTCAATGCTTAAAATAGAATAGAGAAGAACACTTCAGCTGGGAGGCAGCATGAGGACGTATTCGCGCGAGCTCAGGCCGAAGCGAATTACATCCTTGTCCATGACTTCCACGTAGCGACCAGCGGGGATGGTCTCCCCGTTAATGCTTGATCCATTTGCACTCTCAAGATCAATGAGATAAGGCTTGACCTTGCCGATGCGGTCGCCGTATTCATTGCGCTTTTCAACAAATCGGAATTGTAGCACTGCATGCTGTTTTGAACAACTGGGATGGTCGAGTGGGAAATCTACCACCATTCGCTCACGACCGACCAGCCAGCAACTGCGTTCAGCCAATTCAACGGTTTCCAGCAAGTCTGGCCCTTTGAACACATACATGCGCCAGGGTTCCTTGGCGGGCGGCTTGCGCGCCTCTGGAGGCTCATGGTATTTTAAAACTATTTCCGCACCGCCTTGAACTCGAACTGTATTGGTTTCTGCTGCAAGTCTGCCCGTTGCGTTAAAGTTCGGCTTCTGCTTTTCTGGTGCAGGCGCCTCCCCAGGGTGTGCCACATCGGTGAATGCGTCGGACTGCGAGGGGAGAGGACCGCGTCGTTCCAATGCCTGCGGTGCAGGGCTGGGTGATTTTTGCGGCGAGCGAGACCGAGAGCGTGATCGCGTACCACGGTGTCTCCGAGATGATCTTCCTTCGTCTTCGTAGCGGGTATCACGGTGTCGGTGGCTGCGGTGTCTGTGTCTGCGGCGGTCTTCGCGGGCTGAGCTTGTTGATCGCTCTCTGCGTTCACGGCGAGGCCGATCGCGATCTCTTCGGCCGCTAGTTCTTTCAGCTGGACTGCGAGATGATCTCCGCCGAGAGCTGTCCCGATGAGAGCTCCGGCGGTCTTCATCGCGTCTTCTTGAGCCCGAGTAGTGATCATCTTGAGGTGCATCTCGTCGCCGACGTTCACGGGTCTGATCTGAAGGTGAGTGCGCGGAGCGCTGCCGGCGTTCGCGGCGGTCGTCGTCGGACCCAGCCATTGATGCTGTTGAAATGGGACTGCGGAGAAAGGCAAGCGTAAAGATCGAGGTGTTGGAGATCTTTAGATTAAAGCTCCAACTATATCCACGTGACCAGCCCGGAAGCCGATCCGAAGGATGAGAGCCTTACCACACCACCCTCACGATAACTTTGAGACAAGAACGCAACGGGGAGTTTGACCTTACTCTCTGAAGTGACACCATGTGACAATGTTTAAGAACATTCATCTCTATGTCAACCGCCCGCTACTATCGAAATTGACCGCGATCTCGCCACTGTCACATTTCAACCCCAAAATCTCTCCAAGTCATGGACTGCGGGCACCATGCAAAAGCAGGAGATATGCCACCGGAGCAGAATTCCCATTTCAGAACTACTCATGGCCTAGCACTGCGTCTTTCACCCCGTATGACGTCTTGAATCTACCCCGCGACGCGACGTACACGAAAAGACATTACTATGACCTCGTTAAGATCTACCACCCCGACCGACCTCTCACAGACCATCCTCTTTTCAGTCAATTGACCGCTGAAACCCGACTACATCGGTACCGGATTGTGGTTGACGCACATGATATCCTTTCCGATCCGATCAAACGAGCAGCGTATGATCGGAATGGCACTGGCTGGAGCCACACGGTATTGGATACAACCATAATTCGCGACTCACATGGACCAAACATCTACTCAAATGCCACATGGGAAGATTGGGAAGACTGGCATAACCGCCATCAAGGGCCGCAGCAACATGTTGTCGACCAGCGCACCTTCTCTCGGCTTATTATCCTCTTGGTGCTGTTTGCGGGCGCCCTTCAAGCATCCTGGATCGGGCAGATGAATAATGGCATGAATGATCGATTACGTGAGGTCACTGAGCAGTCGGCGCGGGTCCTACAGAGCCGCAGAGATGAGGCCATCAAACAGATGAATTCAAATGAGGCGCGGGTGCAGGGTTTCCTCATTCGGAGAGACCCCACCGGGTCGGGTGTGAAGGACCACGAGCAACCGGTTTATCAGAGCGAGTTGAATCCTCGTCGCGGTCTGGACGGGTCCTTCCAGGCTGGCCAAAATAGCCGAGAGTCTGCACAGCCGGTGGATAAGTCTGAACCTTCGGATCTCTCCTAATCCTGTTTGATGAACATACGATTGCATGACATTTCGGGTTTTTTACGTGTATTGTATTTTCATAAACGTTTGTAGTCCTGGAGACTTGCGACGTATTTCCTCGACTACTGAGAAAGTACATATCCTTCAATTAATCTCCACTTCGAATTACTTTGTAACAGCCTCTTTCCAGCCTTAGTCATAGGGCAAGGAAAGCAATACAATTTTGAGTGGCGGTTTTATCTAGTCAGGACGTATCGTCAACTGAATGAGAAACTTGATATATCGCCAAGAATAAGGGATGACTGCATAATCTGGGTGGTAAAACTGCCGCCTCGGGAAGTGATCGGCTCTCCCCCGGCTGTCCTGAACTGCTCACGAGCGATCCTGACAAGTTCACCGAACCTGATCGCTCACCCCAATGCCTAGGCTGGTCGATCGAATCAGCATTATCTTGCCTCTCCGGTCTTTCAGACTCTCCGGCATTAAATGCACCGTTACCCACTTATTCTTGGTAGCGAAGGCTGGAAAATGGCGGATTCGCGCGTTGCTATACAAACTTCCCTTCAATCATGAAACAGTTGGCCGATTTAAGCGGTCTCCCAACTTCTGTGAGAGATTGAGCATCTTGTTGTCCCTGAATTTACCATCCAATCTTCCATTCACAACATAGGCTCTTTCCAACCGCCCCTTCAATAGAGCCAAATATATATTCTTTAATTATCCCGGTTGTATATATCCGGGCCTGTGTTGACCATAACGTCATCGCATACTGACAATCGGGCACAGTTTCTAGTAGTGGATCCTACTATATTTACAAGAAGGGAAATGGCTGTTCCTGCTAGTAGGTAGAAAAGTCGGCGTTCATTCAAGTGTTAGGATAAAGATGAAATACGTCAGTAGTATCGAATTTCAAGATTCGTTGCCGGGGAAATCAGGGGATTAGTTCTCTTAAATACGGTAGTATCTAATTTTCACCCTTATATATACTGGGCATGCGCAACAAGCATAGGAAACCTCCCCTCACCTCGGAAGAGATGACTCACCTATAAATCAATCTCATGCTGCACAACGACCTTCTCGAAACTTGCAGCCCCCCGAGCCGACTCCTCAATCGCCTTGATGATAGCATCCTTACCCAAGACGGTCCGAATGGGCGGCATCCCGAGAGAGCGCAGATTCTGCACAGCCCATTCCACAATCCGCGAGGTACGCTGGGCATCCGCCACGCGAGCCGGGAAGGTGATTTTGCCGGCAGGTGTGTCTAAAGAGAGCTCATTCGCGGTGGTTGCGAAGCATTTCAACGCCCGCGGGTGGGGGATTGTGGTGACGACGGTAGCAGCGTCGTCGCAGCTTCGATAGCACCAATCCGCCATGTGCTCGGTTCCAACATAGCCGATCGTATCGAACGCCAGCCGGAGCGGTGTCCCTAGCTCACGAGCGAGTTGCTGGATCTGACCGACAACGTCCGCGTCATGGTAATCGACACAGTGCGTGGCGCCGAACTTCTTCAGGGCCTCGTGGTTGCGAGGTGACGCGGTCACGACGATGGGGTTCACTCCCACGGCGGCAGCTAGCTGGATAGCGGCCGTTCCGACGCCACTGGCTCCTCCCCATATCAGAAGTCCCCCGGGTGGCGCATCCAGATCCTCGCCTGGGTCTGGAAGACCCAGCTGGCAGAAGAGCGCGTCAGTCGCGGTCCGCATCGCGACACCAAGGGTCGCAGCGAGGCTCATGCTCATGTGTGTCGGGACGGGGAAGACCATGGAGTCGGGCGCAAGCATATAATCCTGGTGCGATCCGTACTTGTAGGGCCGTGGTTTTAGGGCGGGGGTCAGGCCGGCGACATTGTCTCCCACTTGGAAGCGAGACCCGGGACCGGCTTGGACGACAGTCCCGGAGAAATCGTATCCAGCAACGCAATCGACTATGCCCATACGTTTGCCATGCTTGAGATCAGCGGGATTGATGCCACTGAAGGCGACCTTTATGAGGGTCTCAGCCTGGTGAGGGTTGTACTGCTCCTGGATTCGCTTGACGGAGAGCTGGCTGGAGTGTGAAATCCAGACAGCGTTGTGAGGCATGACGGCGGTGACCAGAGAGCACGAGAGTCGTTCTCAACGGGAAGGTCGATCGATATTTGAGAATGCTGGAGGTAATGTGGGGAGTAAAATGATGGCGTCAATGGCAGGAGACGATATCTGGGGAATGAGTGTCTGTCCACGGATCTGCATTGTGGGGCGATCCCGAATGATCGGCCCCGATCCATCCTGCCGATTGGCTGTTTTGGCAGGCGTGCAGATACCTATTTACCTAGTTTGTCAGCAGGTCTATTACCTAGGTACATACCTACCTACCTACAGGCTTGGAAATCATTCAAGGCTTTTTCAGGGTTGGCTTCGAACCCAGAGCAATACTCAAAATAGATTAACCCCCATCCAGCCCTTATTTGCCCGCCGCACCATCCAATCGGCATTGAAGCCCTTGATTCATCCCATCATAACTTGGCCTGATACTAGAAGAAGTCCGTCCTAGCGGGTGTGATTGCGGGTGGATGTTAAGGATAATCTATGTGTGATGGCTTAAAAGGTAGGGAGAATCAGTAATTGTCCAGTTTGAAGTATCTATCTCCTGTGGCTTTCCCAACGATACCAAGGAAAAGCATATTCTTCGCTGATGATGGACCGATGCTGCCTCGTCTATGACCAGCTAGCTGCCCTCTAGGTACGAATCCCGACAGATCACTGGCGAAAAACACCATCGGACCGCCAATGTCGTCCGAGCAGCTCAGTCTTCCCACAGGCATCTTCTTCCCCAACCCCTTCAACTTGAGTCAGCGAGGAATTTTTCAGTCATAGCCATCGATGTCAAAGGCAACACGCAGTCATACGGGATTTCGTGGGGTCCAAAATCCACCGCCAGCGACTTGGACGTAGTCAACAGCGCCGCCCCTTTTGGAACATAGTGGGTCAATCTCAATGCGCCAGACAAGGCCGTGGTGGAGGAAGTTTGGATAATGCTGCCGCCCGTACCCTAGCAGATCATTTGATTTGTCGCCGCCCGCGTAAGATAGTATGCAGCGTTGTAATTGACGTCGAGATGGCGGTTGAACAAAGCTTCGGAGATAGCGCCTGCGCCTTCGAATAAGCGAATCCTGGCATTTTCCACGAGCAGGTCGAGGCAACCGTATGTCGAAACGGCCCTATGGATGATTTGCTCGGCCGCCCCCTCGTGTGTCATATCGCAGCCGAGCGTGGCCTGTCATCCCACAGGGGCATCCGGAGCCGGCTGTGGGATTTTGGCCGAGAGCGACTCGATCTCCGGGAGGTTTGAGTTGTTGTGATGGTGTAAGACCATCCGGGCTCCGTCGCTTGCACAGACCATCACAACAGCTCTTTACTGCCGGAGGAGCATCGGGTGACGGCGATAACCTTCTCGTTGAGAAGGGCTGCTATGGTGATGGGTTCTGGTACAATTCAAGGGGATGGCTTTGGCAAAGGGATACCAATATCAACCTCCACGCGCCGGTCCGCCCCCGCAGAAACACCTCCCAGGGTTACCCTATTTTTGCCTCCAAAGTCTCCGCTGGTGAGGGCGAATTTGAGAGCCCATCTCTTCTGCTGGAAGACCAGGTGATCCGGGATAGTAGATTCTGTGGCATGGCATGGCAACAGAGGGTCTTGGTGCTTGGTTGGAGAAACCTCGCCTTTCCTTACTTGATGGTCACATCCCGATAGGATCGGTGCAAGGCCCAAATCTCCATCCCTATAGCTTCATCGTTCCTATCTATCAGATTCAGCCACCAGAATGGCTGCCATGCGAGTCGTGGCGTTCGACAATATCTACAAAATCGTCGTCGAGCACCGGCATAATACAGCTCATCAACCCCACGGACGCGATTGTCTAGGACCAACTGGCAGGGGTGTGCGGAAGCGATCTTCATTGGTTTCGAGGCCGTCAGAAGATCCCCGCCGGGTCTATTCCCGGCCATGAATTCGTCGGTACTGTCCACGAGGTTGGCGTATAGGTACGCAGATTCCAGCTGGGCGATCAAGTAGTGATGAGCGAGATCAATCTCTGGCATCCAAATCTACTAGGTCTTGTAACCGTCAGTCCCTTCTAGACGCCCTTTATCACCTAGTGCAGGGAATACTGTTACTGCTAGCGTGGACAAACCAGCTGATGTGAAGGAAATACTTTTCGGTCCCTTCTGTCCTTCCGCGAGTGCCCAGTGCCCCCGGGGCCGGAGCCCCTGATGACTAACCCGGTTGGAAGGCAACGGAACCTTTTGCCCCAGCTCGTCCAGAATCAGTAGGTATCAATGGCGACGAAGCGGGATACATCCGGATTCCCTTTGCAAACTCCACACTTATTCCCTTCCCTAGCGCGGTACGTCGGGAGCTGGCCGTGCTGGCAGCCGATATCTTCCCTGCAGATTATTTCTGTGCGGCTCGCATTTTGAAGAAGTCGTGCAATGTTTTAAATGACTGAGGCTTGGTGGATGGGACGCTTCATATGGCGTCAAAACCAGCCATTTCTCTAATCACCTAGCGTTGTGGTGTAGCTAGAGAGCCCAGGCTGCATGAATAAAGGGGGCAGTAAGAACGGAATGTGTCCTCGGTAGCCCTCCAGGGCTGGAAATTATGCCGACTGACGACAGGAGAAACTCAGCTGATGGGCTCTGCGTATGGAATCAAAGGTTTATATAGATTATCTTTTCACTCCACATTTTGCAATATAATATCGACATGAAATAAGGTACCCCAGGATATTCTATTTCGTGCGGAAAAGGGGCCTGAGCGAACGCACTAATCACATTCCAACATCGAGCCGATTTGGCGCCACCAAAGCCCCGTTGACGTCGGCGGGTCATCCCTTCAGAAGGAGGTTGGGGCAAAAGGTGTCATAATGTACACTCCCCGTAAATCTGAGGCTGAAGGGGGGAATTTTGTATCTGGTCTAGACCGGGGGCTTTCTGGACTATTTCAGATAGTATGTAAATTTTCATTGCGCTATCCCGGGCACCTTGAATATTCCATACAATTCGTTTCGAACATATTTCATATATTACGAGGCTACAAGGGGACAGGATTTGAATTTGAACGTCATTGTTTGTACCGAGTACAGGACCAGGTACAAGATATTGAAGCCTACGTCACATTCAAATTTGGCTGGGTCAAGGGGAATCTAGACACCTCTTCAGATACCATGTATAGATATATTATATATATATATATAAATCATACGCGAGAGCAGTCAGTAAATAAAGATGAATGAAGTCTTCAGAGATGAAATCTATTGAATATAAGAGAAGCCGGCCAAATTCCTTTTTTTCCCCCTACGTCATATCCGGGTACATCACGCCCCCAGTCCACTTTTTTCCACTTCTCAAATCGATCCAAGCAAATGGGCCTCTGGGTACGTGAAGTGGTTTCTCTCGCGAACCCCCTTTGATTACACCGCCAACCTTATTCGTCCATTGTGAATCCCCCCTCTAACGACGACCTTGTTTTTTCTTGATCTCCTTCCGCCAAGATTTGACCCATTTGCGACCCTCAGCCACGCCTCATTTCGTTCCTCAACCCCAGTTACCTTTCCACTCGCGGATGAACGAGAATGGGGGAGGTTCATAGGAGGAGCCCTCCATTCCCTTCGCCAACAGAGTCACTTCCACCTGCCAGACCATCACATATGCAGCCTCTCCGATCGCCTGGTCCCCGCCCCCCACATGGTCATCAGTCACAAAAATTGGTGGACGAACTTGCGGGGAGGGTAGATGCTCTTGAGAAATCATCTCTCAAACCATCTCGCCTATCGCGCGGCGACTCTGCTGATCAGCTTGGTTTAACACCTGTCACCGAGGACCCACGATCGGACGCCGAGCGACAGGAGGATCAAGTACGCAGTTCGCATACTCTCAAGGAACTTCGAAGACAGATGGAAGATCTCCTGGTATATCAACAGATGCAGCAAACACAACCAATCTCATCCCAGGATCCTTCCTCAAACCTCTCGAATGATCCGCCAAGAAAGAGACGTTTGTCAAATGCGTTGTCCAATACTTTAACGGAATCTCCAATCGCGATTGTACAACCTTCCGCCGACTCAGGAGGTTCAACAGGGACCATCAAAGGTTTCCAGACAGAGACACCATCCGATCGAAAACCGGAACGAACGCCGTCCTATCCCTTCCCACACATGCAGAGTCCACACATCCAGAAAAAATCAGTCAAAATGGCGATTGAACCCACAGCGCGTGGGCCATTTAGACTGATGCTTCCATCCGAGAAATCTCAATCTTCGATACCAGGGCCCCAAGCTCTACCTACAGAACCAAACGCCGTGGAATCACGCCCGACATTTCTACCCGCACATCATAGCCAGATCCAGGAGGATCCAAATTTTGTCAGTCCGGATCTTTATGATCTGACACTTCAGCTGAATGCGGATTCGGGACTCGAAGCATGGTGGTCCAACCTCATTGATATACTGCAAACGCATTACGGGGCTGAGCGTGTGTCACTCGCTGTCCCTGGAGATGTGACTGATTTAGAGAATGTGCCTTGGGGCCAAAAGGCAATCTTTAACCAGCACGTGGATGTGCCGTTGCATGAACTTCAAGCACGCCATATGGAGAAGGCATCATCACCAGAAGCATCTCGCGTACGGAAAAGCGTCACGCAACAGAAAACCGAGACAGTGTTCCATCAGGCTAAAATGCCTGGATCTTCCCGCCCATCTTTGTTATCCCGCCACTCATTCGCTGGGTTTGATAAAAACAAAGGCCACCCTTCTTCCGATCCCAACCGACCACAAGTTTCGAAGATAGATGTCAAATCCGAGAAAAAGCACGTACATATCACTACCCAAAATCCGCCACCCGCAGATCAAGCCATGGGGGAGAACTCCGAAGTCCAAGAAGATACACTCAACAGTCTTCTCGGCGGCATGCGGCAAGCTGTGTTCCCCACACCTAGGCCATTGGAGGTAGAGCCAGATCCCCTCATCAAGCGTACAGGCGTGGTCAAGTTATTTGGGCGTACTCGTCCCACCATCTTAACACGTGAATATGCAGAGAACGCGCAATACCCACAGCGGTGGGCTGAGTCCGCCGAAAGTCCGAATGAGATGGTTCAAGTCACTCCCGATGTCGATGGCCCTGGTGAAAAGGGAGTCGGGGGTCTACCGATACAACAAGGCCTCGGTGTCAGTGGCTTGAAGCAGTATGATGAATACGAGCAGCTTCCGCAGTCTCCGTGGTCTCAATCCCCTGCTCCATCGCCCGCTCCCCGTACACATGCAGACCAAAACCCATTTTTCACAAACCACACGGTCGATGAAGGGGCTTTCTCTAAGAACCCGCCTCCCCACGACTACTCTAATAATCTCCCACTAGAGGCCATTGGGATCGACCAGTCGAAGACCGTCATCCATATTCCTCTTATACATGGTGGCCACTCCAACCGGGACTCCTCATCGACATTAAGATTTCCTGTTGCCGTTGTGTCGATGTTGTGCACGATCGTTCCATATCCTCCTAATCTTAGACAATCCCTCTCATTTCTGATGCCACAGTTGACAACTTCTTTCTGCTTGGCTCAGCGATATAGCCAGCTTGAAAGTCAACTCTCATCCAAAGTGGAAACTCCTCGCTATGGTCATCTTTTAGGTCTCGGAGGCACTTTCTCGGATGCAAGCAGTGAGCTAGAGCTCGTTGCAGGACTAAGCAGCCACGTCAGCTACTCCGCTGGTGACAATAACAACTCAATGTCCGCGCATGCGAGCACCACTAGCCCTAGTGATCGTTCGTCTGTAAAGTTTAGTCCTGTTGTTTCTGCTTTGGGGACCCCTGGATTTGATCTTGGCCATATTGGATTTGGATCTGCGACCCAATCTCCAGGAATGGCCCCACGATCGGGCGAGGGTGCTGACAGCTACTTCAATGTTCCGCAAAATAAAAGTGGCCGAGACAATGTATCCCAACACAGACCACGGCTCTGTAAGTCGAAGGCCACCAACAATGATTCATCGTCGCCAATTTCTCCCGACAAAGTGGCCTGGAAAACAGCCATGGGCGAGGAGAGCAACGCACAAGATCAATCTTGCTATGTCACATCACCACTGCAAGAAGTTAGGCCGTCCAGCACCTTTTCACCAACTCAGCAATCATCACGACAAGCCTCTACGAACTCGTTATACGCCCAACTACAACGAGAACTCCCGCGCCCGTTCTCTGACACGATAGCTCAGCTGATGCTGAATTCCATACCGTTGCATCTTTTCCTGGCAAAACCCCAAAGTGGCGAGGTGATCTGGACCAACTCCAAATTCGATGCTTACAGAAGAAGTCAGCACCAGGAGCAAAAGTTTCGAGATCCTTGGCAGAATATTCATAGCAGCGAGAGTGAGCACGTTCATATAAAATGGGCCAATGCCTTGCGCACGGGTGCACAGTTCACTGAAAGAGTGCGGGTTCGAAGATTCAACGATGAATCGGCATATCGCTGGTTCATTTTCCGGGCCAATCCGCTGTTGTCGTCAACGGGAGAGGTACTGTACTGGATTGGGTCTTTTCTTGACATTCATGAGCAGCATATTGCTGAGCTTGAGGCAATTCAAGAGAGGGAAAAGTTTGCTATTGATGCAAAGTATCGTGCATTCTCCAATTCCATCCCACAGATTGTGTTTGAGGCAACGGAGAAGCGCGGATTGATATTCGTCAATGAGCAGTGGAACCTGTACACCGGCCAACCTCTGGAGGAAGCACACGATCTCGGCTTTGCCAAACATGTCCACCCGGACGATCTCGAAAAGTGCGGTGAGCTGTCTCTCAATAGAACATCTTCGAATGCAGACCAGGATAATCGCGGAACTTATGAGTTCATGGTTGGATCAGCTCTTGACGAACTTGTCAAGCGCGGCATTGCTTCATTGCAGCAAGATGAGAATGGCAGAGTGTTCTATTCCACCGAGATCCGCCTTCGTTCTCGAGGTGGTGATTTCCGGTGGCATTTGGTACGCCTAGTACGTGTCCGGACCAGTAGTTTCGGCAGCGAGGAAGCCTCCTGGTACGGAACATGTACCGACATCAACGACCGCAAAAACCTTGAAAGAGAACTTAACAAAGCCATGCAACAGTTGAATCACCAAATGGAGTCCAAGACGAAGTTTTTCAGCAACATGTCACACGAGATTCGTACCCCGCTTAATGGCATTCTTGGCACTATTCCCTTCATCCTGGATACACAGCTTGATAGTGACCAGAGGCGGATGCTTGACACTATCCAGAACAGCTCCACCAATCTTCGCGAGTTGGTTGACAATATCCTTGATGTTTCCCGTGTCGAAGCTGGCAAGATGTCAATGGTCAAGTCCTGGTTCCACATCCGATCAATGATTGAGGATGTAATCGATACGATCGCCTCTCGAGCAATCGATAAGGGTCTTGAGATCAACTATCTTATAGCTGAAGACATGCCATCGATGGTGATTGGAGATCGGTTCCGTATTCGTCAAGTCCTAATCAATCTTCTCGGAAATGCAGTCAAATTCACTGCGCAAGGTGAAATCCACATTTCTTGTGGCATGTCTCGGGATCCATCTGCGAATCCCAATGACACCCAAGCATTCATGAACTTTGAGGTCGTGGACACCGGAAAGGGGTTCAGCTCTCAGGACGCGGAACGACTTATGCAGCGATTCAGTCAGCTCGGAGAAAGTGGGTCACAGCAGCATGCAGGTAGCGGCCTTGGGCTCTTCCTGTCGAAGCAACTCGTCGAAATGCATGGCGGCAAGCTCACGCCCAGCAGCAAAGAAGGCCAAGGAGCAAAATTTTCCTTTAACGTCAAGGTCGATGCTCCTTCGCCACCTTCCCCCTCCGAGCAGCCGAAATTGATGCGCCAGAATTCAAGTGCTTCAAGGAGGCCGACTCAGTCCAGAACAACCTCTTATCAACAAGCACCTCCTCTGGCTACCAAAAACTCGGACTCATCCGGAAAAAGCACTGATACCAGCCTTTCTGCCTCGTTCTCAATCACATCTTCTGCTCTCCCGACCCCAGAGATTGGCACCGTGTCCCTGCCGCCTCCGTTGGAGCAGACAAGAGCTTTGACGAGTATGCCAGATGCAGTCTCGGATACAAGAAATGAATCTGCTGATTCAAAGCCAGACACACTGGCCCGCCCGTCGTCTATGTCTCAAACATCTGGCTCTCCGAATACACCAATAGGACCGGTATCTGTGCCCGTCCATGGTCCTTTCTCCATCGTCATCCTGTGTCCGCTCAAGAACTCCCGGCAGGCTATAAAGCAGCACATCGAGCAGGTCGTCCCTCATGAAATTCCGTTCAACGTCACAACGTTGCTTGATGTTGATGAATGGAAAGACATGACACACTCGCCTTCCAACGATCCTTGCACACATCTTGTCTTGAACCTTCCAACTGATGATATCTTGGAAGTCATCCAAATCATGTCAGACTCAGGCTTGGATCCCGCTCCTGTCATTGTCATAATCTCAGACCTTTACCAAAAGCGTCAGATTAGCTCAAAGGTCAAAGAGCTAGCAGCTTCAGGAAAGCAGGTTTTCATTGTACCAAAGCCTGTCAAACCTTCTGCTTTCTCAACCATCTTTGATCCCAACAGCAAGCGTGAGCTGAGCAAGGATCGCAACCAAGACATGGCCCGCGAGATCAATAACAATTTCAAGACCGTATCCAAGATGGTCAAAGAAGTTCTGGGCAACAAGGGTTATCGAGTCCTGCTCGTCGAGGATGACGAAACCAACCGAGATGTAAGTTGATTGATGAGACGTACATCGGATTGATTGCTAACTGACATACAGGTGATGCTGAAGTACTTGGACAAGATCAAGCTGATGTCGGAGACTGCATCCAATGGATTGGAGTGCACTAACATGGTGCTTTCTAAAGAACCAGGATACTATTCTCTTATCATCGTGAGATTTCCCTTCTACCCTTTATCCACCGCAAAACTAACTGTGTCGATTCGCAGTGCGATATCCAGATGCCTATCAAGAACGGTTACGATACCTGCAGAGATATCCGTGCCTGGGAACAAATGAACCACTACCCACAGATCCCAATCATGGCTCTCTCAGCCAACGCAATGACAGATCAAATCGAAAATGCTGCCCGGGCAGGCTTCAATGACTACGTCACCAAACCAATCAAACACAATGAACTGGGGAAGATGATGATGGGCCTTCTCCAACCCGGTCGTCCACTCATGCTTCTACGAGACCGTCTTAGCGCAGAGCAGCAACAAGCCATCGCCGCTCGCCGCTAGAAACTTCCCGGTGTTTACCTGCCCGGGCCATCTTCACCCCTCACGCTTTTGCTGCTTTCATAGCACGCTCTTGTTTTAATATTTCTCTTTTTATACATACCCCGCCAGCCGTACACCTCCCCTCCGGTTCTTGCATTTGGCATTCTTACGATGAACCACGGTGTAACTTTTTGGCGATTCATTTTGGATTTGCGTTCTTGACTTTGGGTGATTGCACAGGGAGAGCCATTGGATGTTTCCTGACACGCATGGAGCGTGTTCATTTATATTTTGGAAGTCCCATTGTGACATTTGCATTTGCATTTGATCTCGAGCTATTGATACCATTTCCCTAGCATTTGTACAGGCTTGGGAGGGTATGGGGTCTGACCTCGCTCTCTTCGGATCATTCATGAGCCCAGATCTTTTCCTCTGAGCCTGTGCATCGTGGCGCCGATACTCTGATTCTTGCTTTTTTGGGACTTTAACCCAGCAAGCAAGCCGAACCCTTTTTCGTTATTTTTGTTTTGTCCTTTACATTCTTGTGATACCAGATTATAAGCGTACGGCACTTCTCTAACTTCTGGATCTTGTATTTGTCAATAATCCAACTCTTACTGTTCTCTCAACTTGGTTTCAATATTTGGCATTTAGATGGAATCGGCCACATACTTGGGCTTGCAATTATTTTTCCAGGATCAATAGATATATAATATTACAAGTTCAGACCAATATCAAGCATTCAAGGTAGGGATCTGTTCAATAGTCCATACATAGTCGCGTATTACAGTAGCGTACATGGTAGATACATCGATGTACATCCCAAAAGGGGAACGTGGCCATGGCGCATGTGGCGGTGAAGTAGAAAATCCCCGCAATCCCCCACTTGTGCGCTGGATTTTGCGAAAGTGCATTGCGCCTTTCACTCGGGACTTGGATTTGACTGAAACTTGAGATACTCGAGGCTCGTGTGGTTCACACTTGGACTCTAACGCAGGTAACCCTAGATGGAAACCCCCATTGAGCGCCATCCCCAATAAACACAAGAGGCATTCATCTCGATATTCGGACCAAAACAACGGGCTGGTGTAACTCATATGCAAGGAAACTCCGTTGACCTCGTGCTTTTTATACGGAGTATTCTGTAACGTTCGAAGGTTCAAATGTCTTTGACCCGAAAGTCTGAGTTGAAGGAGGGGCGGATCAAGAATCGAATTAGTGGAAGGACTATGACGAACAGCGAAATCCAAGGGGAAAAAAACGGTGTATGGTTCATTCCAAGCCGAAGTGTAAACTGCGCGTCATTTAGTTGCCGTGCTGCCCGATATTGACCTGACCGAATAAGAGATTGTGCTCAGTCATTCCCAACATAAAGCGAGACGAATGACATCCCTGTAGTATTCAGCCAAGTCAGGGTCTTGATTAAAGATTGAGAATGGAGGGTGGTGTCACAGGCCTCGGTGGCATTGGTTGACGGGGCATATCGTGAGTCGTCAGGCTGCAAGGCATGTAGGCCCGGCTTTTAGGCATAGTGAGGCACCAAAGGGGAAAAGAAAAAGAGAACGAAGGGACTGGAAGTCAGCAAGGCAGACCCAGATGCGGTTGAGAACACCCGGGCCTCGAAAGGTGTGCCCTGCAATTGCCCATTTTCCATTTTCTTCCCTAGTTGGGCCTGCGTGGTCTTCATGTCAGCATTGTATCTGGGACCAATGACAAACAGTCGTGGGCGGCACAGGATTTTCTTGAAATATAGTATTTCCGACGGGGCTTGCAGGATGAAGTTCCCATTCTCATACATGCCCCATAGTTCTCGTCAAGCAAGTCATCGCCCATCTGCATAGAGTGGAGAGCATCTTTCTCTCCCATGTTGATTGGCGTCTAGAGCGCTTGTGGATGCGGCAATTCTCTTTTTCTTGTTGTCAGAGCCTCTGGTGGCTATTGGTGGATTCGTGCAAGAGGGGGACTTTCTCATTGTGTGCAATCACAGCCGCATCCAGGTGGGCAAATGGAGAAACCAGGCTCAATGTTGAATTGTGGGTGTTTTTTTTCCTTTGTAAAATCGGCACACCTCGGCCCTTGGCCGCAGGATGCTCGTTTTGCTCATATACTGCCAGGATCATTCTTGTTTGAACCATGCCAACGACGCATGGGGGTCACTGATTTAGGAACAGTTTCAAATGCTAATCCTCACAGTCCTTCGGTTCATGCAGTGATGTCCAACATTCTCCGTGTGACCTGAAATGGATGCAGCGATCCTCGATTTTGGGCTCTTGGGCTCCCATCCTGAAGATGATGTAAGGCCGCGAGACATCCCGGGATCTTTTTGGGTTCCGTGAAGTGGCCGTATTTGACCACTATACAACTACAACAATTGTATGTGTAAAGGGAATTGATCAACTAATCATCATGTTAGAGACTTGAACAGTTAGAGTGGGAGATATGTCATACCGGTTCTTGTGTAGTCCGTCTTATCTTGGGGCTTTTGTCGAATCAACCTTGATCGTCCTTTTCCCAGCCCCCGGAATTTCTGAAGGAAAACTCAGATCATTGGCAAAGAGGCCGGGGGAAAAAAAAGCACAATCTATGAGAGATGGACAAAATTAAGTCACGAAAAAGTGTGAGAAGGACGGAGGGCCAAGCCTATATTTATATCTCACCTTCACACCAACTCCACCCATCTTAACCCCCATCAAACCCACCCTCCATGTCCTTCCTAGTCAATCCCTGAATATGTACAGTCCGTGCTTTAGTTCTAAAGCTTTAGACCAGGAAGAGGGGTGTAGATCGAGACCAGTTTTGCACCAAGCCGCCACGGAACGGCGGAAACCCTAGTGGAGGAAGGCGTCCTGGGCCAGACAGATTGAGTCTTTTTTTCCACTCTGAGCGGGGTCAAGGCGGTCCAAGAGGCAAATCGGCGGGCAGATACGGAGACAGACGTGCAGCGGAGCTCGGGGATTGGGGGTACAGAGGGAGGGGTGCGAATCAATGTGCTCCGACTGGCCCAATGGCTCCTTCGAGGCCTTCGCAATCCTTGCCATCACATTCGCCTCCATCAGGATGTGAACTTCCGCCGGGAAGAAGACTCCCCGTGGAAGGTTATAAAACCCCTCGTCTAGCCCGGGGGGGACTGTTCTTCTTTCTTCTTCCTTTCCCATCACTCCTAGTTAGGCCCGTTTGCACATTCTTCCACATTCTTCCTATCTTGCTTACCTTACCGCACTCAAGTCTAGTTGACTCTCATACTTCCTCTTTGCTTCAATATAACACTTGTTGCAGTCAATCGTCGCCATGGCCACTCAGCGTCACTATTACCAGCCCACTGCCTACCCATACCACCATGCACCATCCAAGGCGCCGGCACCAGCACCTCTCTACCCCATTTCCAGAGTCTCTGGTTCCCCACCAGATTTCTCTGATGCAAGCACCACTGCCGGCAGTCGTTCCTCTGGCGGGCTCACCTTCAGCTCTGCCGGCGAATACGACTCCAGCTTTGCATCGTACTCCGGCGTCGATGTCGTGGATGTCCTGAGCGACCGCATGCAAGATGCATTTGACCCAACCCCATTAGACAAGGGTCTAGCACGACAAGCGCAGACGTGAGTTTCCCTGCAACCATCACCTCGTCAGCATTTTCAATTCTTGCCTGCAGCAATCACGACCACCAGGAGCCAGTGGTTCGCGAAAAAAGAGTCTTAACAAAATGCTCAACTCGCAAATGCAAAGCTAACATCACCTGCAAATTCAGATCTGGACAACTGAACGCAAAACAGCAAGAACTCCTCGAGCTCCAAGCGCTCGCACAACGCCGACTAAAAGGCGCACGGGCGAATTTCACCGAAGGCCTGAAAACCGCACGAGAGACAAAGCGCGATCTGGAATGGACTCAAAAACGCGTCAGGTAAGCACATTCACCCCCTAAATCAGGCACTGTGGTACGATGGACGTGCAAATTCCGCTCCGCCCCGCGACAGGGGATTCCGCTCCGCCGGAAGAGCTTGGCACGTGCACGTCGATCAGCGTGCCTGCGGCATTAGCGCCGATGAGGGCGTTTCTAGAAGGCTGACACACGTGGCTGGAAATAGTGCTCTCAAGGCTAAGGCTGAGAAGGCCCATCCTGATGAGTACCGTCGCTCTTCGAGGAAGTACGCCTATGATGGGTATTGATTGGGCCTGGATTGGGCTGCGTTTGGACTTAGTGATGACTGGTATGATGGGGAAACACCCCTGGTATGGATTTAAAATTGGGATCTTGGGATGGAGGCTGGATTATGGCTTTTTTTGGTTCTTCGTTGGGTTTGGCGCGCTTTTGCTTGGGTCTTTGTGTATATCTTGGATAGGTCATCTGTGTCTCTGCACGTGTAGTAGAGATGTATCTCTAAATGGTATTGGTTTTACGTGTTTTTCTGTATGGTCTATGAATTGATGCCTGTAGGCCTGTAATATCAGGCTTTGAAGTATGCCTGAATCCCTTCAGGGCTGTAGAGTATCGTTGATTGTTGTATGGAGGTTATTGTCTAATTGTGAGCCTGATGTTGAACGCTGATGTCTTGGTCTCATGCAGGCTTGATGAACCAGAACGGTTGATAATTATAATTGAATACGAGTCAAGTAAATGTTGAAGCCCCCCATAGTAGGTTTGGAAACCGGTCTGTTGATTTATATACAAGGCCTTTAGTGTTTTGGTCTGGAGCGTTTGTCAGTAGTCAACATAATGCACTAGCAAACCCCGATCTTTGCATAACTATGGCGTCAGTCGAATAGAGAGTTAAGATTAGCAGTGCTGGAATATGAGTGTAGCGGTCATTTGACTGAACGTTTTGCTGTTGGGCTTATTGAATACTAAGGAAAGGGAAATTGAGATTGCAAGCATATATTTACTTAAAAGCTAATCTAGTTATAATCCCAGCTATATTCAACAAAAGGATAGCCCGATATAAGCAGTGCTCACTGGAAACTCCGTTCCTCCTCAATGGCACGGTTGATAACACGAACAAAGCGGCCGACCTTGTCAGTATCCTGTTTGGCTGTTTCAATACCCAAGAGGATCTTCTTAATGCCGACACTCAAGCGCCCATCATCCGCAAGTCCGCCGACAGATTCGAGGGCTCGCGCGATCTCCTGCGCGTCAAAGGCACCCGATTTTTCCATGACAAACCGCAGTTCACCAAATGAGCTAACATTGGGAACCATGATGTCAGAGTTGAAAGAATTGTAAATGTCCAGCTGCTTCATCAAAGCACGCTCAGTTGTCGTGGCCAGAACCAACAGACGACGTCCGTGAGTTGGCTGCTTCCTCAGGAAGACCATGAGAGCTTGCAGCACACTGTTGCTGAAGCGAGGACCAATTGGGACCCAATCGATGATTCGCTCAATGTTGTCGATGACAACGATACTTGTACTACTCTTGTAGGCGCTGTCAAAGATTCGGCTGATGTGTGCAATCTTTGCGGGCTCGCTGAAGCCAACCATGTCTTCGGGGCTGATCAACTTAATAAAGGGGAAGCCGGAGTCGATGGCAATGCGTGCTGCCAGCGCGGTTTTACCGCTGCTAGGAGGACCGTGGAGCAGCACAGAGAAAAGTGGAGTTGAGTCTGCCGTCCCAACTTGCTTGACGAACAACTCGCCTTCCCGCAGGATTTCGCTGATGGTCGGAGAATAGTGGATAATACCGTAAGGAATGCGGCTGGCCAGCTCTTCCTCGGACACACCAAAGGCAGGCTTGACTTCATCAAGAGATTGAAGGAAGTCAGCCCGGTTGACCTTCATGTTTACCACATCATCGTTGATACTAGCCATGGTACCGACTTTAACATGGCGAGAGAAAGCAAATGACGAGGCAGATTTGACCAAACCTGCAATTTCGGCACCAGAAAAGTTCTTGGTCAAATGCGCAAGCTCGGCCAAGTCAACGTCCGTATCCATGACATTGTTGTTTCGCATTTTCTCGGTATGAATGTTGAGGATCTGGCTTCGACCATGCTCGTCAGGAAGCGAGATTTCCATGTGCACCTCCAAACGACCGGGACGTAGTAGAGCCTCATCAATCATATCCATTCGGTTCGTCATACCGATCAGCAAGATGTTGTTCAGTTGGTCGACACCATCAAGTTTTGAAAGAAGCTGGTTGACAACGCTATCACCCACGCCAGTACCACCGCCTGAGCTACCACGCTGCTTGCAAACCGCGTCCAGCTCATCGAAGATAATGATATGGAGACCACTCTCGTCACCCTTTTCTTTATATTCCTTCTCGGCATCCGCAAACATCTTCCGGATATTCTCCTCTGATTGACCCACGTACTTGTTCAGAACTTCTGGGCCGTTGATAATCTTGGGCTCTCTAGCATTGAGCATCTTTCCGATTTGCCGAGCAATAAGGGTTTTACCCGTTCCCGGAGGTCCATAAAGCAAGAGGCCCTTGACGTGCTGAATACCAAGTTTCTCAACCAGACCAGGGGGAAAATGCGAGAGGCAAAAGCACGACGGAAGATCGTGCTGAACTCAGAGTCTAAACCACCAATACCCATATCCTGGAACTTGAAGCCAGGTTGGATGATAGAGTTGGCCGCTGGGCGACGGTTAGATGGCTTCACATTGATACCGGTCTGGCTATCCTTGAAGAAGTTAAGCTGGGTGTGCCGTGTGAGAATACCCCTGGCCGTGGGATCGGTCTCGACTTCTCCGGAACTGAGATCGGGTTTTTCTGATGTCAAATCAACCCGCTGGACGGTTTTGACCTGTAGTAAGAGCGGGATACTCTTGTTGTCCATCAAAATCCTCTGGCCAGGCGAGAATAGCTGGTTCTCAAAGTTCTGGGGCCCATTAGCATGGATTCACAATGGGGACGGAATTGACTTACCCTGATCACTGCATGTGCCAATTCATCCTGGTCATAAGGAGTTTCGACTCGCTTCTTGGTAGATGCAAAGCTGACTTCAATATCCGCAGAGCCCAGGTAGGCCTGCCCGCCTTGGCTAAACGGATCGTACAGCTGCACCTTGATCGCATCTCTCAATCCGATGTTGGCCCATGTCCGCTGAGGGTCCGACATGCTCATATAACCGGGCGGGAAGCCATCGAGAGGGCGAGCAGAGAAGACGAAGAGGTCATTGATAAGGAGGAGGACATCGGTGCCATCTCGTGAGGGTGGGATGTCCTGCGGCGAAACAGCGACGCTACTGGGGTTAGCCTCCCGGAGTAAAAGAAAGCCAGAAGACACTCACAGGTTTCCAAATGTGTAGTTATCATTGGGACTCTTGCTTGGATGAAGAGTCCAAGTCTGGCCTCCACCTCTTTGTCCGGACTGCATCCTAGAAGGCATATGTTGCTGCGGCGGGGGTCTTCCTCCTGGTGGAGGTGGGCCTCCGTAGCCACTTATATCATCATATACATCAGCTATCGGCACATTGTCATCGTGTATAGGAGCTGCATAGCCTGCTCTCAAGGGGGAATTCGGTATCATACTGTGGGGGTGCTTGGTTGGGATTCGAGTAACCCTGCGGGGGCTGCTGTCCGCTAGAGCTGAACGGATTTGAAGGGAGATTTTTACGATTGAACATGATGAACCGTTTGGTCGTCGCTAATCGCAGATGTTGAGTTGGGAATAGTTGAAGCTATTCTTAGCGACACTGTGTCGGGAACGGAACAGACAAGTAAGCAAGTCAGTCGGCTCTGTACGGTAGCGTAGGTAACGTGGTATCAAGTTTCAACTGTTAGTTTTCAAGAGTTTACCTGGATATGGTGATATCCAAAGTAAGGCTAAGGTGAAGGAAGAGAAGAGAGTTGGAGTCGCAAAGCTGTCGACAGGGCATTTGGCCACCCCGGGAACAGCGTCGGGCCGTGGGGACGTCATTATCGATAAGACCAGCTCTTTCCTATCGAGCCTCAAGTTCCATGCAAGGGTCATCCAGTTTCCAACATGCCTCTGTGAGTGGAATTCTTTTTTTTAAGATTACAATAACCGTGAAACTGCTAATTCTTCCGTAGTCATCTCCTCGGTAAGAAGTCATGGAACGTCTACAACGCCGATAATATTGCCCGCGTCAGGCGCGACGAGGCGCAAGCAAAAGCCCGCGAGGAAGAAGATGAACGTGTTATGCAAGAGGCCGACGCCGAACGTAGGATTAAAATTCTTCGCGGCGAACGTCCGCCTACGCCTCCACCGGCGCCCTCCCTGTCGTCTGAACCCGGAGCTCGATCAGACAGAAAATCTGACCGAGACGCTGGAGGATTCCGTAAAAGAAGGCGTATTGCCGGCGAGGATGATACAGATCGAGACATACGATACGCTAGGGAGGATGCAGCACAGGCGGTTTCTAAGCGTGAAGAGTTGATAATCGCCTCTCGCAAGGCTGATACAGCACAAGCACCGATTTTGGACAAGGCCGGTCACATCAACCTATTCCCAGCCGCAAGTGCGAAAACACAGAAAAACCCCGAGGCGGAGGCCGAAGCGGCACGGAGGAAACGCAGCTATGAGGACCAACACACAATGAGGTTCTCCAATGCTGCAGGCTTCAAGGAGACTATTGGTCAGAAACCGTGGTATTCCTCTGCGGAGAAAAACGCAACAGCGCCAGGGTCGATGCCCGAGAAAGATGTGTGGGGTAACGAGGATCCAAGGCGCAAAGAGAGGACACAGGCTCGTATGAGTGCGGATGACCCACTTGCAGCCATCAAGCGGGGTGTGCGTCAATTGAAAACAACAGAGCAGGAACGGAAACGGTGGAATGATGAAAAGCGACGAGAGATCGAAGCTTTGAAAGCCGAGGAGGCACGGCAATCAAGCCATCGGCGAAGGCGATCCCCCTCAGTGAACAGCCTCGATGGGTTCAAACTGGATCAACCGGACAGAGAACGTGAGAAGGACCGACGAAGTTCTGACAGGCATCATCATTGTCGCCGTCGAGATCAAAGTAGAGAAGGCTCCCATCATCGTCCTCGTCACCACACCTCTCATCACAGTCGTCGTCATCATCACGATGAACGTTCTGGGACTGCCAGGCGGGAAAGACATACTGAAGCAAAGAATCAACATTAAGTATTCCATTTGTTCTACGAGATCACGACTCAAATTACGAAAACGATACCAATTACATTGCTTATTCCTAATGCAAATCATTTTTATATTCCCTGGGCCCAATATACGACACCCAGATGATGGGGTGCCGTCCTTTTCTATGTAGGTAGTCATATCTCTTTTAGTTCATCAATAAACGTATCAAAAGATCACTCGATCCTATTGGAGGCTCCATAGTTGGACTCCCTTCTCATTCGCGTCGGACTCCCACTGGACACTGATGTCCACTCCCCGAGAGCCCTTCTCGGTCTTCTCATAACCGATCTTGCCGGTGATGACCTGGCCCTTCTTCAAGGCCCGAGAGCCTCGCTTAGCGTCGTCCTTGGCATGGTCAATGAGAAGGACGGTCTGCTGCCAATGGGTCTCGGTTCCGTGAGGTCCGGTGGTGAACGAGACAATCCCCTTCTTTTGCATCTCTGAGGGGATGGCATCCTCAGGCAAAACAGACTCTCTGGAGGGCATGAAGAAGATATCGAACCAGATAATCCATCCATCCAATGCATCGACATCCTGGTTCAATGTGACCTGGAATTCCTTCAAAAACGACAGCTCCTCCACAGTGATGGTGTGCAGCGGAAGCGTCAAGAAAATCGGAGAATCTCCGACAACGGTCGTGGGCTGGTTGCTGCGGACTAAAGCCTCATCGTAGATCTTGTGAAGCATGCTGTCCATCTTGAAACCGTAGACATTGTGCCAGAACGAGATATGCGACGCGATGAAATCCGGGTCAGCATAAGGGGCGAGGCGCAGGGTAGCGTGTGAAGGAGCCATAAGGCCGCCAGGAGCGAGGTAACGATCTCTGGCGTAGATGACGGAATCAAACATAGCCTCAAAGAGAAGACCGTAGCCCATCCATTCAGAGATGATGATGTCGACCTTCTCGACGGGCAAAGTAACCTCTTCGATCTTGCCACGGATACATCTGGGATAGAGTCAGTGCTGTTTTTTTATTGTGGCGATGATTATGAGGTCCTTACGTGATGACATCTCCAAGGCCATTGTCATGGACGATCTCCTTGGCTCGGTCAATGATGTTCGAGTTGTCCACAGCAATAACCTTCTTTGCACCAGCCTTGGCACAGAACATGGACAAAATGCCAGTGCCACAGCCGACATCAAGAACAACCTTGTCCTTGAAAACATGCTTATTCTCGTAGACGAAATCGCGGTAAGAGTCAGTACGGATAGTGTCCTTGAGCATAGATTCATGAATGCCTTTCAACCATGTTAGCATCAAATGCATGATCCAGTGAGCAAGGTGTCCTACCGTTGTAAGCATACGAGACGAAATATCCATCCTCAGCATCCTGGTGTCTGTCGATCGCCTTGGCTGAGGGCTGCGGGTTGGATTCAGCAAGCTTCTCATCCTCCTTCGACAATTGGTCGTCCATCGACTGCTGCACAGCATTACGGTATTCGGAGAATTGGGTCTGCAACCGCTCTAATTTCTCCTGGAGTTCGAGAACCTGTCGGTTTGTCTCTGTGCCAGCGACAGCGTCTTCGTTCTGTTCTTCAGCAAGGTCGTCCAGGCTATACAAGAGAGCGTCGTCTTCCAAAACGGGCTTGAGATAGACATCGTCCTCGAACTTGGACTTGGACGAAACATCGGGGGTTTTATTTCCGTTCTTGACTTCGGTGCGGACGTAGTTGACCAACTTGATGTTGTCGAGGAAGTCCAGATCTAAAAGCGGAAAATAGTTAGCCTCGATTGTTGAGCCCCCGCAAGAGTAGAAGATGAGCGTACCAAGGTTCTTCTGGATCTTCAGCAAGTCAAAATTATACTTTTCCTTGCACTCCTTGATCATTGAGCGAGCATCGGGGAAAACTTGGTCAGTGAAGAGACCAACCACAGGTTGCGACTCCTCATCGGCTTCAACATCTTCCCAGCCCTCCTCATTGCTAGAATCAGATGAATCCGATACTGAGTGCGAGTCGGGGAAACGATCACCCACAGGTGCGTTCACTGCATTAGGAGCTGACATGACTTATTGACTTATAACGGTCAATAGCAAATTGTTTCAACTGAGAGGGAGGGGCAGAAGATAACATTTTGATAGAAAAAAAAATATCCGTTATCGGTTGGTGCCTCAGGCAGAGGTCGTCCCCGTTGCCCCGCCCCGGTTTGTTTATTCGCAACTTGCAATCGAATACATCACATTTGCTGTCCCTTGGACTCGATCTCGATTCGCCCGTTGGAATTATAACTTATCCTATGTTACCTTAATCTCCAGTTTCTTTCTCAATTTGCCGCATATCCTCCCCATCTCGCCATGGCTTTCTTTTTCAATCGCGGCCGGTCGCGGCAACCTGCTGATATCGTCCGGACAACGAAGGAATTATTACTGAGGATCCATGACTCCCAGAATGCACCCAAGGTTTGTTTGGAGACATCAAACATGGAGAGGGCGATCCAATTAACGCATGCGCCAGGCTGAAGAGGAGCTGGCTAAGCAGCTCAGTCAAATGAAGGTGATAGTACAAGGAACACCAGGTTAGCTGACTGGAAGTTACACCCAGGGGACAATATCAAGCAACTAACACAATGATTGTCTTTAGAGGTCGCCGCATCAGTGGATCAAGTCCATGCACTTGTACAAGCAACCCTGCAAGAAGATCTACTCTTTGATCTATCTAAGAGCATCCATTTGCTTCCGTTCGAAGCCAGAAAGGACACTCAGACCGTATTCTCCCACATCCTTCGATTCCGGCCAAATTCATATGGAATGGAAAAAGATCCCCCTGTGATCTCATACCTTGTACACCATCGACCAGAGATCATTGTCGAGTTATGCCGGGGCTACATGCAGAGTCAAAGTGCAATGCCATGTGGTGTCATTCTCCGAGAGGCATTGAAGTTCGACGTCATCACCGCGATTGTACTCTATGATCAATCAAGTGAAGGAGAATCCGCCATAAGACTATCTGAAGTGAAACCCAACCACCCACAAAGAGGAGATGGTGTGTTCTGGAGATTCTTCGATTGGATAGACAAGAGCAATTTCGAAGTCAGCGCAGATGCGTTTACCACATTCAGGGTATGGTTCAAAAAGATGGCTATTGGTGATAGGTGGCTGACGTATTCTTCACAGGAGATTTTGACCCGCCATAAGAGTCTCGTGACTTCGTACCTGGCAACCAACTTTGAACTATTCTTTGGGCGATTCAATAACATTCTGGTCCATTCAGACTCGTATGTGACTAAGCGTCAAAGCATCAAGCTTCTGGGGGAAATCCTACTGGACCGTGCGAACTACAATGTGATGATGGCATATGTGGAGAGTGGAGACAATCTCAAACTATGCATGAAACTGCTGCGGGACGATCGCAAGATGGTGCAGTACGAAGGGTTTCATGTTTTCAAGGTGAGTCTATCGTCGAATTGCAGACCAGATGATGATTCGCTCTGACAAGAAATTAGGTGTTTGTGGCCAACCCAACCAAATCGGTGGCAGTGCAACGAATTTTGATCAATAACCGTGATCGACTGCTGAGGTTTTTGCCTAAATTCTTAGAGGACCGAACAGATGACGACCAATTCACGGATGAGAAGAGCTTCCTGGTTCGTCAGATTGAACTTTTGCCCAAAGAGCCTGTGGATCGGGCTCGACCAACTCGCGACTCGCCATCAGCTCACACAGCTGCTGTGGCTTGAGCTGGATCTGACTCTGCTGGATTGACTATTTCATGCCCTTATGATGCTTTTTTTTACACTGGTTCTAGCTAGGGTTTTGCTTTTCTTTTGACTGTATTGAATGCATTGACAGCTGATGGCCGGTTGCCCAAGCCTCGGCTACAGGAGTTCGACTCGTCTTGGATATTTGGGGGGGCGTATAGGGGGATTGAGGGTTTCAATTGCATCTACTCTGTGTTGTCCATGTACTCCGTAGTTGGGTAGACACAGACACAAACAGATTACAAACCTCTTCATGTTCCACCGTTGGGCATTCTAATCTAAGCACTTGGGAACTAGCGTACTCCACAATACTCCTTGTTCTCCCCTGATCCACACGCGGCCCATGAAAGGTGGGACAAACCCCCTTGATATCTATTTTGAGAGAAACAAGAGGGAAGTAGATTGTACATGGGGGACTTGAACTGATGGAATCGTAAGGAGATATACAGGATATGCATGTATCTCCAATAGAATGATGTACAATTACATGTAATTACATGTATCCAACATGAAATCCATTGGAATATTGAAACTTCCTTGAGGAACGCCAAGACCGACCCAAAATAGCTCCACAGGTATCTTTCTCTCAATTTTAATGGAGATTCTGTTCTGAAATTCCCTTGTGATCTTCCCCTTGTCGCTCCTTTCTACTTCGATCCAGGATTTTCGCTTAATATTCCCTCTCCACCCCCTTCGCCTCCTGTGCGCACTCATTCCTTTCACGCGATTCTAGCCCACGCGCAGATTCGCAAGTCATGCCGGGATAATGGTGAATGAGGTTTCTGCATCGTTATCGCCCGACCGGTCGAAGTCCGATCCGATATTTCACGCTGTACCGTTTGAAGATACCGTTGACGGGCCTCTTGCAATCGGGTCGGTCTCGTTGCCCACAGCCCATGCGCCAATAGTCTCCAATGGCCGATCTTTAAGTACAAGCGCTGCGTCTGGTCCCAGTCATGATCATGCATCTGCGCTTATGTTCTCGCGGCTCGCGCCATCCATGTCAGTTGGAGATGAAACTCGAACGATTCGGTCGGAAGGAGCACCCTCCTTGCGCAGCGTGCCCAGCATTGTTGTGAATGAACCAGGTTCCCGGCCTAGCTCGCGGCCAGGCTCAAGGCCGGGCTCTCGATGGTCAGAAAGAAAGTGGGGTGGTTTAAGGAAACGGTCACTTGAGATGGAGAGGAAACTTAGCTCGGAGGAGCCTCCACCAGTGCCTCAAATCGAACACCCCTTCGCTGGTATCCCCTTAGATATACCGACAGCCTCTTTGGATGGTTTGGATAGATCGATGAAATTTTCCAATCGCGGAAGTCTGATCAAAAATCAGGCGAAAGGTCCGTTCCCAGCGTCACCCCAGGAGATGCTTGAAGCCCACCCGGAGCAACATCCAGACCAACCGCCCCAGGAGAAGTCGGACGAGCACTCCGAGGAACAACTAGAACCGCTACCCAAGGAGAGGATGGACGAGCACCTCGAACAACAACCAGAACAACCGCGCCATCAAAAACTAGACGAGGAGGAACCCCGGCAAGAACCAGCCCAGCCCGCTCAGAAAATCTTGGAAGAAAATTCCGATCAAAACTTAGACCGGCAGACCTCTAAAACTGCTCTGCCCCCTCCCATTACCATGAGCCAGCCTGAAGGGGAAAAGGGAACACCGAAGGCTGTTCCACGGCACGCCAAACCCCAGGGCACTCTTCGGCCTAGACAGACTAGTCTTCCGAGCAGAGCAATCTCGGCAGACGAAGATATGTTGTCGCGGCGAGTTCGGTTGATGTACGAGAAGGGTGAAGATAGTGTTACCGACTCCGAGGTAGCGCAAGCGTTGGCCTCAGAACACGGGGTCTTATGGGAAGAGGGTGCGGTCCCCGATACTGAAACCTCTGGAACGCTCGCTGCTCGGATGAGTAAGACTGGAAATGAAAAAAAACCAAGGGCCTCTGTTGAAGTGGAGCGTGTCCGAATCAAGAGGGAAACCCAGGAGCTAGCAGGGGGTGCTGAATATTGGCAAAATGTCGGCGCAGAAGAAGTCGATCGTTATGGTTTCATTCGACCTGCAAAGAACGCCAAGGGCTCCGAGATTAACCCGCTCCAGCGAGTCACGACTAGTCTCCTACTGGCTTCTGAGACACCTCGGCGGAAACGTTCAATTCGCCCACCAACAGCTCCGGCCAGCAACCGTTCCTTCAACGGTCCATCCCTAGTCCGCAAAATATCCCAAAGTTCCCTAGGTGGCCGTCCATCCTCATCGCAAAGCAACTATGGTCCCCCATTGCGCCGTACGACATCTCGTTTGCGCACGGCGACCAATCATCTGCCTCATAACAGAGACCGAAAGGCCAAAGATGAGGCGGCTGACATGCTCACCCTACCTACTCCATCTGCTGGCGAGACTGAAGATGCGCCAATTACTCGCGCAATGCGAAGAAAGGAGTGGCAACGCGAAGACAAGTGGACCAAGATGGCTAAGCCGACCAAGAAATCCAAGGATGGTGGCGGTATGACCTTTGAGTTCGATACCCAGAGCTCAAAGTTGATTGAGCGAACTTGGAAAGGAATCCCAGATCGGTGGCGGTCAACGGCCTGGTACTCATTCCTCGAAGCCAGCGCTCGACGCCACAAGGGCAGCCCACCTGCAGACGAGCTCATTGAAGTGTACAATGAGCTCCAGTTCGTCTCATCACCGGACGATGTCCAGATTGATATTGATGTACCGCGGACCATATCCAGTCATATCATGTTTCGGAGACGTTATCGGGGTGGACAAAGACTACTGTTCCGTGTCCTTCACGCCATGTCACTATATTTCCCTGACACGGGCTACGTACAGGGAATGGCGACTCTCGCGGCTACGTTACTGGCGTATTACGATGAAGAGCATGCTTTTATTATGCTCGTTAGGTTGTGGCAGCTGCGAGGTCTGGAAGAGCTGTACAAATGTGGATTTGCTGGTTTAATGGAGGCATTGGCCGACTTTGAACGGGAGTGGCTCGCCGGAGGTGAAGTGGCCACGAAACTGGTAAGCCAATTTTGCTTGTGAAACGACGAATGTTTACTAACGCTTAATTCTACAGAACGAGGTTGGAATCCCACCCACAGCCTATGGCACACGCTGGTACCTCACTCTCTTTAATTACTCAATCCCTTTCCCGGCTCAGCTTCGAGTGTGGGATGTCTTCATGCTCCTTGGAGATGCCGAAGACACCACTAGCCGTCCCGCAACTTCAGGAAAGAATAAAGCACCCCCTATTGATAACCCAAGGACATTTGGTCAAGGTCTTGACGTCTTGCATGCTTCATCCGCTGCCCTAATTGATGGCATGCGTGATATCATCCTTGAGTCTGACTTTGAGAATATCATGAAAGTCCTCACCAGCTGGGTTCCCATCAAAGACACCGAAATGTTCATGCGTGTCGCCAAAGCGGAATGGAAAGTCCATCGTCGCAGGAAAGCCTCTTAATTCTTATTTATCTGACAATGCTTCGCGCGTTTGTCTTCGATCTTGTTTGGCTAATTTATTCGCTGCCGAACACCCTTTACATTAATTGGCCTTAGGGGTGTGCTATACCCTTATGATTACCAGTCGCACCCTAGGGTCCACCCTTAATGCCCTCCACTCTATACCCTTCCTTCTGAGGTTTTAGATCGCACTTATTTGTTGCGGTCCTGCTTTGATTACCATCTCGCTTTACCTACGTTCCTTGCCTAATCTCTTATCATTGTGTTTCCTGGATACTATTTCTTTTGATGATTCTTGATTCCCCGTCTGGCTCGCTTCAGACAATTGATACCTATCCTCATGCCCTACCTTACCTTCTTTTGATCATTTCCCATTATTCTTACCTGTCTTCAACACTCTTGTACATCACCTGTTTGGTTCGAATCGTGTTCGTCCTCAAATGTTCACAGCCCTATCGTCATGCTAGCAACGCAGATCGATTCTATATAATCCCGAGAGCGAGAGTGCCATTATATCTTATACCCAATAATTCAATGGTTTCAGCTGGTCATCTTTCATCATGATTCTCAGCTCTATACTCAGAACTGCGGTTTCAATAGTCTCTTCTAGATCACTTTTGTAATGTAACTTCTATAACAATCTGCAATGACATTTATCCAAGTAAGCCCTTCCCATGCTTGGCGCCCAAATTCCCCTTGTCAACATAATTCTCCTTCAGCCAATTCATGGCAGTGGTGTCTAGACCACGTTGTTGGGTATACACCGCCTCAATATTGTACACAGTATCCAAGCCAACTGTATCCATCATCAGACAAGGACCCTTTTCAGCCTTGAACCAACTCCTGAACATCTCATCAATCGTCTGACCATCACTCACACCCTCAGCCATCACAAGTAAAACCTCACGCTTAATCGCCGCCCAAATGCGATTAAACACAAGCCCAGTCGAATCAACCTTAGCATGCACAGGCTTGAACCCAGCCTGCGCAGCCTTCTCCATCAAAAAAGGAAAGATATTAGGGTCCGTATGTCCACACGACATCACCTCGTAGTACGTCTGTTCCGGCGGCATGTAATAATGCCCATTGCAGATGCGGTAATTCTTCTCCGTCTTGACGATCATCTGGCTAGACCGCAGTGACGACGAGTTGCTAGCGATTACGCAGTCCGGTGGGGCGATCTCGTCTATCTTCGCCAGGAGATCAATCTTCAATTGCAGCTTCTCTGGAATGGCTTCGATGACCATCCATGCGTTCGAGACGGCTTCTTGGAGGTTGGTTGTTGTTTTCAGCTCCGCAGGCTCAGTGCCTTGTTTGGCTGCTTGCTCGGCTTGGTGTTCTTGGACGTAGCCCACTGCGTTGTCGGACTCGTCAGATTTCTCGCATAGGATCACGGTGAAGCCGGCGGATATCCACATCATGCTAATTCTTCGGCCCATCACGCCGCCGCCGATCACGGCGATTGGGCGGGTATTTGTGTCGGGTTTGGTCCACGGACTGGATGGCATTGTGTTTTTGTAGATCGGAACTTCTGTCGATGGGAAATGACCCTGTAGCACAGGATCTTGAGTGATAGTGTGGCCATTGGGCTAGTCAATAGGTTATAGTGCTATGATGATATGATGATCGAATATCGGAGCACTTCCCGTAATGATTTAACTCTGAGGGTCAATGTGGCTGAGTGGCTGAAGAAGAATATATTTAAGACCAGAGGCTTCGTGAACTACACCAGACAAATTTCATATCATTTATGTAGTCTTATCTTCCTAGCTGTCTATTATCCCAAGAGTCTTGGTCATTTCTGGATTTTTGGGTGAGCCCTAGGGGTGTGTGTAGATTGCACATTCTACGCCTTGTTTAGTCAAGGCCAGATAAAGGGACGAATTTGAGCTCTGCTATTAGGAAGCTGAAGATCATGATATGAGAGATAGAACCGGATAAGCCCTCCGTGCTCTTTACGTGTGTATATATATAAATTGATGGAGGGATATTTCTGTATCAGGAGAACACCCGAAGAAGCACGTAACTTGGTATAAATATATTCCATTGTTCAATTTATGTCATCCATTCGTAGATTCTCGCACTTGACTCAAAGCATATATCTGAATAAAGGAGAGCGGTCGCCCAGTGAGTCGGGATTCTCAGGATACTCCGAAGGATCCATAGCATCCCGCTTGCGGTTAATACGCTGGTACGTCATACGAAGAATAACAGTCGCTATCATTCCCACAACAACGAAGGCAAGTTCAAGGGAGTGGCCAAGGATATATTTCGGTGCATCTTGAGCACGGTAGAAGTTCGAGGACATAGCTGTTGAGTGAGGACCGTTAGTTTGAATGTCGAACTCCCAATTGACGCTCTATCCTTACCTCCTGCCAGATTTCCTAGCCCAATGTAAATCGCCATGCCGGCGGCTCGCTTGTAGTCACCTGCCATATTGACACTGAGCCATGTGACATTTCCGGGGAATGCTGGGTAGATTCCTTTTGGTATTGTGTTAGTTGGGATATATACTTGCAGCTTAGATGCACTTACCGACGACCGCTACGAAGATACCAAAGTACATGACACCTGGAACTCCACGACCAGTAGATGCAAGACAGATAATAAAGCCGACGCCAATCATGCCCATGAAAAAGAGAATGAACGGCGATCGCTCCTTGCGTCTGTCTGATACCCACGCTGCAATGACAGCTACAACTGCTGCAGTGATATAAATGGGTACCTAATATGATAAGGTTAATATTCGTCTCACCATCAAAGTAGCACGAAGGAGCTTACAGTAAGGAGTTGCGCAGTCGAGGACTTGTAGCCTAAGTCCTTGATGATGGAAGGAAGGAAAAGGGAAATGCCGTATAACGGGCAGGTGATGCCCCAGTACACTTTGCACGGATCAGTGAACAATACCTTGAATACCCAGAAACAAAGAGAACTCACTGAATAGACCCAGCCACATCTGCCAGTCGGTGAAAGCCTCGATGACATAGCGCATCTCAAACTTATCATTCGTTTGATCAATTTCGCGCGAGTCTACCGAGTTTTGAATCCGCAAACTGTGGATCACAAAGCGACGCTCTTCCTCGGTTAAAAAGGAGGCAGTCTCTGGGGAATCGTGAATCGCAAATGGGGCTACCAGTGCCACAAGAACAGTAAGAAGGCCTTCGAGAATGAAAATCCATCGCCAGCCAGCATATCCACCTACGCCGTCCATTTTCTAGGAATTTCGAGATAAATTAGTAAATTATCCATTGTCATCGGTGAGCAGAAGACTTACAGCGATACCATACGCAAGAAGTCCAGAGAATGCACCGGCAACACTGGCGGCGCTAAAGAAGAGAGCCTGTCTGAATTGTGCCCGATGACGTGGGTACCAGAGTGTAATGTAGTATGCCACACCAGGGTACAGGCCAGCTTCTATTTTGTTTCATTGCAATTTTTAGCCATGACGATAACAAGAAGTGCGAATGGACATAGATCAACATACCTGCAACACCTAGGCACAGACGAGTTGCGAGCAATCCACCGTAATTGTTGACAACTCCCATTAGGGTCTGGGACATTTCTCATTATTAAACGGTGCTTGATACGAGTCTTGCATAATGCGCATGCTCACCATAACAATGCCCCAAGCAATCATGATCAAGGGAAGCCATCTGGAGGGTCGTAACTTCTTCAGAAGCAGGTTGCTCGGCAGTTCAAAGACGCAGTAGGTAAAGAAGAAGACGGTCACTACCCACAAACACATGTCAATTGGCCATTCTGAACAAGGAATTGAACAAAGTCATGAAGGAATTTATCATACAAGTCCAATTGTATTGCGGTCCCGTCATATTGAGATCGTCAACAAGCCCCTCGATCTTTGCATTGCCGATATTCCCACGGTCTAAGAAGGCCAATAGATATAGCATGCTCAGCATGGGAATCAGACGAATGTCCATCTTCCGGAGAACGGCATTTTCGTCAACTCCCTCAAAGGTCGGTGGGCCAAGGCTAGAAGCTTCCGCATCTACGATTAGCCCATCTTGCTTGAGGTCAGTGCTGTACGGGGAATGCTGAAGGGATGTATCCTCGAATTGGTGCAGGGAGGGCTTTTCTGTGTTCTCTGAATCAACCATAATGGGCAAACAGGAATGGGGGGAAAGAGTCAGAGCGGGTGTCATTCCGCGAGTATTTATACTTGTCCCCTTGAAAACGGAATAGCGTAACCCGGGGTAAGTCCGAAGACTGGGGGATCATCCCTTGGCATGAGGGGTATTCCTTGGGCACAACCTCGGTGATTTGACTTGAAAATCATACAAATCATAAATGGTAAGTCTTGTCGACACTGAATGCTTAGGATAGGGCTTTAACGACTTACCTAGTGCATTTGATCAACTATGTTCGGGGTACGGAGTAGTATGAATATAGGGGCACACCTCTTCTCCCGCTTACTTGCGGCATAACTGGTGGACGCTAGACCCTTTTTAATTTGAGGATCCAGTTGGTTCAATGTTATCCTAGCGAAAATGGAGGTGCAAAGGATCCGATAGATCATCTCTCAACAATCCAGCCACACAGAAGGCCACATGTTTGATCCTTGGACGCAAGCACTGGTGTTATCTGAAAGCCACAACACATATTCTAATTGGCTTATATTCAGTATCTACAAGGCTTTGGTACCAGCAATACAGTTCAGAATACAAGGCGAGGTACACCACAAAGCCCATGTAGCTGTCAAACGAACAAGACTACTAGGCCAGTATGTATGTCTTGATCGATCCTCAGAATTTGCTCTGATATAATATCGCCCCAATCTTGGGATAGGCCAACACATGCCCTAAAAGACAGGAGTAATATTGAGGCAACAACTCCAGCAATTCGGTTGGGCAGCAGACGCAATAGTGCAATCGAGGGTAATGGTATCAAACTCCCTACGTGTGTACCACTCAAGAAGAGGGCTGGTAAATCTGATGGGGGCACATACACTCGCATTTGCGGTCTGTGGATAGTTGATGAGTATGACAGGTTGTCCCGATGATAGCGAACACTTGTTAAACTGGACAGATATATCGACATACCACAGCAGAAGACAAGCAGGCAAGAGCAGCGGGCCAGCAGCCCTGAGTACAGAACCTGTAATTTGGGTCTGAAGAAACGGGTATGAAGGTGGGAATCATGAAGTTCTGAAGAGTATTGTTTGTGGGTAGGGCTTGGGTTTGTAGGAAGAGAAAGATGAGAACGGATGACAATGTGGGATACATTGGGTTTGGGGGGATGGAGGGTTTCAGAAGTATAGGTCAATCTCAATTCAAGCTTGTACTTCGAAGATTAGGGGACGGGGTCCAAGAGGTGGCAGCTTGCCCTCATTTATGGTCAAGTCTAGCCGTTGTTACTGCGGTGCCACTGGAATATGTTTGTTCAACCCTGTATATGTATCACAACCACTCCCGTGGAGCCAACTGAGACCTTAGCTTTGACATTGAGTTCTTACGATGTGTGCAAAGGACACTCGACAGATATGGGAAGCTATGTTCAACGAGGTTAACAGCCACACCATATGTCAGACATACCATATGCAACGATATCTAGTAATGGGATCGACCATTTCAAATAGATTATAATCCTGCACAACTTACTAAACTATTTTTTGTCACAGAGGTTTCATGTATCTGCCACCTACTTATATATAGTAGGTCAAGCCTTTTCTCTACGCCAGTGGTAGACATAGAGCCAATCTTCTTTGCTTCGTACATGCCCAACTGCACTCTTTCTTAATGTTCGGCATATACACATGAGTCTTGAAGCCAGCGGAAAACGGCCCAGATGGCTAGGAAGGTACCAACACCGTTGATTAAAGGCACGCATCATCCGTTGGTAGAGATGAGTGAATACACCGGGGCGCTCCATGTTATCCTGAGTATCTGAAGCCCCAAAGGGTCTAAGACTTTAATAGAGGGGGAATTCCGTAGGTAGAAAACCTTGAGCAATTCGTGCATCTAGGGGGGCCGGGAAGTGGTTACAAAGTTGCAACGTTACGTGACCTGAGTGCTCCCCTCCGCATAGATCATATATCCCTTCATTTGCGCTACATACTCGCAGCGTACGCTTTGCCCTTACCTTGTTGATACATTTTCAGCATCCCGTGACGCCGTGTCTATGCGGTTAGGAGAGAGAATCAGATGTGTGCACGCTAGACGCTAGAGACTCTGGTGGAATGTTGGATGCGCTTGTCGGGGGATCCTCTTATAAATCTGGTATTTACACCGTAATCTCACCGTTTGCCAATGATCTAGTAGTGATACTAGAGCAATCGGGAGTAGGTGGCTAATCGTTTCCTTTGTGTTCTTATTGATGAGACCGCGATAGGAGGGCGGGCTACGTCATCACTAGTACCTGGTTCGACTGGGGGAACTGTCTCTGCAGATCGCATGCTTTGGGGCGTTCACATCTATAGCTGAAGCTCTTGGTGATGTTGGGAGCATAGAGCAGTCGATAGATGTACAGGTAGGAAAAGTCAGTCGAAGCAGCGGGCACGGCTGGAGACCTTCCAGGGCTGGCGATGGTTCTCGTTAACATACATAACCCGGAAAGTGCAGGCTTATGGTACGGTGAGATTGTTTGAGCTGTACAAAGCATCAGAGGAAGTTGTACAATCATGTCTTGATCATCCGCTATATCTACTTTGGCCCGCTTGTTTAAAGCAGTCAATGTCATTTAAGTCATATTCAGACACTGCGCACGCGGTGACAAGTGACCTTCTTGCTCGAGGAACGGTCGCTCAGTTTCTCATTCAAATACAGATGAGCTTAAAGCCTGTAAGGGGTCTTCAAAGACTTTTCCCTCGCCGACCTGTATAGAGGCCCCAAGTGTAGAGTGGCACATGTAAACATAATATTGACTGGTCCTTTGACATGTATCAGTCCATTATATATTCATGTGCTCAATACTGGGCATGTAGTATAGAGATACTGGCATAGACTGGATCAATACACGCAAGCTACCTAGGCCTTGCCAATAACCTTTTTGGACGCATGGATTATGACCTGGTCTCCAGTATGATCTAAAGAAGAAATCAAATGAAAATCACTTCAAGTGTTTTCCCATAGATTGTGAAAAAAATATTTTTATTATGATCAGGACTTTGCCGCACAGGGTTTACCTATGTACCTCCATGACTAGCATCACAAGTTCTCTTATTTAGGCCGGTGAACGCTTGGGGCAACTGAATGTAGAGTATTGGTGCATGGTAATGGGGCGGCTCGTGGGAAGTACTTTCCTTCGTTCGTAGGGTACCTGAAAAATCTAGGAGAGACCAGTCTAACTGTACATCCTGCCTGTCAAATGTTTGATCGAGTCTCTTAAGTTGTCGAAGAGTTCCTAACACCGGATCAGCAAATTTTGAGATAACAGGGATTTTAAGAGTTGTGTTATCTGTTCCCTTGTTTTTAGACCCGTCATTGTAGTGGCTATTTATGAAGAAATTCTGCTTTCGATGCCCCCAGAGAAGCTGATCCGCGGCGTGTCGGTATCACTTTTGCGCTGCACGGATTCTTTGCAGCCAAAATTTGGGGGCTGCGGAGCAATTTGCTTCTGTTAGAGAAAGCCGTTGGGTAAACACATCGGTAAGAGCACAGGCAAGTCGGAGAGGGACTCCAGTGGGAACTCCTTAGTAATAGCTCGTGTGGCTACCTAGGTATTGTCTCCCCCTTGTTTCTACCATGGGCAATGCATTCTCCAGATTAAAGCCAACGTGCGGTAGGGCCCAGTCGACTTTACGCCCGTCAACTCTTGTACCATTGCGGATATATTTTGAGATGACGCTCCGGGACCCTAGTGTAGTTCTTGAATTTTCCGAGGGTTCGACCATGGTAGACTGGCACCTTGGGGACTGGAGGAGTTTTGGTATTTAGAATGGTCGAGCATTTTGGGAAGGGGGGGAGTTACCCGGTCGATTTACTAGCAACAGCCAAACACCGTAAGAAGTCTGCCTTGGATTCGCGGGGCCATTCGAGACGGTATTTTCAGGTTCAACGGGCGAAGAGTTGGCCTGAGGCTGACGGAAAGAGGGATTGACAGTCTGCTCAGATGGTGCATAAGATCATTGATTGAAGCTTAGATAATACCATATTTACTAGGTAGGTATCTCCGGTTTGCATCCGTGCAGCAGCAGTTTCCCTGTACTGGGATTTGACTGGGTTTTTCACAACAGAACCGATAGTGGGCGAGAAATCTTAGTTAATGGTAGCCACAAGCCGGTTCCAGGCCTACTCAAGCGCCGACTTGCTCATCAGCAGCCTGCTGTTGAAGCTCAATGAGCTAGCGCGGCCGTCTCAGCTGTGCGAGCTAGCACTGTACTTCTCATATCTCCGTGTCGAGTTCATCCGGGGTCTGGGACTGCGGAGCATCAAGCTTGAACATTTCAATCGGGCGTGCTCACTGCTCACGTATGGACGGAGTAGTCGCGGTGGAGGAATGGGTTGTTTTGGGCTGTTTGTCTTCTAGCGACATTATCAATTTCGGAATGATGGTTGATGTCAAAAGCAGCAGGGCTTAAAATCGTTGAAACATTTGAAAGACCCCGCAAGTGCATCATCATATCCTCAGATTTCTCATTCACTTCGTTGTTCAACCTTTAAAAATAGTTTCAATATCGATCGTTGCTGCCTGTTTTGTTTGTTTTTGATCCTTTGACCGCCCTCGATAATCAGCCGTGTGTGCTCCGTACACTTTGCCGGACCCTCTGACACCTCTGATCATCCGCGCATCCTCCATCTTTGATCTTCGGCTCTTATTTCCCCCAGATTATTTTTGCTAGCCCACCATGACGCTGGCCGAGGAGCTCCGATCGCGAAATTTTAGTAAGTACCCGGATTTCGCAACGCCAATATCTCAATCTGCTAACCTTGCTGTCCTTTTCTAGGCATCTATGGACAATGGTTAGTTCACCGCACTACCTTACACAACCCTGTGCCTTTGCAGGCCCGAATACTGTTTGGGAGAGCACTGCGAAATTCTATCGAAAGATCGAATGGTGTTTGCTATCTCGTATAGTAGCCTCTCAATGGCTCTCCTAGAAATCAGTTTCGCATATAAAAGGATCGGTCTAACGAAATATCCAGGACGGGTGTGCTGTGTATTATCCTTTGCCTTGCACTAGGAATTGCGAACATCTTTTCATTCAATGTGGTTCTGATCATCATCAGTATCATCAGCATGTGAGTCGCATTCATCTCGCGCTGATTCGTTGCGAAAGCCTAACCCATCTCAGTGCATCGGCATTCGTCATTCTCTTCATTGAAGTACCCTTCCTCCTCCGAATTTGTCCCACATCCTCTAAATTCGATGCCTTTATCCGCCGCTTTACAACCAACTGGATGCGCGCCCTCATCTACGCCGTCCTTGGTGGTGTCCAACTTATCAGTCTTGCTGAGCGTGCTTCTAGCTTGATTGCTGGTGCCGTCTTCCTTCTCATTGCGGCTGTGTTCTATTCACTTGCAGCTCTGACCAAACAAGAATTTGTTGGTAGCAAGACCCTTGGTGGTCAGGGAGTTGCACAGATGATTGTCTGATGGTTTGAAGTTGAAGCCGAGTTGTTCCTGCCTTTTTTCTCTACCAGCTGGGCCCATTTTGGGATTAATTCTGGTGATTGGCTGTGCGACACGAGATGCTCGATGCACATGGCGCAAACATAAAATGCCATTTTGGCAGTATGCATTGGGATGCGCTATGAGATAGTTTTGTGTTTCTCTCCTGTACTTGTATGTCTTGGTTGGGTTCAGGATGATCCTGCTGGACATGTCTGTTTTCAGAGTCGATGAGCGTTCCTACAGCAGATATATCCTTTTATTTTGTGGACTGCGTCCGCCAGAACAGGCGTTCTGATTACTATCTTAAAGGGTGTATTCATTGACCAACCTTATTCTTACCAGAATACCACACTATCACCCTATGTTGTAGACCTGGTGAATCGGAAACTCTTTGGATCCCTCGCAGAAGCATGGACAACCCGACCCGCCTTCCCACCCAACCACCATTCCTGTAGGCACCGACTCCCACCCTTGGGCACTTAATAAGGTAACAACTCCCATGGTAGTAAGTAGCTTATCATGTGGAGGATACGACGATACCTAGCATAAGGCTAATACATATATGGTTGGAAGTGCATCTATACCCACTTGGACCGTCAAAGAGTTCCACCAATAGGACCAGGTAAGGATATATGTAGATTACGATGTATCTGCTGGAGCCAGTCCTGAATGTCCATCATAGACCGATTCGAGACCATGTATGTTGTACATCCGATGTACATGCATTCGATCTGTCACAACTCTGGCAATTCGTATGCTGACAACCTAGGAATATGTCCAGTTGGTCTGGGCAGGTAATATAATTGGCCTAGCCCTGAATGAGACAAGCCACTGTTCTGGCTTGAATTCTAGACGGTTTAGCCCAGGAACGTGGCGCAACGAGATGGTCCTAGAAATCTTTTGATCACAGGTCATGTTACCCCGCAAAAATTTCTTTAGCCCTGGTGATCAATATGTGGCGGGTACTCTCGCTATGTCGGTCAGAGTGGATCTCAAGGGTAGATCAGTGTATCTTCGTAAGTTGGGGGAATGACACCATGGAAAGAAACATATAAGCTGACAGTAAGAGTTGGACTATGTACAGCAAGAAATAGATGTCCACGTTAGAGTGAAGTGAAGGACGTCGAGTTCGTAGAGGACAAAAAGTATAGATAGCGATGATGCAATGCGGAGAACGACACTTCACCGCCTCGGTCTGGCCAACCAATCCAACCACAGCAAAATCATCTTATCAGTCCTGGAGAAGTAAAAGGTCAAAGAATAGTCTGATACCAAGTTCTAGGCTTATGAGATATCTCTGGATCAACTGGGTATTTTTGGATCTTGTGTACAATATAGGGGGAAATGGACAATTTGATCTTGGACGGTCTGGCCCGGGTACAGAGTACAACCTACTGTAATGCTACAGAAACGAGGCATTATTTTAAGACTACATTTGACCACTGATAGCCCTGTAGTAAAAAAATAAAAAGACTATAGAAAAAAAAATGCCTCAAGATCGAGAATCAAGGCCCTACCTAGGTATACTGATCTCATCGGCGGGGCGTTGAATGTAATAGATCGCTGTAGTTGGCTATATAACCTGTAACGATACAGTATTACAATACCATTATCTGCGGTCAGACGTCAGGCCCAGGTGGCAGAAAGAACATACATCATCTCTCTTCCCCAAAACTCAGTTTCGGAATTGCTTCACTATCTGCTTTTTTTTAATTGCGCATTTTAACTGTCGTTCCAATTGAATTGAGGTTGGTTCTCACCATATTTGGGTAAGCAAATCGATTTTGTATGCTCTTGTTAGTTGCATGGGGTTGCTCTTGGGAGTATTGCATCAATTTGATGCATATCCATAGCTGGTTGCGTTAATCCCTGCATGTCGGTTGGGCCCGTGTATCGATTGCTTTACAGCCGGCACAGGGCCAAGTGTACCCATGGAGTATCTGGTTAGGCTGCTGCTAACTTATCAACAGCTCTTAGTACTTCATCATGTCAACCCAAGCTGCTCCGGTCATCCCTCCTCGACCGGCTCGATCTCCACAACCATCGTCGTCGTTAGAAATGCCCAAGATACCACCTCGCCCGGGCAACCGCCGTAATGATCGTTCAGTTTCCCCTATGCGTGGTAGCTATGCACCTTCGCCGTTCAATGAATGGACTGGTCCTAGCATGAGCCGTACCGTTTCAAATGATCCACCCCCACGTCCTCCCAGCGTCACAATACCGTCTCTTGGCGAGGAAGGGATTGAATATGCGGACCTCGATCCAGGCAACGTGTCGGATAGCCATCACCAGACACCCGCGGAGACTCGTAATGTTAGCAGTGATCTTAAGATCCATGCTCCGAGACCGTCCTTGCCCATTTCAAGTGCTGAAGCAAAGGTTCAGGCTGTCACCCGCACTGACTCCCGCCAGGCTGCTGCGGCAGGCCTGGGCCGTGGCGTTTCACCTGCTCGTGAGGAACAAGAACGCTCAAGTCGTTCACTGAATTCCAGAGCGAGTGGCACACGTGCCGAATCCTCAACTGCATCCAATGAACGCCGGCTCTCTTCCCATCACGGAGAGGAGCAGGGCTTCCGTGTGCCCATGTACCCAAATGCCGGTGACGTTCAGGCACCATCTCCCAGCCCGTTCCTCGAAGGCTCGCAGCGGACGAGCCGCAACCACAACCGTACTCGTAGTGCTCGCGACTCTTCCCTGCCCCCTGGTAGCTATGGTCTACACGGGCATGGCGTTCAGCATCCCGATAAGTTTGAAAAGGCGTGGTACGAAAAGCACCCCGATGAATTCGTGAGGGAAGAAGGACAATATGGCCCCGGTGTCACTCCGCGTCCTGATTGGGCAATGAGTAGCGATGATCTGAACAAGATTGTTAGAAGCTCAGCCCAGACTGGTTCCGGTCTTGGTAAGTATTCAAAGTAATTGTGCAGTCGCTCGAAAGCTAATTGTGGCCAGGTACTTCCCCAACGGTTGTGGGCACCCCCGAAGAGGAGGTTGGGTATATCGCGTCCGACGAGTACATACATTCAATTGCTTCTCCTCCCCTTGATGCTCGACTCGAAAGCCAACCGGCTGTTGAGTCACCACTCCGACAAATGACTTTCCCTTCAGAGGGTGCGCAGAAGCAAACCACCGCAAGCCCGCTGCGTCACCGTAGATCCAGTTCGCACGGGCATCGTGAGGGTGGCGTGATCCATGTGGATGATCCGATGCATCCTTTACATCACCCGGACGGATTTGCTCCGACCCCGGCGTTGGAAGACCATGAGCCAACGTATGAGAATGCCGAGGAAGAGGAAGAGCCAATTTTGGCTGCTGACGAAATTCGCCCTGAGTCGGCGTACTTACATCCCGCCGTCTCGCCAACATTTGATCGTCGGGCAAGCTTCGAGGATGATGGCCGCAGTCGGACCCCTAGTGTCCACAGCCGTTCTAACAGTCGATCAGCAAGCGCGCAAGGTCAATTCCCGGTGCTGACCCGCTATGACTCGCGTGAGGATACGCATACGCCGCTTGAAGACGTCGAAGAGTATGAGCCGCTGTTTCCTGAAGATGATGCCCAGAAAGAGAAAACGGTGTCAGCTGCGGATCGTTTCAAGAAGAGGCCGGACACACTCAAGCATAGATTCCCTAGCCAGGATATCTGGGAGGATGCCCCTAACAGCCTGCAGCTTCATGCCACCGTCACCACCCCAGATCTGCCTAAGCGAGATTCTTCCGAAATCTTCGAAACACCCGAGCAAGAGGCCACGCGCAGGATGCAGAGCACCAAAGTCGACTCACATCAGGTGGCGACCCACATCCTGGAAGGCGAGAGTATCAAGGACAAACTCCCCCCGCGACCAGAGACTTTGAAACAGCGTTTCCCCAGTAGAGATATTTGGGAAGATGCTCCTGATAGTCATCAGCTGGTGACCACAGTTGAGCCCGCAAAAGAAGAATTAAAAAGTCCAGAAGTACCTTCCAGGCCTGGAATTCCCCCGCGCCCGCAGAGACTGACTCAGTCTACCTCACCGACCGAGAAACGCCAACCACCAACAATTCCAGATAGACCCAAGCCCCAGTTCCCTAACCGTCCCGCTAAGCCTGGCTCTCGGGCCACAGCAAGCTCCGCTGAAGCTCCGAGGGAAGCACCTGCAGTCAAGGCCAAGCCCGCAATTCCTGCTCGCCCTGGTGGAAGCAAGATCGCAGCCATGAAGGCGGGCTTCCTCACTGATCTGAATTCACGCCTGCAGCTGGGTCCCCAGCAGCCCAAGCCTCAAGAAAAGGAGCCCGAGGAGACGGTTGAGAAGCAGCCCCTGAGTGATGCTCGCAAGGGAAGAGCCCGCGGTCCAGCTCGACGAAAGCCAGCCGTCGTGAAACCCACTTCTAAACTGCCCACTATTCCAGAGATCAAGATCACAGAATCTCTCAATGTCTGGCAAGTTGGCCAGGATGGGAGTCTGGTTGTTGGGACCGGTGATAACCACAAGTCTCCCATCGCAGTGAAAGAACCGTCGGTGTTTGCTGTACAGCCAATGGCCCCTCCAATTGCCAGGAATACAGCCGGCGAATTTGTGGACCCAACGCCCGAACCTCCTGCTGTGGAGGACGTGACTCTGCCCGCAACCACAACAGCAGATGTTCAGCCTTTACAGACCCCAGCAGAAACCTCAGAACCCGCTGAGTCGTCTCCGACGGCAACCGAATCTTCAGATAAACAGGAGAAAAAGGACGGTGTGGACGTAAAGCCCTCCGAGCCTGTCTCTGAACCTGCAGTTGTTGCCGCGGCGATGCCTGAATCTGTCTCGACTCCAGCTAAGCTAAATGACGCCCTGGAAGACATAGCTGCGTCAGCTGATGGTAAGAGAAAGTCTGACGGTAGCATTCACCCTGAAGAGTAGTCGTGTTTGGATTGGTTACCCCTAGCTTTTCTACCTATGATGTCGCTTATGTCAAACTCCAGATCACCAGATCGCCGGATCACACCTTAGGTGTTCACTTCTTCGCGTTCAATGAATGTGTCTTTACTTCAAATCAAAATATCAATTTTATCTTTTTTGTACACAGCTGTAGGAATTTGTGGTTGGCCAAAATAAGGGATTACAGAGGCTAATGATGAACCAGCTAGCTTGGTCTGCCCTGGTATACATCAGACTATGCAAACACCACCATGGCCTCAAAATACTATGAACATCAAGACATAGAGCAAGCAGGGAGCCGTCATGGTTTTGGAAAGCAGAGGGATGAGGCTAAAAGCAATGATTGGAACTGTTATTATACTGCTTAGCTGGAGGGTGGACTTGGGCTTCCTATATCTAACCATACAAGAAAGAATAGTTGGTCGATTATGCGGCCGTCAGATGTCTTTTCCGATGTCTGTTTGCATACTTAATTTAATCATCTTTGATGTATTCGCTCCCCCTTCTTGGTTTCCTGAGCCTCATAGGTAGATGGCAAAAAGAGATAAAAAATACCTTTGACATAAGTTACGCGTCGAGATTTAAAGATTATTGTCTCAGTCGTGACTACTCAAATAATACTGCAGGTGAGCAGTACCATATCTATCACGCTTGGATTAGAAAGTGCGAAGTATCCAGAAGCAAGTCAGAAACATATGTTGTAGATGCCCGATAGTCGACTTACCGTCTCTGGGTTGATCTTGATGGCCAATGACGTGATCCCACGTGACCGCCTTTGACAGCCGCGGCTCACAGCGAAACGTAAGAGACTCCGACCTCCACTTAGCGGAATGGAGCTCCTCTCTTCTTGTGCTCTGGGGCAATATTCGAGACCCTTGTTTGCTTCATCGACATATCTGGTTCGTCTTTCTAAGATGCTGAACCCTATACTTTGTATCTTATCGAGCCAGATTTAGATCTTTATCGCACTATCTCTCTACATCTCTCATCTACCCCGACTTGCATACCTCTCCACTACCATGGCGTCAGTCCCGGGATACTCTACAGCGGGCAGAGCCACATCATTCGATGGCACCACGTCCGTTAACTCGGATGAAAACGCTATCCCTCAAGGGAGCATCTCACCTCCGAATGAGTCAATGGAGGACACCGAAACAGTTTTCTTAAACAAGAGCGTACCAACCCCGAGCCACGGATCGGATATTTCCAGCAAATCACTCAGTCAATCATCAAAACCCTCCCAGGCCTCGGACGAAGACGAGCCGCGCAAATGCTGGATTTGCTATACAGATGAAACAGAGGACTCGCCACTGAATCTTGAATGGCGGTCGCCGTGCCCTTGTGCCCTAACGGCCCACGAGGCATGTCTGCTCGACTGGCTTGCCGACATGGAGAATCCCCGGTCGCGCAAAAGCAACGGTGGCGTCACAATGCAGTGTCCCCAGTGCAAGACCGAAATCGTGGTTACACGCCCGCGGAGCTATGTGGTCGACATGATGCGACTGGCCGAGCGCCTAGCAGGCCGATTGGTCCTTCCCGGCATGATGTTTACAGTGGCTGGCACTGTGTGGGCTGGATGCTGTGCGCATGGAGTTTATTCGATGTACCTCATTTTCGGAACCGATGAAGCCAGACAGATCATGGAGGAGACTATGGAGGGCCCATGGAATCCCGGGATGAACATCGGGCTGCCGCTTATCCCACTTGTCTTAATATTCTCACGCACTCGATATGCCGAGGGCCTTCTCCCGGCTATACCGGTTCTTTTCTTCGCTGCACACAACCCGGGGCAGGAACCCGACTTCGACTTGTGGCCACCCACACCGGCTATGACGTTTGCTGCGCTGCCATATATCAAAAGCTTTTATGGGGCACTTTACGAACGGCTATTCGGTGGTCTGGAACGGAAATGGATTGCCGAAGTACAACCTCGCGCAGCAGAAGAGATCTTAGATGATGCGCAACAACAAGATCAGGCGGAGGGTCTCAACCGGTTTGGTGATAATGCGAATGGACAAATTCTGATGGAGATCGATCTTGAGCTACAAATGGGTATCGGCGATGAAGATGAGCCGGGCCTTGAAGCTCTTCCCAACGGGCAAGCTGAAGATGCCGATGGTGTCCCTAACGGACCACGAGATGCTGGGCAAAACAACAATCCACTAGGTATTGGGCGTCGACAGAATGAGATTATTGCCGATACCAGCAATCTGGCTGACGTTGTGCTCGGAGCACTTGTCTTCCCCGCAATCTCTGCGTCAATGGGTGGCCTGTTGAAGTATCTTCTCCCTAAGTCATGGACATCCTCAACCGTGGACCGTGGCCGCTTAGGACTACTTCAGACCCGCTGGGGTCGTAGTGTTGTTGGTGGGTGCATGTTTGTTCTATTGAAAGATGCACTGGTTCTCTACTGCCGGTGGAAGTTGGCCCAAACACACCGTCGCCGCAAGGTCTTGAACTACGATCGAACTAAGAAACGTCACACCACAAAGCGGTCCACCGGGTAGTTTCAAGATATTATTCCTCGTTTCATCACTTTCTCTGCTTCTCTTTCGGCGCGTTAACTGCATTCCATGGCGTTTTGATGGGGCATTTCACATATGGTACATCTGATGACTCTTGATAATGCTGAATACCTCTTTGCCTTCTCATTTAAAAAATATCAAGTCATGATCTCTGCTCAAATCCTGTGTATCAATTTTTACCTGTATCTATTATCAAATCTTAAGACTGGCTTTAATTGAGCAGTCATGCGGCGTAAATTTGCTTATATTATGAGTACATGTAGTTCATCTAAGCTTTAAAGGTCTAGCATTTGATAAGTAAGATAATTGCTATGTAAAAAGAACCTGAACGACAAATGCGTCACAGTTAAAGATGCATGCAGCGACAATGTTTATCTCACTAAGCGCGCGGCTAAGAGGCGGACAAGATTCTGCCGTCAAGGAATTATTCCCCGTGGAACTCAATGCCATCGAGCCCTTCCCACTCCCTCCACCCAGCAGACAACCATCACAATGAAGTCCTTATCACCAGCCCTTGCGTCTCTCGCCAATGTCTTTAAGATTCCCATGTCGATGGCGCCGGTCCGCCCATCAATTTCCCGGGCGTGCCACGAGACCCTGAATCGCCAAACACAACAGCCCGGCCCGGTCACAGCAGCCCTGCAATCCGCGTCATTCTCGACGACAAGCGCAATGGCCGCGAGAAAGAACAACAACGGCCCTGTAATTGACAAGCGCATTAGTATGTGACATATCCCTGCGCCGAGCTACCACCCGAGTCCCGAGCCCCCCAACCAAACCAAACACGTCTTACGGCAAAGAGGAAAGAAAAAGAACCAAAAACTAACAATACACTTTCAATCAATTAGCTCTGATCCGTTACTTCCTTCACCACCCTCTCACCCCCGTCCCCTCCGTTTCTCCCGTAACCGTTACCTCCGCCATTGGACCATCCACCGCGCTTGGCAATTGTTCCAGGCTCAGCAGCGCCGCAAGCAAGAACTCGAGATGATGCGCCAGTACCAGAGCATGCAGGATGCGTGTGAGGAGCTACGCACTGGTGCGGGTGATGGTGGCAAGCTGTTCCGCGTCTCGATGAACAAGAAGGGTATCTTCACTGATATGTTCCCTATCGAGTATGCTCGCATGCAGACTGATTCTCCTCCTTCCGATGGGTGGAACCATGACTGGAAGAAGCCTGGAAAGAAATAGAGGACTTGAGGAAACTGTTGTCTGGTTGGATTTGATGTTGGTTTGCAGATTCATTGGACTGGAGGGCCCAGGATATATGTATCATTTTGGCGCTATGTAACATATGCATTTCTTTTTTTTTTATATTGATATAGTTTGCATTTCAAGCTCGATATCACTTTGTTTGAATTGTATGCCTTTCGTGTGCGATATGCTCTGGCTCCGTGTATATAGGGGTATAGGGACTACAGGCCTACAAGGTATGACGTGCCGAAAGGAGATAGTTGATTATATGGTACCCTGAGCGGGTTGTGGGCACAATGTATGAGAAATGAGCGCTGAAAACAAAGGCAAAAGGCACCAGAATTACTACATGAAAAAAGGAAAACACAATGAGCGAGATCGCAATGTACTTCGGGGAATGAGTGGTAAGAAGGAAGGGAATCCGGAGTTGCACGTGCGTAAGTATCGGCCACAAAAGACGCAATTGATCAAAAAGGAAAGACGTAAGAAAAAGAAAACCTGCAAGGGAAAAGGCACGGCCAAAAATAACCGGAAAGCAGACATCGTACCCAGATCAATCGACCGGGTTAGCACAAGAACCTCCCAAACACCAGTGATGCATGATACAACGGAGCGTCGATTGATATCTCCATGGTTTATACCACGTTGTTTCAATCAAGTTCCAAGTCAACAGAAAAACCGAGCGCTGGCAGAGAAAGAGTCGGCATTTTGCACATCCCAAATTGCATCATCAGATAACCACACAGCAAGACGATTTCCGCTTGTCAAATGTGAGCAACGCAGCACGGGTAGCTGCCTCGAAGACATCGTCAACGCCCTCGCCTGTCAGAGACGAGCATTCAAGATATTTGCGGGCTCCAATCGACGCCGCGATGTCACTGCCCTCTTTTGTCGTCACGAACTTGAGTGACTTTTTGCGCATTTCTTCAATCGCCAATGGGTCTTCCCGAAGGTCTTTTTTCAATCCAACCAAAAGGATCGGCACACCGGGGCATCGCTCGTTTGCTTCGTCGATCCACTATACCGCAGATCAGTACCACTGGCCCCGACTCTTGAATTTATCTGAGACGAACCTTGTGTTTCACGTTCTCCAACGAATCAGGAGTATCCATAGCGAATCCAATCAGGAGGACATGGGCTTTCGAGTAAGCCAATGGTCGCAAGCGCTCATAGTCTTCTTGTCCTGCTGTATCCCATAGAGCCAATTGAACTGAACGGCCATCGACACGGCAATCCGTCACGTAGTTTTCAAATACCGTTGGTACCTAGCGGAAGGAGATGTCAGACATGGTTGGGAGGGGATGTATCGAGGTCGAGTGTACTAACATAATGCTGCGATATAAGAACAAATTAGCCACGGACTCTGCTTCTAGGGTGTCTTCTAGGCGCGCTGGAAGGACTAAACTCACAGTTGGAAAGTACCCTAGGGTGAAGACGCTGAGCAAACTGGTTTTTCCGCAAGCACCATCGCCAATGATCACAAGCTTCCTGTCAGGGATATCAGGTTAGCATATACGAACACCATTCTATCTTCAATTCCAGTGGTAATGGTTTCGGAAGTGCTAGACTGCCACTTGCAATCTTGCATAATCTCCCTGCCATGCCGCGGGGATGTAAGACACTACATCAAAATTGGCTGCACTTACCTTCGCATCACATTATCATCCTGTTGTTGCGACATTATGGAGGCTGCAAAACCCTTCGTGATACACAAGGATAATGGGAGAGCGGAGGGTATTGTGGATCGGCACTCGAGATGACGCGGAGTTCGAAGTCAGATTACGAGGTTTGGCAACACGTATAAAGGAAGTCCAGCTCTGGGTGGATAGTGCCCAAAAGGATTACAGATACGAATGGGCGGCCTGAAGATGCACCCAAACAGTGATGTGACGAGTTGTTGGGGAGGGGGGAAAAGGTCGCGCTGCGGCTGAGGCTAATGATGGGGTTTGACGTAGACACGAGAGTCCCTAGGCAACCTCGAAATGGGTGGGTTTTAAGGAGAGAGAAGAAGGTAGAAATTGAGGGAGCGGAAGTTTTAAAAGAGAGGCCGAAGCTGAACAGTAAGCCTGGAAGATAAGATGAAGGGGAAGGAGGCGCTTACAATTGTCCAAGCGGAGATTTATCAAGGCTCACGCCGAGACTAAGAAGGGACTAAAAAATAGCTCTGGGGGCAGATGGAAATCTTCTCGGACTAGTCATCCTATGGGGACCCTTTTTTCCCTCTCTCGTTTATCACTATGGAAGATATTTTTAATTAGCGCTCTCCGTGTCTCACACAGCTCGGTGGATCAGAGCGTCTCATACTTGTTTCCCCTTACCCTTTTGCCATTCACCGCCTAGTGCTGGGGGGTACTGCTGGCAGATCAAAGGCGGTCATGTCCCAGGTATACATGGAAAAGTCGTCTTCACCAATTGAGCACAAAATATATCGAAAGACATCTAAATGAGTAACTGAAAAGACCACTGTAAAACTCACTCTCACTGTAAAAGCTATTGCAAATTCCAATGCGAAAATCATTGAAAATATATCACAAGGCCGCATAAACAGTTCACGATATTTGTGAATCATCATGTGACTCAAACAATGTACTGATCAGCATAAAGCAAATAGATACAGCCACTTTAGTCTCGCAATCAAGAGATCATAATTTAGCTGAAGCGCTAAATTGGTTAAGATGAACTTGGCTACAGTGTATAGCTTGAAAGATCTCCGGACAGTCGAAGATACAGCCCCTAAAACATACAATTCGAGATTTCAAACCTGATAATTAAGGCACCAGCTCGCTTGCGGCGGCTATCCCGTTGCGGCGGCACGACAGCCAGCCAGAAGGCTGGAAAGCCCATCACTCCATCCATTCATTCGCGTTCGATCTGTCCACCTCTTGCCTCGGCGCTCACTCAGCCTTGATATCTTGTCGGTCCTGGCGTTGACTCATTGTTTGTTTCCTTCCCTAGTTTGCCAACGGCCCATCACCTAATCCGAAGCGCAGACACGTCGTGACCCGCCGGGATTATTGCTTTCAACCCCCCTCCTCCCGTGTCCTTATCCTATCTCACCCCTCACGTTTTCCACTACCGAAGTGTCTTCTAAGCAAACAACAAAGAAGGCGATTGGCTCTTTGTGCGTGAATACGCCAAGGGGAATAATTCCGGTAAGTTCAACACCAGATCGTGATCACCGGAGCTTTGTTGGTAGGGCTCTTTGGCTCTTCCGTTCTCCGCTTTTCCTCCTCATTCGACCGCCTACCTCTCTGACATTGGTCTTCTAACTCAAAGCTTGCTCTGGCGGTATTAGTATGCTGCTGAGGCAGTCCCTGCAGCTTATTTCACCTCCACCATGGCAACCAATATGTCAGCAACTCCGCTTCCAGCAACCAACGGCGAGACCCACGCGCGGGGTCCTCAAGGCACCACATTGACCGGATCCACGACGACATCTGCGCCGTCTGTGAATCGGAAAAAGCAGAAACGCCGACAAAAACAAGCAGCTCGCTTAGCCGCGGAACATCCCAATGCTTACGCCTCCGGAGATGCGAACATGCTAGCAACAGATGGACAGCGCTCCTGCGATGAAGACCACGAATACCACCTCGAGGATCACCCCCCATACCGCAAGTGGTGCTCACTGCGGATACGCGTCACCGGAACATCGCCGCGGACCCCCCACGATGAACGGATCCGATGACCACCACGCTGCCTCAAGCGAGGCACCAAAGAGGAAGAAAAATAGGAAAGCCCGATCCGACTCCCAGAATATTGCTGATCGCAGCTCAACTCCGCTTTCAACC